AATAGATTATCTTTTTTCTTAAGTAAGAATTAGGGCCTTATATTTTAATCTTTATATATTTATATACTATTTTACTATTTTAATATTAAAGAGTTAGGGTATTAAGTATTATATATAGATAGTTTAACTCTATTAAATAATAATAGCTATTTAAAAAGAATTTAACTAAAATCTTATTAAATAGTTATAGTTATTATAATATTTAACTTATTAAGTATATAAAGACTATATAAGGATACTTTAAGACTATATTATTAATAAAAGGGAATAACTAAGTATTTATATTAAAATTATTATTAAAGAGGAGTTAAAATAAAGTTTAATTATTATTAAAAGATAAAAATTTATTCTTATTATAATTATACTATCTATATCCTAAATAGATATTTAATACTTATATAAGAGTAAAAGAAGTAGGATTAGTTTTTCTTTTAATATTATTTTAATTTATAACCTTTAAGTTATAAACTTAAATAATTAAAGGTTATAATAGATTTTAAAATTTATTATCTCCTATTATACTTACTATACTATAATAGATATTTTTAATAAATTATATAACTACCTACTTTATTAATTAATATTATATAGTTATTTAATTTAATCCTTATCCCTATCTTAATATAATCTATTAATTTAAATAACCTATTAAAATAAAGAGTAATAAGTAAATATAGGATTTTAAATTAAATAAAAATAAATTAAATAGTTAAATAATATAATAGTAATATATTTTATATAAAGGGTTTAACCTCTAATTTATTTATTATTTTATTTTATAAGTAGAGATATTTATAAGATGGAATTTAAAATTATATTAGGAGTTTTAAATTTAACCCTTAGTTTAATTAAACTTACTTTTTTTTTTAAAAGGTAGACTACCTACTTAAATTTAATAAAGAGTTTATAACTTATATTAACTATATTTTATACCCTTTTATTTAATATAGTTAGTAATTTTAAATAGTAGACTCTTTATTTAATTTTAATAAAAGTTTATATTTTAATTTATTAAAGGTTTTATAATATAGAAAACTACTTTATTTATTTATTATTAAATTATATATATAAATATTCTATATATTATTATAATTTATTATATATAAATAATTACTATTATTAATAATATTTAAAAGCTCTTTTATTTAGTTCCTCCTTCCTAAAAGTAAGTACCTTTAATATAATATTATTTAACTTTAACTTTAAATATATTTTATTTTATTTATTTAGTTAATTAAATAATATTTTTATTTTTAATTATATATTTAAAAGTTAAACTTTTATAATTTAATACTTATTTAAATATATTATTAAAAATAACTTTTAGTTATATTAAAAGATATTATTTATTAAGTTATTTAATATATAAGCTTTTTTATAATATTAATTAAAGAATTACTTAATAGCTTTTAAATAGCTACTATTTATAAGCTATACTATATAAATTAAATAAAAGTTAATTAAATATTATATATTAAGTTTTATTATATTTAATATTATTAATATAATTATAGTTAATATATTTATTAGTTTAGTTAATAAGCTTAAATTTATACTTAATAGTAATATACTTAACTATATTAGTTTTAAGAATATTATTTTAAACTTATTATTTAAGTATAATCTCTTTATTTAAGAGCTATATTATATTAAGTATTTCTAATTTATAATTATATAACTTACTTTTTAAAAGAATATTAATAGTTAAGTTATAATATTATAAATTAATTTATAATTACTTTATTAGTTTATTTTATTAAAATTAATAGTATTTTAATATATTATATATATTAATATTAACTATAAACTTTAATATTAATAATATTTTTATCTTTATAATTATTAATCTACCCTTTTATATTAAAGATTAAAATTTAAATTTTACTTAAAGTTTTATTTAAAATAATATTAAAATATCCTTTATAATTTTATAAAATTTATAATAATTAAACTTAAATTTATCTTTTAATTATTAAGTTATATATAAATAAATTATAAATAATTAAAATAATAAATTAGATATTTAAGCTATAATAAGAAAATAGTATAACTTTATAATATTTAATGTTTTTTATTAATAGATTTAATTTAAGTTAAAGTTTAAATATTATAAAGTATTATAGTTTTAAATTTAATTATTAAGTCTTTAATATTATAATAGTTTTAAAAGAGTAATTTAATATAGTTAAACTTAATATAAAAGTTAATAGGAAAGGCCTTTATTTATTAATATTTTTATATATATTTTATAATTTTTATTAATTATTTTTAATATAGTATATATAGTTAATAGTTTTATAATTATTATAAATTAAAAGATATATTTTATAAAGAATTTATTATTAAAGTATAAATATTTTTAAATAATTTATTATAGATATTATATATATTTAATATTTTTATTTTTATTTTTATAGATTACTTTTATTTAGAAGAATAGTATATAGTAGAAGTATATATTTATATAGTTAATAATAAGGAGCCTTAATATTAGATTTTTCCTTTTATTTAAAGAGCTTATAAATAAAGCTTAAAATAAATTATATTAATATTTAATTAAAGTTAGTTAGATACTATAAAAGGTACTATTAAATTATAATTATAATAAATTTATATTATAAGTTAAAGTTTATTTATTAAATATAATTACTCTACTATTTAAATATATTAAAGTAAATAATAGTTATAAAGTTAATAAAGTAATTTTATTTATTATTTATAAAGTTTTAAATTTTATTAAAATAGTTAAAATTATTATATTAAATAACTATTTTTAAATTATATATATAATAATAGAGGTTATATTTAATTATTTTTAGATATAATTTAATATTTTATATATAATTTAATATAAAAATAAATATTAAAATTTATAAATATTAATAATTAAATATTTATTTATAGTAAATATTAAATTTAAATATAATAGACTTTTATTTAATATTAGTAGGAAGTTTACTATATATTAAAAATATTTTTATTTTATTTATAATTTAATAGTACTTTTAATATAAGATAGAAAAATAGATATTTATATTTATATTTATTAATTAAAGCTTTAAAATAGTAGACTTTTATTAATATAAAGTAGAGAGTTTATATAAAAGAAACTTATTAGTAAAAGTATTAATAATTTATATATTTATATTATTTAAAATAAAATATAACTTTATAACCTTTTAAATAGAAGAGTTGTTTTTATATATAAAGTTATATATTAAATAGAAATAATTATAACTATTTATACTTTTTATTTTTATTAATAGCTAGATTTTAAATAGTTTAATATTTAGTTTATTAATTTTAAAGGAATTATAATAGAAAAATAATAAGTATTAATATATTCTCTTTTAAGTTTATTTATATATACTTAATATTATATTATAAATATTTAGTATTAATAGTTAATTTAATTAATTATTTTATATTTTTATATAGTTTAAAGAGTTAATTATTTTTAAATAAATTAAACTTTAAAATAGATTTTTTTAAAAGTAACTATTTTTTTATTATTATAATAGAATTATTAATTATATTAATATTAAGTTTATAAATAGTAATATTTATTAATTTAAAAGAATTATAAATAATTAAATTATTTAATATATTAATAAGGATATATTTATAGTATAGTTTATATATTTATTTAATTAAAAGTTTTAAAAGTTATATATTTAATTTTATTTCCTTTTATTCTTATATATATTTTAATATAGCTTTTTTATAATTTTATATTTAAAAATAATATTTTTAAAGATATTATTATAAAATCTAATTAATTTTTATTATTTACTTTTTTATTATTATTAAATTTACTTTTAATAAAGTTTAAAGGGTAGTTATTATATATAGGATTTAAAGTTAAAGTTTAGTTATATAATATTTTTAATATTATTTTAATATTATTATAACTTTAATTAGTTAATTAACTTAATATAAAAGTTTAATATACTTAAAGGAAGATTTAATAATTTAAATATATTATTATATAAGTAGTTATATTAAAAGGGTATTAATTACTATTAACTTATATTAAATATAATATAATTTAAATTATTTTAATAATTATTAAAATATAAATTAATTATATTTTTAATATATATAAATATATATATAATAATATTAATATTAAAATAATTATTATATTTATATAATTTTAAAAATAATAATATTTATTAATAAATAGTAATATTAATAATAATATAAATAAATTAAGGTTTACTTAAATTTATTTTTTTATTTTATTATAACTATAATTCTATTTTAATTATAAACCTTTATTACCTACTTCTTATTCCTTACTTTTTAACTATATTTATATAAGGCTTAATAGTTACTAATATTTTTAGGGGTAGACTCCCTACCTAGAATAAATAGGGAGTTTGCGCTAAAAGATGCGGGCTTAAGGAGGTCTGTGTGTTAGAGATAACAGTGAGTGAGCATTCGGCAAGTCACTGCAAGTCACAGATCGCGGCGGCCGCGGGATGCGAGGCGTCTACGGAGCACCACAGTAGTGGATGTTCGTTTGGGTGTTGTGGACAAAATGTGGGGGGGGACAAAAGGCCTCGTTCGACTCCGAGTCCTGCGATAGGAAATTACACATCCTTGGCGTTCCTTTTTTATTGACCAAGGTCTTCCTGAAGTGAGCTGTCAGAGCAGGCTCGGACTCGGAGGAGCTGTACAGGCGCCCCGAAGTGCCGGGACTGCCGGAGGACCGGGGCTGGTTTTGGGGCCTCGGGACTGCGAGGGAGTCTGCGTACTGCGTACTGCGTGCTCCGTGCTCCGTGACCTGCTGACGATCGCGCTGCTGTATCACGAGTGACGCAGCAATGCATGCCCCGGGGTGCCCCTGGGTTACCCGCGCTGAGAGACACTAGATCTGGTTGGTGCTGACATGCTGCGTATAATATCCTATTGGATCTGTATGATTTCCTTTTCAACCCACTTTCGACGTAAGCAGCAAGTAACACGATGAAAAGCACTAGAACCAGGCCCCATCCTATTGAATCAATGCTACGCCCGCCTTGCAAGGTCCCGACTCCATCTACTGATTGATGGTTCCAAAATTACGACAACCTTCCCTCCCGCTTGCCACGCCCTTTAAGCTTTTTGGGGATAGGGCGTTTCAATGGCACTTGATCCTGGTCGCGGCCGCGGGCTCCCCCCTCTTCCTCTCTGCCTCTTCAAACACTACACAGACACCGGCAGGGGTCGGTCTGAATATTCTGCCGCCCCTCCGCTTCTCCGTGCCAGTGGTGCAACTCCAAACTTCACATGCATGGTCAACGCAACGTCTTCTAAAGTCCCGCACCTCCCCTCGACGACGTCTTGATATAAGCTGGACTTCACCTGCCTCAAGCCGATTCAAGTTTGTCGATTGACCATTTCACCCGCCTCAGGTTGCTCAAGCGCCTGTATTATCCGACCGGCCTACTTTCCGCGTCACACTTGGTCGAGAACTTCTCGCTTGGGCCCTTTTCTGCCGCCGTCACCATGGCAAATACTTCTGTTGTCGCAGCGCTGTTGGTCGGCGTGAGCTATGTCATCTTTCGACTGCTCAACAAGGTCGTTGAGTCGCGCAGGAGGACGGCGGAGGCCCACCGGTTGGGTTGCAAGGACCCGCCGCTTGAGCCTAATCGTTGGCCATTTGGAATACACAACGTCATGAAAGCCATGAAAGCCGACAAGGCGAAACTGTTCCTAGAATGGATAGGGGAGCGTCATGCCGCGATGGGCGTTAACACCTGTGAGTTAAGCAGATGGGCGCGTCTTGTGGCTTTGCGTCTGCGCGGCGAGTGATGACGGGGAAGACCGTGACGATTTCTTGACCACCGTCCAAAAAAGGTGGCATGTTTTAATACTGACTGCGACTGCCTCATAGGGAGGTACTCCTTGTTTGGGCTAACCAACGTCTTCACGACGGACCCAAAAAATGTTCAGGCGATTCTGGCGAATAACTTCGGGACCTTTGACCTCGGTCCGCAGCGGGAGGGCATGTTCTGGCCGCTTCTCGGCAGTGGCATTTTCACCCAGAGCGCCAAGGAGTGGAAGCACTCCCGTGAGCTCATGCGGCCGCAGTTCACCCGCGACCAGGTGAGCGATCTGGATCTAGAAGAACTGCACCTGCAGAACATGGTCAGCGCGCTGCGTGACAGGATACAGCCCGATGGCTGGACAAACATGGTCGACCTGCAGGTTCTCTTCTTCCGCCTTACGCTCGATTCTGCGACCGAGTTCCTGCTCGGAGAGTCGGCCGACTCTCAGCTCCAGCACATCCCCGGCTACGGCAAGGAACGCAACTCCGCAGAGGATATTCACAACATCGACTTTGCCTTTCATTTTGACAGGGGCCAAGTTGGACTCGCCACACGCACTCACCTAGGCCCCATGTACTGGCTCTACACCTCGTCCAAATTTCGCGAGTCGGTAAGGGAGTGTAACAAGTTCATCGACTATTATGTCAAGCGTGCTCTCGTTAAGGACTTGCGCGAGAAGGGCTCCGAGAAGGATGGCAAGAAGAAGAAGTATGTCTTCCTGGATGCCATAGCGGAGAAGACTCAGGATCCCATCGAGCTCCGATCGCAGTTGTTGAACATCCTCCTCGCGGGCCGCGACACCACCGCCTCGTTGCTGGGCTGGCTGTTCCACCTGCTTGCCAAGGACCCAGCCCGCTACAAGAAGCTGCGCGACACCATTGTTGAAGAGTTCGGGACTTTCTCCAACCCAAAGGAGATCACCTTTGCCGGCCTCAAGGGCTGCCAATACCTGCAGCACTGCAACAACGAGACGTTGCGCCTCTACCCCGTCGTGCCCATCAATAGCCGCTGGGCCTACAATGACTCCGTATTGCCCACTGGAGGCGGGCCCAACGGCACTGACCCGGTGTTTGTGCCAAAAAACACCGCCGTCGACTACTGTGTCTATCTAACGCACCGCCGCAAGGACATTTGGGGCCCTGACGCGGATGAGTTCAGGCCTGAGCGATGGGAGGGCCGCAAGGTCGGCTGGGAGTTCCTGCCGTTCAACGGCGGGCCTAGAATATGCCTTGGGCAGCAATTCGCCCTCGCTGAGTCGAGCTACGTGACCGTGAGGCTGCTGCAGCGGTTCGACGCGCTCGAGAGCATGGAGCGGGACCCCGTGGCCAGGCAGCACCTGACACTGACGAGCTGCAAAGCCTATGGCGTTAACGTCAGGATGCATGCGGCCGCTCAATCTTGAACCTACAAGAACTCGAGACTGAGGACTGAGACCGGTTAAGCACTTATGCGGTATTGCAGTTTGTGATTGTCTTGATAGAGCATTAGTAACTTGGGTCGGCGTTCAGTGGGTTTTCAGACACCTATGTATTTATCTTGGTGATTGTAATTAATAGCTTTGTATACCTAGGTACTCAGCGATATCTCTCTGCTCCAGGGGGGGGGGCGCTCCATAAAAATACAACCAACAGTTTCCATGGATATAACTTCTTCCGAACAACTATTTCGTGCGGCCCCCGTATTCACACGCAGTTCTTGATGACAGGGCCGCCTGCGTCACTAAATGCCAGCCACGCCTTGATTTTTCAAAAGAAAACTTTTTTTCCCGGCGCACATGGTGCTTGATTGTCATCTGCCTGGTTAACCTATTGGTAGCGGGCTGTCTCACAGGTGGTTATCCCATTTCATGTGGGGCGGGGGGCGGCCCGGAGGTGCGTGATGTAGAGGCTCCAGCCGCGTAATAGCGGATCCTCGAACAAGTACATCGCACGTCTACCCTGATCTGATGATAAGTAGGCTGATCTTCCAACAGGTGTTATCGGTTAACATGTGGGAATACGTTTTGCCGCAAATGTGTAGGAAGGATGGTGTCTAGCCGCTGACAATCCTCCGTTGTGGAACATTACTCGAATTTCTCGTGACCATGGCGTGATGTCACGGCGGATGTGGATGAACAGGGCGCATTTGTGGATCTACTTCCCACCAGATAGTATGCGTGACGACAACAATGTGGCTGTAAAAAGAGTACAAACTGCTCAGTAAACGGTATATAAAGGCACAAGATTCCCTGCAATGCCAAAGCGCAAAAGATCTTCAGCCCAGGTACCACAGTCTACTTTCCATTGAGCACTAAATATCACTACGTCACGACTCGCCGACTAAGACACGGTCTTTCAACAAAGAACGAACATCTGCTCTGGACAATATAAGCAGAAACAATCCCTAGTACACATCACAGAGTTGGAAAGAAGAATCTCGGAACTACGACGCATTCGAAATAGCACCGCGACAACATCGCCACAATGCCGCTACCCGAGTTCCTGACGAACACGCCGCTCCACCCGACCTTCGACCGGGACATCCGAGACACGCACCTGATCTATGATTACGACGCCCAGGACGCCAACGGCAACCCAGAAAAGTGGCGTTACGAGCTGTGGTTCTTCTCTGAGAACAGGATCAACTACGCAATCCATGGCGGGCCGATGGCCGGCAGGGTAAACTACCAGACCTGCCAGTACCAGTGCATACGCCCAGGCGAGATCTGGCAGTGCTCATGGCTCGAGTAAGTCTCCCGCAGCGGGGCCCTCAGACCCAAGCAGGCAGTGTGCCGCCGCGACCCACCCCCTTACATAACACACGACTCGGATTGCAGGAGCTAACCCGTATGCGTGCTGGCAGGGAAACCGGGACGGTCTGCTCTCTGGTGTATGACATCAAAAATCAGAAGATTTCGACTTTGATCTCTTTCTCAAAGGGACACTGGGAGCACCCCGTGGAAGCGCACGGCGACAAGAGGACGCCGGAGGACTTTGAGCGCTGGAGGGGTCTCGCGAAGCTTGGTCACCAGGCGGAGAGGTTCATGTTGTCTGAGCAGGCAGACATCTTGGAGGCCTTCAAAGGCGCAGGAAACTTGTTGCCTATCGAGCGGGATGCTGTGACATTATGAGTAAATTTCTTGCTGCGGTTTTTTTCTCAATTGATAATCCGCACTATTCACAGCACTATTAATATCAATAATAATTAAGCAACTGGCCATCAATACGCGCAAAACTTTGTTGTCATGCAAATTACTCGCAGTATAGTTCGGGTATTCAATCCTGGTTCCTCTGACGTTCCTCGTGGGCGAATATGTGTGTGGAAATGCATCTATCAAAGGCCGCTGCGGTCAACAAACTACCTCATATACCAGTTGACCCTGAGAACAACTGTAAATGGCATTTCATCTGGGTCGTTGGCCAAGATGATGATCCTCTTGTCACATGGAACGCTACCAGCATTATGGACATTGTACCAGGCCTTGCACCAGCTGACGCTTGTGGCAAGTTAATCGTGAAGATTACCAAGTACACTCCATGATGCCGAGTTGAGTTCGAAGAAGCATAAATCAACTATTTCAGCCAGGAGAACAGAATGATGAACCCCCCCCCCCCGCAGATTAGGTACCTAGGTACTCATCTAGTTGCATCTCAGAGCCTCATTGTGGATGAAGAGGCAGAGATCTTGAGCCTGGTGGATTGGGGGATGGCAGGGTTCTTGCCTGACTACTGGGAGCATGTGGGCATGTTTTCGAGGGTTGCTGAGGACCAGGCGGGGTGGACGGAGGTAGTGGTTTCGTTTTTAATCCCCATATATATAAAATATATATAGTACCTTTATATAGTAATAAACGCTTAAGACTTAGTGTTTAAAGAAATATAGTATTAATAATAATAGAAAGAGAATATAGTATATCTATAGGTATATAGTTAAGCTTTATACTATATAAATAAAGTTAGAAAGTATTACTCTTAATAATACTATATTAAAAAGCTAGTAAAGTAGTTATATAATAAGACTAGAATAGTTTCTTAAAATAGCTTTTATAAAAAGAAAAATCCTATAATATAAGACTTAGTAAGCTAGCTCTTTCTTATTAATATACTTATTATATAATTATTTAAATCTACTTTTATTAAATAAATTAAATATATTATAATCTTTATTTTAAATATATAGTTAATAGAATAGTAATATTATAATAATAAACCTATTTAAAAGCCTTTTATATAAATTTTATAAAAGATTAAAACTTTTTAAAAGTTAAGTAGAGTTTATTTATTATATATTAAATAAATATTATATAAGGAAAGTAAAAGTTTAGGTACTTAAAAACTAAATTTTCCTCTTTTAAATATACTACTTTATTATTAAGGATTTATTTACTTTTATATAATATATAAGGAATATAGTAGAAGAGGGAGCTTTATAAGGGAAGCTAGTAACTTTATATATAGATAAGTTTAAGAGTATATATTAAGTAATTATTAACTTTATATTTAAGGTATAAACTAATAGTTAGTTTAAAAGCTGAAAAAATAATGAATAGATAAATAGTTAAATAAAAAATATAATATAGCTGAAGCCTGGATAGAGGTAATGTATAGGACGACGCGCTGTAATTGGGCTGTCGATGCCACTTGGGCTGAAAAGGTGAGACAGGTGACGATCCGAGGAGAGTGTAGGACTCAGCGGTAGCGACGAAGTATTTCCCTCTAAAAATCGAGAGAAAGCATTCTTCTTTTCTATAGGCTGGGCCCCTTAAGTAGAGTTTCACAAGGTTGGCTGTATACCGAAGTCAACAAATTTTAAGACGGCTTGTCGACTTGGGAGTAAAGTGTCCAGGCAGCAGGGCTTCCGAGAATAGATTCTCCCACAATTCCAAGTCCGCGATGCTAAGTGCTAGTGTTTGGCGCTGTCTGTAGACGTAAGGTGCAAGCTGTAAATTCGTCCCATGCCCTCACAATGTAATTTAGAATCGTACGACACAGAGACCAGCAGAGGGCTATTTGGGCTGGTAGGCCACACCTAACAGATCTGAGCCTTAGGACCAAGATTGAAAAGACGAGTCCTTGATCCTCGTCCGGCGAGATGGAGTATATTGATATTCTGACAAGTTCAGGCAACTTGGACGATGCCCTTGTGCCCGATCCAGATGGCTTGGTTGTATCTTCGTTCCTCCGTGAACGACGCCTTCATCCGCAGATGGTGTCTGAACCGGAGCCGCATCCGTCGGAAAATAAACCGGCTGTCAGGATGCTCCGAGTGGGCCATGGGAGAATCAGTGCACGCATCACATTACTAGTACTTTCCGGGCCGAGGCCGGTTCAGAAATAACGCGTTGGCGGTTGAAATGTAACCCCGCGCGCGTATCAGTGAACAAACACTGCAGTGGAGTGCTTGGCATCGCCGAACTCATAGTCATGGGCCGGGTCCAGGGGCGAGAAACCAAAGGCAAATTGTGCGGTGAGATCAGTACTAAACAAACAATAGACGGATCTAAACCCCATGCTGTAGTGTACTACGTTACATTATCGCCGCCAGCGTAAGACCTGGAGCGGGGAAGCTTTCTTCATCCGCATTCGTCCTCGTGATGCAGGGACCAAGAGGAGGGGATGATCGTTGCCCAACAGCCCGCCAGTGATTCGGTCTAGACTGGACCGACCGATTGTACCCATTTTAGCCATGCAAAGTTACCAGCGGTTCTAATGGCCAGGGGTGTCTGATATGGAAGCTGTTAATAAAGCCGTTGGAGTTCTGAGTGTGGGGTACCAGGTTCGGGCAAGACCCTGACAGCCTGAGAGGGACTGATACTACCTCGGGACCAAAATTCCCCATCCCAAGCCCATGCACGATGCTGCATGGGCTATCAGCGTTCCGTTCAGATAACCAATCAACAGCCAATCTGGGGTCAATGGCACGATGAAAGTGGAATTGATGGGCAGGCAAATAGTGTAGTACGGAGTGCTACCCAGGATCCTATGATACGGGCGGGACCTGGCCACTGGCCACCTGGGGTTCCAACCAGAAACGTTGATATTCTCCTGGTCCCCTCCTACGATACATGTCAAGATAGATGCCCCGTGGTCACTCAAATAATTCCCGTTTCTGACATCACGGATCGGCTCTACCAGAAAACTGACCTTGCACCGGCTCGGAGGACCCTTGCGCCAACATGGCTGAGAAGGTCGAGGTCGCTAACGAGGGCATCTCGCCCGCCGACCCGGAGAAGGCACCTCACCATGTAGGAGAGGAGGAGAACTGGGGCGACCAGATCCCCCATGAAATGCTCGAGACGCTGGCGCCAAACGGCGAGGCCGAGTACATCCTCGACAAGATCAACAACATGAGCGAGGAGGAGGCGATCGAGATCGTCACCGAGAGCGTGCGCTTCCACTCGGATGACTGGAACTTCCCCACCGACATGAGAGAGCGTATGGTCCGCCTGCTGCAGGGCAGGAAACTCTACGGCGAGTTCTACGACCGCGACCTCAGGATCGACGCCACCATGATGCGCTGGTCATCCCCTTACCCGGGGGTCCGCGCGGTGCAGGAGCTCGAGATGAACGACCACATCCCAATCGAGACGTTCCGGGCTTATTTCCTCGGCATAGGATGGGTGAGTAATGGTCAATAGTCAAAAAAAGCATTCGTGAGTATCGGTGCTAACAACTCCGCGTCCGTACGTAGGCTGTTATCGGCACGTTCATGTCAACTTTCTTCAACTCGAGATTTCCCGCCATCACCCTTGGCGGTGCTGTTATTCAGATCCTCCTATTCCCGTGTGCAAAGGTGCTCGAGTATGCCCTGCCTGATTGGGGTATCACGGTGTTTGGGACCCGCCACTCCCTCAACCCAGGGCCGTGGACGTTCAAGGAGCAGAGTAAGCCACACTCTCCAGGATGCTTATGGCAGTTTAATAACATGTTTTTCTGCGTTTAGTGTTCAGTACAATAACGTATAACATAGGTTGGTTTCGCTTCTATTCCGTATACGTCCGGGGACATACATGGCTCACGTATAACAAACATAGCGATTTATACCACCAACAGCTATTCCATGATCCTAGTCCAGAAGATGCCGATGTTCTACAACGAGAAGTTTGTGCACTTCGGCTACCAGTTCATGCTCACAATCTTTGTCCAGACGATGGGAATGGGTCTCGCTGGGTACCTTCGCCGGTTTAGTGTCTATCCTGTCAAAGCGTTGTGGCCAGTAAGCATCACCTTTCAACTCCCACAAACTCCCGTCTTTCATGTCCGAATGTTTTGGACTTCCAGAATACAACACTTTGGGATCTAGGCTAAGAAAAAAGACCGTCTTGCCCACAATTGCGATGAATAGGGCACTTACAAGTACGGAGCCCAGGGACACGATAATGGCGTTTGGCAAAAGTTGGACGGCATCGCGGTACAAATTCTTTTATATTTGCACCATATCGATGTTTTTCTACTACTGGCTCCCGGGCTATCTCTTTACGGCGCTTAGCACCTTCAACTGGATGACCTGGATCGCGCCGCAAAGCCTCACGCTGGCCATCCTGACGGGGTCGAGTCTCGGGCTGGGGCTGCTGAACCCCATAACCACCTTCGACTGGAACGTCGCGACCTCCTCCTATGCTGCGCTCGCCCAGCCCTTCTTTGCCACATGTACAATGTACATCAGCGCTATCCTGGGCGGCTTCATCATTCTCGGGATCTATTACACGAACATGTACAATACCGCTTACCTGCCTATCAACTCGTCCTCGGCCTTCACCAACAACGGCACCGCGTACAAGGTCCAGGAGGTCATTACCAACAATAGGCTAGACCCGGAGAAGTACCAGAATTACTCGCCTCCTTTTTATACCGCAGGCTATATCCTCACCGTCGGCGCAAACTTTGCCTTCTATCCGGTCTACTTCCTCTACATTACGTTCAACCAGTGGAAGACCGTGTCCAACGCATACAAAGACTTTTGGGCTGGGATACGTCACGGCAAGGGCAATTACGAGGGTGCTATGGATGTCCACAGCCGGTGAGTTCTCAGAGTGCTCCCAGTATCCTTTGCCTTGTGTTGCTTAGGTAGACCGGATGAGTCTCCCGAAGGTTTCCATTTTCAGATCCACACTGCTCTTCAACAGGCTGTTGAGACCATATGAGCTTCCGACCAACCTTGGAAAATATTTGCTGACAAAAATAGGTTGATGGGTCGTTACCCCGAGGTCCCCGACTGGTGGTTCTTGCTAATCCTAGTGCTGGCGATTGTACTGTCTGTCATTTTCCTCGAGATCTATGACCTCGCCACCCCCGTGTGGCTCACGTTCCTCGTCATCGGAATCAACTTGGTCTTTGCCGTGCCTCTGTCCTTCCTCTCCGCAACCACGGGCACGAACCTCGGCCTCGGCTCGCTGATCCAGGTCATCACGGGGTTCTTGCTGCCGGGCAACTACAACGCCTACCTGTATGCGCAGACGCTTGGTTCATGGGCCTTGGCGGGATAGTAAGTACCGTTCTTTTTCTCTTACGTGTCCCTGCCTTTCATGTTCAGAATCCATAGCAGGTGACTAACACTTACCAGTTCGGACAACTATGTGCAGGTTAGTTCTTTACTCCATACCTAGGTACACCGTAATGGGTCTTCTATCAAAGCTGTATCTCCTGCGCCTACACAGCCTGGAAAATCTCGCTGGTGCTGTGGCTGGCTATATATATACTTTGATTCAACCAATTGCGCCTCGCATTGGACAACACAAAACCACAATCTTTGCTGACAAGAGACACTTCAACCTGAACAGGACCAGAAGATGGCCCACTACTGCAAGATCCCCCCGCGCGCCGTGTTCCGCAGCCAGATCGGCACCATCATCATCACCTGCTTCGTGGCGGTGGGCACGCAGGACTTCATCATGAACCACGTGCAGGGGCTGTGCACGCCCAACCAGCCGCAAAAGTTCACGTGCGCCGCCGACGGCGCCCCGATGTACGCAAACAGCCTCATGTGGGGCGTGCTGGGCTCCAACATCATGTTCAACTCCATGTACCCGCTCTTCAAGTGGTGCTTCCTCATCGGCTTCGCCATCTCGGTCGCCTTCCTCGTCCCGCAGTACTACGGCCCCATCTACCTGCCCGGCGTCAAGGAGCGGCTCAGGCAGAGGCTGGCGCCCAGGACTTTCGAGCTGCTCGACCGCTCCCTGTTCCCCTTCGTCGCGTCGCTGCTGTGGCTGAACCCCATCCTTATCATCCAGGGCATCCAGCACTGGGCGCCGTCTAACCTGTCGTACAAGACCCCCGGCATGATCCTGTATGTGGCCCCCCGTGTTCTGTTGTTCCCAGCCATACTATGCTCTCAAGCTTCTAACTAACATTTCACACTTAGGTCCTTCATTTTCATGTACTGGCTCCCTAGGCGTCACCTGGCGTGGTGGGAAAAGTACAACTATGTCCTGTCGGCTGCGCTGACGGCCGGTGTCGCCATCAGCGCCTTGGTCATGTTTTTCGCCGTCTCCTACCGCCCCGTCAGCCTCAAGTGGTGGGGAAACACTGTCAGCTCGGCGGGGATGGATGGCAGCAGCGTTGGGATACTGCCCATCCCAGAGCGGGGGTACTTTGGCCCGGAGAAGGGGCACTTCCCATCTTGATACATGTCATGACAAGCACTGAGCATCAAGACGGACAAGGCCCAGGTGCCTACTAGCAAGAACTTACATAGAAAAGGGAGGGTGGGAGGCTTTAAATGCGACGTGGATATTATTGGGTATCTGGGTATCTCTGTTTATGCTCTCGCATTATCTCAAAACAATGGCATGTGTATCCTGTAGCGTCGTATGAAGGCGTCGTCTTCAGTCTGCCAGCAGTACTTTGATGATATCGGCCCATGTCCCGACGGGTGGCATCAAAGACTGGCTTATGGGCGCCAATTCTGCTCGCACGGCACGGCCGTCATCTATGCGTGTTCGAAAAAAGCCCGGACACCCCTTGCTACCAATTAATTCGAAGCAGCCCCTCTCCAGGTATTCCTCTTGCCAGACTTGGACAAAACGATAGGTCGTGTGCGCGGCTGCAGTGGTGCATACCAAGGAAGTTCCTCTTTCTCCCCTCCCTTGACCTTGGTGTCCGAGTCCTGGGGCTGTTTTCCTCTCCTCTTTCTGTGGTCTTTCCGTCCGCGTCGTTGACTGCCTTCACTCGCTGCATTGCTGCTGGGGATTCTCTCCGCCTCGGCTTCGCCACTCCCTGTGTCGTCGACAGGCATATCAGCGCCCAGGTTTGTCCGGCCCAGACAGGCAGGGCATTTACGTCCCTCGAATCTCATACCCTCTTCCAGTTGCTTCCTGGATGTGCCGCATTCGGAACAATGGAGGCCACACAGAAAGTTGAAGCAGCCCTTGACCCGACACTCAACCTTCCAGGTACAGTCTTGCCCCAGATGCGACCCACCACAGCGACAGCGCTTCAGCTTGCACTGCAAGCCGCTATGGCCCTTGATCCCGCACATGCAGCAGCGTGACTTGCACGTCATGGCGCTCTTGTGTTTGAAGTGGCCGGGCGGATACGGGTTGCCACAATCCCGCGAGCAGAGAACAGCACACTTTGTGGCGACGTGATATTGCGGAAAAGGCACGCACTTGCACCGGTTTTGCTTGGCCACGGGACAGTCGTTTGCTGTGTGGAGGTTGTCATGCTGCCTGAACCCCTGGCCCGGGTCTCTCAAGGACTGGACTTGGGAAAGGCTCAACGCGCTGCCAACGCACTGACTGTTGGGGCTCGGTGCGCCGCAGAACCCGCATGGCTTTGTGCAAACCGAATGTGTCGACGCGCAATTTGAGCAAGGATGGGCACAAGAGTGATGTGCGTCATCCCCGCCCAGGACGCCATAAAGCATCCTGTTAAGCCCCGCCCAATCGACCTCCTCCACATTCATGCCACACTGACGGATGCTGTCCTCAAGGCATTCATTGAGGTCGTGCAAGCGCGTTGGGAATCGATGGGCTGAGGGTGCCTGCCACGGATTGGGTTGAGCTTCATGCTGGGGCTCCTCACGGCGTGTGCCTTGGTCATGGCGACCTCCGCGGCGAGTGTTCCAGTCAAACATCTCGGCAACCCGCGTTCTGCTCAGGCTCCGACGCCGGCTCCGCTGGTAGAGGGTGTCGAGCTTCATCTGGGGGAATGTCAAGACCCCATCCAGGCAGCTAAACAGCAGGGGAAGTCTGGCGGAGGTGAAGAGGCCAGGTGGCGGCTCACTCGTTGCTCGTCGGCGCGAGCGGTGGATCGACCTGCCCCTCTCGACCACGCCATAGCCGGACACTGCTGTGGACCAGACTGGGTTCCGGCCCAGGCCCCTTCCGGTCATGCCGCTGGAGAAGTCAACCGGGGGTGACGCCTTCAATACCTGGACCCATTGCTGCCCGGACGGCCATGCGCGTGAGGGAATGTGTAGGACTCTTCTGGGCGCCCGAGCCTCGGGCCAGGGGTAAACCATGTCCATGATGCAGTCCCAAAAGCGATTGCGGTAGAGCGTCATATCCTTGTCTGCTTCGGTGATACTCGCCAGGTAATCCGCCCTCGCCGACTTTGACGAAACCAGAGGCAGTCGTAGTTGGGGGAGGAAGGGGCCGCCGTCGTACAAGGGAGGCAGGTTGTTGTCGAACAGCCTTGCCGAAGTGGCTGCCAAGAGGTAGGCATCCTGCGGGTACCACTTCTTCCCGTCATCGGCCATCTGCCTCTTCTCACGCCTCTTCCGCCTCTGGGCCGGAGCAGCACGGGTCTGCTCGGGCCGCGAGCTGGTGGGCAAAGTGTTGTACGAGGACAGGCTTGGCGGGCGCATGGCCTGCAGCCAAAGCCTCAAGCAGGCGTCGTCTGTCTCGAGATAGTGCCTTGTCACCAGGTCGATGATTTCTTGCCCAACTGTCGGGGGCATCCGCCCCGTGTTTCCCCCAGCAACCCGCCCCGGAACCCCAGCACGCCAGCGGTGCCGATATACGGTGTGTTGTGTGGGCGAAGTCTCGGAATGGATTTCGAGATGCATGAAGAAGCACAGTGGCTCGGGATGGCGTTCGGTGACGCTGCACGTGGTCAGCATCTTTCGCAGCAGCTCGAGGTCGCGTGCGAGCTCTCTGTCGTGGGCCCTGATGGGTCCAAAGTTGTGTAGGCCATCCTCGCGCTTCAGTGGGTGGTCGGGTACGTGTCGCTTGCGGCGGGCATCGAAAGTCTGGGCGAGACCCTTGCTCTTGGGGAACATGAGCTTCTGCATGACACGGTTGACGATGATGTCGCGGGGCCCAATGCGGCGGTGTTCGTAATGCTCGAAGGGGAGGTCGAAGTCAAGGGGGTAGTGGCGGGCACTGGCACTCGGGCGTTGTTCGCCGTCGATAGATCTGAGTAGAGCCATTTTGGAGGTCGGGGAGGTCGGTTCTCATTGCCTGGATGGTGAAGGGGACAAGACGAATCAAGGCATGCGATGGAGTTTGAGCGGTGACAGCTGTCGACGCCCGTCTCTCCCCGCTCCGTCGTCCTCGCCGTCGGCCCGCAGCCTCATAGCCTCGCGGGGAACTATGTTGTGAATATGGAGTGGATCTGATTAGGGGCTTCGGTGGCCTGATGGATCGATGTTGGAGAGGCGGGATGGTGGAAAATAGAATCGGGTGTGGTGTTGCGAATGGCAGCGGAAAGGCTGACATCACCGCAGGCTGCAGGCAGGCAGTCAGACATGCCAGACACAAGTACCTAGGTACCTGGGCACCTGGGCAGGTACAGACTGTACAGTTCGGAGACAGGTACTCCGAACCTGGGCTAGGCTCGGCTAGTAGCTGGATCGGTCCGAGGAGATGGCGGGGGCGGGGTTCCCTAGGGCAGCTACCCTTCTTGGGTTCCAACATCGACAGGCCACTCCCAGCAGCTGTGTGGGCAGCTCTTAAGATGCATCTGTCTCTCATGGCTGTCAGTCAACCTTGGAACCCATTTACCTGGTCAATGCTGTAAGTCTCTGCCAGACAACCAACCCCTATGCAAGTCAGAGGAGGATGTCTACCCTTGCACGCGTGGGAGTTACACAGCATGCACTCTGGCTGGAGAACATCAGCATCCCACGCATCCCACGCATCCTTGGACCGCCAAGCAGGGGCTTCTTGGCCGGCATGCTTCTGCGGCTGGTGGAGAACTGCCAGCCTGGACTGTCGACATCACACTGGGTTCTAATGGAGCCAGCCACGAGCAGCAATCATGACTGGTACGTATGGACGATTCGCCGATTATTCTGGCATCTAGTCTAAGTGTCGATTCCTTCACAGCCACCTGGGCACTTGATCCTACTTCAGCTGCAGGTGCGCCTGGGCGTGACCTTATTTCTCAGATTCGAACACAATGCCGTTTTGCCTCCTCATGCTCTCCATGGCAGTCAGGACATCAGTCGTCAGTTCTCTCAGCTTGCCCTCGGCCTGCTTGTCACCTTCCTGGATGATGCGGGCCAGCTCCTTGGCCTCCCATGTCAGGTTCAGCAGCCCTTGGTACTCGGGCTTGGTGTCTGCCAGCTGCTCGCCCTCCTTTGAGCCTCGGGGCACGAACTCTATCGTGTTGATGTCAGTCACCCCGGTGGCGCCGTTGACCCTGACAGTGCCCTTCTCGCAGTAGATCTCCGTGGGCGCCGCCGACGTGTAGATCTTGCTGGTGTGCGCGTGCACCGTGAACTTGGCCTTGTGTCTGGATGACTCGGCGCTGTACTGGAGGATCATGTGCCCGCCACCGTCCACGCCCGTGCGGATGATGACAGGGTGGTACGTCTGTGCTGCTGGCTTCCCAAACAGCGCCACCGAGAACATCACGGGGTAGCAGCCCATGTCCCACAGTGCACCTCCCGAGAACTTGGGCGACAGCACGTTTGGCTCCTCGCCCGCGAGTACCTTGGCATAACGGGACGAGTAGACGGCCATCGACAGGCTGGCGCCGTAGATGGGGCCGAACTTGCCTGCCTCGGTGGTCTCGCTGTCCAGGAGCCTCTGCAGCTTGATGAAGTTGGGCTCCTGGATGTGCCTGAAGGCCTCCAGCAGGAAGAGCCCCTTGGAGTCGGCAAGGTCGTAGAGGGCCGTCATTTCCTTGACATTGGAGGCAATCGGCTTCTCGATGATCAGGTGCTTTTGTGCGTTCAGAACCTGCAGGCCTTGTGCGTAGTGGAGAGAGTTGGGCGAGGCAATGTATACCACGTCAACCCCGGCGGAGCTGTCCGAGAGGAGCGAGCCGAGATCATCATAGGTCCTGACCGAAGAGGCGTCGGTGATGGACGGCGTCTCGGCCACGAACTTGCCTGCGGTCTCGAGGCTGCGGGAATAGACGGCCACCAGCTGGAACCTCTTGCTCTCGTGCGCAGACTGCACGAACGAGTTGGTGATCCAGTTGGTGCCGATGACGGCCAGCTTGAGTGGGGCTGCCATGATATATGTACCGTGTAAGTCCCAAGGTTTCGGTTCGGTGGCCTTCGTCCGCGCTTTGACCCAGTGTCACCGTTCCTGAGGGGGAGATCGAACTGACAGATCAGCAGCAGCTACTGATAGCTCCTGGTCTCTCAGGTTCTCTCTGCTGCCGAGACGGCTGGACGGCTTATCGCGGCTGACGTGAGAGCTCAAAAACTTTGGGCCGGTGGAACCAATGTTCCGAGCTCTAGAGAAACATGACACAAATAGAACGGGCATAGCTGGAAACAACTGAGTCCCAACGCAGATCATTTCGATGCGGGGGATAGTCTGGGATAGTCTGGGCCAATCGAGCTCTTTCGGCTGTCGAAACCGCGTGCCGTGGGCCCCCCTGATCCTGGTTCCCTTGTCAATTTCGCCTGCGAGTCAAACCGCGCGGCTGTGTGAACCGCCCAAATAGTGGATATGGCCCAAATGGCTCCTCGGCCCTCTGAGATGAGCAGGCCGTAAACAGCTTAGACGTGGGATTTCACGAGGTCAGCTTTTCGGGCCCCCTGTTGGTGCCCCTGGGCGGCCGTGGCCGGGCCTTTGATGCGGCCAAGGCCTGGATAAACTATTAAAATAAACATGGCCCCCATTCCAACTCTGTCCACGGAGCCTCCCTGCCGAGTAGATCACTTCTCTTGTATCATTCCGACCTTCCCTATTAACCCGGCCTCGCGCCGACCACACTCCTTGAAAGAACACCAGTCGCTCCTTTGCATCTCTCATTCTCACCTTCACCTTCACCATGGTCCGCTCTATCCGTGGTGTTTCGCAGGCGGCCGCCGCGGTAGTTTTGGGCGCGGCCGGTCTTGCTCAGGGCCTGACCACCGAGGAATGGCAGGCTCAGTCCATCTACCAGGTCCTGACGGACCGTTTCGCTCTGCCGGATGGCGACTCCAACGCTGCCTGCAACGACCTCGGCACCTTCTGTGGCGGAACCTGGACGGGCATCAAGAACCAGCTGGACTACATCCAGAACATGGGCTTTACCGCGGTGTGGATTTCCCCCATTGTCAAGAACATCCAGGGCGGCACCAGCCTCGGGGACGCCTACCACGGCTTCTGGGCTCAGGACATTTACTCTCTGAACGAGCATTTCGGCACTGAAGATGATCTTCTTGCCCTGTCCGAGGAGATCCACAAGCGCGGCATGTACCTGATGATCGACGTGGTCACCAACCACATGGCGTTCCCTGCCGACATGTCGTCGTGCGACTATACCCAGGCGACCCCTTTCAACGCCGCCTCGTATTACCACGACCCCTGCGTCATCAACGACGACGATCCCGAGACCGTCATCAAGTGCTGGGAGGGCACCTCCGGGGTCTCCCTGGCCGACCTGCGCACCGAGGACGCCAATGTGCGCGACATCTGGAAGAGCTGGATTGCCGACATTGTCACCAAGTACAAGATCGACGGGCTTCGTCTCGATACCACCAAGCACGTCGAGAAGGACTTCTGGGAGGAGTTCCTCGCCTCCGCTGGCGTCTTCGGTACCGGCGAGATCCTCAATGGCGACCCAAAGACTTTCCCCGGGTGGATCAGCGATGTTCCTGGATTCGTCAACTACCCTGCGTAAGTCACTGACACAGTCCTTTTTCAGGCATATTCGCCATCCATTCAGGTGGGATGAGACTCTAACGTGGCAACAGATACTTCTGGCTCACCCGCGCCTTCGCGTCCAGCTCGGCCACCCTGTCCGAGCTCGTCACTGGCATCAACGAGATGAAGTCGCTCATGAAGACCAGCACCTTCTCCTCTTTCCTTGAGAACCACGACAACCCCCGCTTCTCCTCGCTGACCCAGGACATCACCCTCGCAAAGAACGCCCTGGCCTTCTCCATGCTGATGGACGGCATCCCAATCATCTACCAGGGCCAGGAGCAGTGGCAGGAGTTCACTGGCACCGAGGCCCCCTACAACCGCGAGCCCATGTGGACCTCGAGCTACAACACCACCTCTGAGCTGTACTCGTGGGTCTCGACCCTCAACAGCGCCCGCTCGCTGGCCATCTCCCAGGACCCCACCGCATACATCGCCTACCAGGCCAACCCGATCTGGAGCGACGACCACACCGTCGCGATGAAGAAGGCCGACGTCGTCACTATTGCCACCAACGTCGGCGAGGCCGGCAACGTCGGCGCCATCTCGCTCCCCGCCAGCTCCACCGGCTACATCGCCGGCCAGGTCTACGTTGATCTCGTCAGCTGTGCCAGGTACACGGCGGGCACTGACGGTGGCATCTCTGTGACCATGAAGGCCGACCCGATTGTGCTCTACCCCCAGTCGAGGCTGAGCGGCAGCAACAGCACCCTCTGCGCCTAATTCAACGTCTAACGGACAAGAACCGCTCGAGTCGGAGCAGAATAGTTTAGACAGATTTCTATACCTAATAGACTACCATGAATACTTGAATACGCACGCACCATAGTGTTATTTTGAGCACATTCCAGCTTGGACTCATCACAGCCTATTAAACTGCTTTACATGTGTGAATGACAATTAGTAGTGTTGCGGGTGCCTCATAAGCGGCAACTTGACAAATTCAATGTGACTTTGGCCTCAATCTCCCTTGCGCCATACGGAACATCATCAAATTTGAGGCAGTGTGGCCATGGTGGCGTGGTCAACACCATGTTAATGGCTTCCCTAAACTAAAGCTTTGGCCTTGTTTAATTTGATGGGAATTGCATCATCTCGGTAGATCGTGGGTCCAGGCAGGGTCTAGGATCAATGCACGGCCACAAAGCATGTGGCCGATGGCCAGAACATAACACCAAGGAGCAAAGACCAGCTCAATTACTCGCGTGTAACTTTGTTTTATACTTAAAGACCAGCCATTGGTCAGAACCACGATCAGCTCTCTGAGAGTCGATACTGAGGTAACTACATTCAAAATGTGCTGTAGGATAGGATTTTCACACTTGCATTTGACACCATCTCACGTCGAGATGTCGAGCATGACTACCTACCCTTTTCTTTATGAAAGAGAGTGCTTCCCGTGTGCAAGCTTATTCCTTTTTAAGGTTTGACCCGGGTAACTTTAAACGCACATTGGGCCTCTGCTGAGAACTATTCAGAGGCTAGGAGTCCGAGGAGCTCAACTACTCGTGAGATCTTCTTTCATCATGTGATTAAAAGAGGAAAAGACGAAGAGAAGCCAAAATTAAGTATTTACCTGCCTTCATGTTAACTTCCGTCAAGTACCAGTGAGACAGCAATGCTTAGGTGGTGTTGCATGTATATCCCCGGACGTATGCGGAATAAAAGCGAAACTAACTAGTAACGTGGTGTTGAGGCAGCTGCAGTCTGTATTCTCTACCTAAGTACCTGTATTCTCGGAGGGCTATGTGCAACGAGTCCTAAATACCACGCAATGTCATACATTCAGCCTAATGCCGTGGACTTCTGAACGAGCCATCGGCTGTTCGGGTTTATCGTGAGCTAACGTCATCATACTCACCGTGGATGGATTGCAAGGGCCACAATGGAACGTTCACCAACAAAAGAGGTTACATGCTGAAAGCGTGGTGATACTATTTGGATATTTATTACCAACATGGTCCCTCCGTACCCAGGTAGTAGAGCCGCCGCTGAGCATCTCCAAACATGCCCAGGTGATGAGCCAACATGTCTACATACTAATGAAAGGTATTACTCCCAAAACAGAAGCTTTTCTGGTCCATCAAGAATAATTCCATATTCCGCATACAGTATTCACCCAATGCGCCTGACCAATGGTAAGAACAGTCCTGAGGCTGTCCAAGCCGGTGGCCCAGCCCACGGCATTTGATAACGTCAGTCAATGCATTCGAAAGCCACACCTCGTGCTGCTCTGGATGAGGGGCCAGAGAAGAGAGCGAGGCGTGTTGAAATGTATTTGTGCGCCTGATTTCATCAATTTTCTAGGCCGGACGTCACGAGCTGCCCTTTCAATCCCTCCCCATCGCATTGAGTATTATGAGATGCTTGACAGCCACCGAGTCACGAAGTATGTACAAAGGCTCGTCGAGTGCCCCACTGGAGGTACGCGCGTGTTAGTGATGAGAAACTCTAGGATCTGCCTGGAGAGCACGCTGACGAGAGTGCACCGGGGATGAACGCTAAAACATTCAAACAGCAGGGCGATACTACATCTACCCGCTGACTGGGATTCATGAGTGTCTTGTATTGGTAGTTCATCTCGAATGAGAATATTCATATCGGGCGCAGGTTTCAAAGTTGTGAATTGCTTCCCCGTCCTTAACGAGTACGCTCAGGTTGACTGGGCAAGGGGTAGACATTCCGGGTGCGACCGCTACTAATTATGTTGGTGCCCAACAATTGATGCACCGGGGCATAAAAGCCGCCTAGTTACGGTAAGGAAATAATCGAGATGCGTCCTGCTGAATGTATCCTGAGGAAATTGTCATGTCTAGGGCGTTCATGCTGGAATTGACCGGCGGCTGGAGAGAGCTTTCTACAGAAACTGTCTGTCATCTCTCCTCAAAGACGGGCTACGAGCTTCCCAAAACACCTACAACTGTACGGACTACTCTGTACTTTCTGTCAATTCTAAAGTTGAAGACTAGCATAGGATCAATATATCCCAACATCGAGTGGACCAAAGAATTAGGAACATCTCACATCGTATATGCAGACCTGCCTGGAGTACTTCTGCTGAGCTGCCGGCAATCTGGGCGACCGTGCAGAAATGATCAGCGTGTTTCACACGGGCATGCACATCTATCTGGCATGCACATGTACGAAGCATGTGCCCTTGCAGCGCGTGGTCTCGCTCTGGCTGGGCTACTGCCAAGAAACCCCAATGCTCCTCCGGTGCTGGGGCCCCAGATTGTCGGAACCCATTTGAGCGCTAATTACGAAATTGGGTGGGCGTTGATGCGCTATCAGCCACGTAGATTGAGCTTGGAGTTACCTCGGCGTCATGACTAAGTGCCCGGGGCTGCAGACAGACAAAGACGTGCCTATTCCTCTCGAGTGCTGTGCCCACGCTCCTCCCGCCGCCTTCCATCGCCGGGGAATACAGGAACAGGTTTCTTATCGCCTCACCCCTGGCAGACAAGTGGGACTCTCTTGAACTCCAGGCTGTCCTTGGTCGGGCCCGGCCCTTGGTCGTCGTCACGCTGCCTATCATCTCGACGGATCTTCTTGTCCTCCATATCGGTCCGTCTAGTTATCTCGCCCATCAGCTATCGCCCATCATCTCCCGCTGCCCCCGTGCCTTATCCGATCCTGGAACTGGCGGGCTCCTCTCCCATGCATTGATAATAACCCGGCTAGCCCGCTGCACACGCGCACTTTAGCTCACGCACTGCAACCCCCAATGGCCTTGGCCTCCTCTTGTTCTTTGCCAGCCTTGGAACTGCGGTAGCACCACAGCAGGAACAGCCGCAGCCGCAGACGACATAACCCGCGGGTGTCAGTTTACCATACATACCCACCTCACCGGTGTCTGTTCCTGTCCCTGCTTCTGCTTCTGCTTCTGCTCCTGCTCCTGCCCCTGTCTCCGCCTGTGCTTCGACCCAAGACAGCAGGATACATACCGCCAGCATGAGCAGACCTCCGACCTCAACATCCGCGTCCAGTGCCCGGCGGCACTCGGCCGTCAGCCATGGAGGCGGCGCGGCAGACGACGACCTCGCCCGCATGGGCTACAAGGCCGAGCTGCCCCGCTCGCTGTCCATGCTGTCGGTGTTGGGCCTCAGCTTCGCCATCATGGCCGTGCCGTACGGCCTGTCAACCACCTTCCTGTACTCGCTCGCCAACGGCCAGTCCGTCACCGTGCTGTGGGGCTGGGTCATGCTGTCGCTCATCAGCATCTGCATCGCCGCATCCTTGGCCGAGATCTGCAGTGTCTTCCCGACTGCCGGAGGCGTATACTATTGGGCCGCCCTGCTGTCAACTCCCGAATGGGCTCCCATAGCGTCGTGGATCACCGGTACGTACCCTGTTCTTTTTTTCCTATCATAGGTTCTTGGAGTCCACACATGCAGTCGACCTTGGGGAGACTATCTATCTGGACACGTTGGTCCTGCAGTGCGGGCTATCAAGTACATGGCATCTAATCAAGGCATGGAACACAGGCTGGCTCACGCTCGTCGGAAACTGGACTGTCACTCTATCCATCAACTTTGGCGGTGCGCAGCTCATCCTCAGCTGCATCACCCTCTGGCGTGAGGACTTCGTGGCCACCCCTTGGCAGACGGTCCTCATGTTCTGGGCCGTCATGCTGGTCACCTACCTCGTCAACGTCTTCGGCAGCCGGTACCTCGACCAGATCAACACCATGTGCATTTGGTGGACCGGCGCCTCCGTCATCATCATCCTCGTCGTGCTGCTGGCCATGGCCCGCGGCGGCCGGCGCAGCGGCGAGTTCGTCTTTGCACACTTCGACGCCTCCGGTTCCGGCTGGGCCCCCGGCTGGTCCTTCTTTGTCGGCCTGCTGCAGCCCGCCTACGTGCTCACCGGCTACGGTATGGTGGCGGCCATGTGTGAGGAGGTCCAGTCCCCCGAGCGCGAGGTCCCCAAGGCCATAGTGCTCTCGGTCGTCGCCGCGGGCATCACCGGCCTCTTGTACCTCATCCCCGTGCTGTTCGTCCTGCCCGACGTCCAGGAGCTTCTTGTCGTCGCCAATGGCCAACCCATCGGTGTCATCTTCAAGACCGCGACCGGCAGCGCCGGCGGTGGCTTTGGGCTTCTCTTTCTCATCCTCGGCATCTGGCTGTTCGCCGGCATCGGAGCCCTGACTGCCTCGAGCAGGTGCACGTATGCCTTTGCGCGGGACGGCGCCATCCCCGGCTCCGGCTTGTGGAGCCGCGTCGACAAGCGATTCGATATCCCGCTGTGGGGCCTGACGCTCTCGTTCCTCGTCGACTGCCTCCTGGGCCTGATCTACTTCGGATCCGCGGCAGCCTTCAACAGTTTCACCGGCGTGGCCACCATCTGTCTCTGTGCTTCCTACGCGCTGCCTATCCTTGTGTCGGTCGTGAGGGGCCGCAAGGCCGTCGCATATGCATCTTATTCGCTTGGCAAGCTCGGATTTGTGATCAACATCATCACGCTCTGCTGGGTGGCGCTGTCTATAGTCATCTTCTGCATGCCTTCCGTGCTCACGGACCTCACGGCCTCCTCGATGAACTACGCTAGTGTTGTGTTTGCCGGGTTTGCGGCTATCAGCATGGTGTGGTACTTCGTGTGGGGCAGGAAGCATTTCGCTGGCCCGCCTATCCTGAAGTCCGAGCTGGCTGGTAACGGTGTTGGCGTTGTCGTACACGGTCACGATGTTGAAACGGCCACTAAGGCCGAGCATGGTAAATTGGATGAGGCTGACAAGTCCACGTAGATTCAATTTGGCCACCTCGAGGTTGGATGCATAACATAGTTATCAATATACGCTTTTAATATTAAACTGCAGCTCGCTGGGGTTGACAATATAGTATTGAGAGCTTGTTTAAGTACTGAGGTGATCGTCCCCAGCTCGAACCGGAAACCAATTATTTGCTGGCCTTTTGAATGGCGCAGTACCAGAACTGGTTCAGATTTGCTCAATACATTCTGCCCAAAATGCTAGATGCCTCCAACCATTTACTACAAGCGCTGTAGCCCGGGTAGTTCAGCTCAGCTCGGCCATGCCTAAAAGCCCTGCTTCTCAACTTGAGCCTGGGCCGCAGCGATTGTGGCAGCTGAGTTGGGATCCTCAAAGCCACAGCCTTGCTTCCCGTCTGGTGCGTGTCAGTCACCTGCTTCGGAGTGCACACTACTGGAACGCCACAAGAAACAAAAGAGGGCGATCGATTGAGCACGAGAAGATATGCTTACTCTGGAATTGTGCGCCTTCAGCGGAGCAGATGCCAACACCGCTGGTGTTGATCTCGGCGCAGCATGCACTGCGGCAGTCCGCGTCGGCGACGCACCCGCCAGTGGTGAACTGCTGGGCTTTGCCGTTACCGACGTCCTTGGCTCCAGCGTTGTTAGGGGCCAGGGCAAGAACAGAGGCGGCAACTGTCACGTGAAGAGTAGTCAGTATACTTATCTAGGTGACATGGCATCGAGCGTGATTACTGCCCAGTGGGGATAAAACTCACAAGCCAGGACGGTAGTGAGAGCGATGCGGACCATATTGAACGATGGAAATTTGAACGGAAGTTTGTGCTGGAATAATTAAAAGTCTTATTAAATAAAGCAACGACAGCCAGGTCGTAAGCGAGTGTAAGTGTTGGATGAGTCTGGAGAATATGCCAGACGAAAGTGAAGAAAACGCTCTTGGCACCAACTACACCCTTTATATACCCCATTACGATGCCATTTTGGCGTTGGTGAACGGCTGTCTGCTGCATCCGTGATTAGCCCACCAACTAGAACTTTAGAATTGTAAGTGTATGAAGGGGTCATTTTACAGCGCCGGTGCTGAGGAAATGTGAGGTCCGCATGGCATCACAAGATGCCGTTGAGTGGTTTGTCGCAGATCCGCGGATCTGGTTGCTGTACATTCTCTGCTGGTGCGTTTCACGCATTTATCCTGTGCTTCAGCTTGGCGACAGCACCACATTCAGCCTGCCTATTGGAACCCACCCTCACGCCCGGGCCACGGCCGGGTCCAGTCGGGACGTCGGGACCGATAGCGGCGACTCGTCCATTTGTCGGCACTCGGTTTGTATCGCAACAACGCGTTCCCTTGCCGGGAATGGCAAGACGATAAGCTGGCGATAACGGGCTGCACCGTCGTCTGCGCCTACGTGTTGACGATGGATCTGTCGACACCAGACAAGACACAGCCTGAACAGGTCAAGGCACCGGTTTCTAGCAGGAGGCAAAGACAACTTTGCTGCACTTGGTCCTTGTGTGTACGGGCCCAGATACCATGGAATACAAACAGCCACAGCGGTCCACTACCGGATCACTAAAGATCAAGCCCCGGCTCATCATTCATGGCGGCGCCGGCAATATCAAGCCAACGAATCTAACACCGGAGCGATATGAAGCTGTCAGGACATCACTCCTTGGTATGGTGTGTAAACGCTGGAATTTGACCCCGACCACGCATATCATTGTCGAAGTGGTCTCTAATTCATCCCGCTCAATGACAGATCGCAAAAACTCACGGCTACATGCACGGCGCTGCCTCTCCATCCGCACTCCAGGTCGCCACGTTTGCAGTTACCCTGCTGGAGAACGACCCCCTGTTCAACGCCGGCAAAGGAGCAGTCTTCACACGTGATGGGATCCAACAGCTCGAGGCTTCTGTCATGGTGTCGAGGGGCCACGCCAAGCGTGCGGCCGGTGCCTTGGGGCTGCGACACGTCAAGAATCCCAGTAAGTTTTGCCGAAACGCGTGATGGTGATCTCCAAGGGTGGCAGATATGTCATTTTACCACCCTAGGTATCCACACCACTGCACAGCCAGCTTCTATGCCTTTGCCGGCTCGGGATCCTGCGAGGGACTGTGGACTTCCAATGGACTACCAGACAATGCTTTGGTGTGCAAGCACCCCCCTTCTTTGTCCACTCGTTTTAACCATGAGAATTTTGCAGTCTTACTTGCTCGGGCGATCTTAGAGCGTGGAGAAGAGGATCTGTGGGGTAGAAAAGGCCAGGGACACAAGGACGCCACGAGCACGAATGTTGGGAGTGACAACCTCGACGCTGCGGGTTTAGACGTGCCATCCGCCCAGGGACATACTCTCGTCTTTGGCTCCGCAGCTGAGACACTGGCAAGAACTTATGGTCTAGAGTTCGCGCCGACAAGCTACTTTTTTACGCAGACAAGGTGGGACGAGCACCTTCGTGGCCTGGAGCAGGAGAAGTCTGGAAAGCAGTACTCGGCAACCTGGTCGGCAGAGGAATACCTCCCGCAGGGTACGACGGGTGCAGTGGCTCTTGACTCGGACGGTGTGGTCTGCTGTGCAACCAGCACAGGTGGACTGACCAACAAGCTGACCGGCCGGGTTGGAGACACGCCTATTCCCGGCGCCGGATACTGGGCGGAGGAATGGGAAGACAACAGAACCTCTCAGACTTCGCCACCCCTGACCACCCTATCGAACTTCTGGGATCGTGGGGTCGAAGCAGTTCGTCGCACAGGCTCCGTTGTCGAGTTTAGTGGCGCCCTGCGCAGCTTGATGGCCGATTGCTTGCCGACCCCCTTCTTTTACACCCCATTGGCACCCTCCACGTCTTCCCAGCTGACGACTACCCGCTCATTTGCGACATCCGGTACGGGCAACGGGGACTCATTCCTCCGGGTTAACGCTGGGCGAACCGTGGGGGCCATCGCACGCTGGGGCGGCAAGTCTTGCGCACAAGCTTTGACTGCTGTCACAGGGCCTGGGGGTCAGCTACAGCAATCAGCGGGGGACCGGTGGATGATCACTGGAGAGGGAGAGGGCGGCATGATTGGGATTGAGAGCATCGTGGTAAGAGATGCGCAAGGGAACATTGTTGAAGCCAGAAACTCTATCATTCAGGATCACAATTGCCCAGGTATGTTCCGCGCGTGGGCCGACGACGACGACAAGGCGGTTTTCCAAGTATGGCATGATGCAGAGGGACGGAGAGAGGACATCCCCGCCTGGAAAGGGGAGAAAGACGGTATTTAGACGCACGTGGCGGCTGTTTCGATTGAGCCATGTGGCTCTAAGGAGCGACTTCAAGACTAGGCTTCATGCGGGTAGACGGTGAGAAACTCTGACGGGGCATTTGTCGAAAGGAATACATGCATTGAGAACGCATCTTGCCGCACGAGTCGTGGCCGAACACCATCGGATGTGCTTGATACTGCACCATCAGAACCAGAACAACCCCTGGGAAAGTATCACCCCACCACAGATCACAGGGCATTGCGGATGGTAATTTTGCAAAAGCGTATCCGAAATCGCCCTCCTCACAGATCCCGAGTGTCAATGATCATCAAATTAAATATTGAAGAATGCCCACCACTGCCTCTTGTGGTGCCATGCCTAGGAAGTTGGGCATGTTTCGACAGCCTGTGGCAAGACGTCTAATGTTCGACTCGTGATGCTGGGGCTGAGTCTGGCCGCCGGTCCGAAAGCAATTTGACCCAGGCTATGTCTCACCCAATGGTTCGAGCCCGACAGATATTTCTAATAGCTCAGTTTCCTCCATCTCACCCCCTCTAGCCCGTTCCAACCCCTGTCTGTGCAGCAACTCTACTTTAGCACGCCTTATGGCCCCGATCTTCAATCTCGTTTTCACCCCTGTCTAGCACGGCGCTACCCGTACCAAGCTTTCTGTCAAAGCATCCAGAGTAAGACCCCTGGGCATGCCCCTGCTGGCAATCTTTTCCGGGGCAATCAAGTTGCGTCTCGTGAGACACAGCAGGTATCTGCCTGAGTTTGAGTGATCAGACTGAGGGGATCTTACACCTTTATCTTCTTTTTTCCCCCCTTCTCTTTCCATCTTCCGTGTCACTCACTTCCAGGCATAACGGGACTGGAGTGAGGAAAGACGTCTTTTCCCGCGAGCCTAACAGGCGACTGATCCTCGCACCGCAGGAGTTGCCTGCAGCCCAGGCAGCGGCACGCTCGTATGGCTAAGCCACCCGCGCACAGGGTCTCCGTTGCACTCCCAGGACCGCTAGTAGGGGCTTAGTTGCACCGTAGTGAGCTTTTGGGGTACTCCAGCTGTTGGAGCACACGGGTCGCATCTGAACTTGTTCCTCTGTGCTTCCACTTTGGGCAGTCGGCCGCGTTTCACCAATCCCCTGCCGCCCCCTCTCTCTGCCTTTCAGATCCCTAGAGATGGGTAAATAACATTGCCTAGTTGTTAAACTTTTTTGACATTCACCGTATTCATTAGCTCTTACTCCCTGTCACGTATAAATCGCTCATCCCGCAGATCCACCAACCAAGTTCTCTTGTCTTTGGTTTCCTCTTGGTTCCTGTTCCGCGTCATTTTCACGTCTACTTATTGCCGTACGTTTATTCCTTCACGCCTGAGAATTTGGTAATGATAAACCACAGGTCGGCGACAGCTTCCTCCATTTTTCTCTACATTTTTGTTGCCGCCTAACATGGATGACCACACTGTTCTGGTCGGGCGCCATGACGAGCACCTCGAAAGACTGCCCTTGACAACAATATCCATCTTGGCGCCGTTCAGCGCCCTCATAATGAGCATTATCTTCGTGATATACTTCATAATTCGGTTCTACCTCTTGGAAGGATATTTGCTGAAGAGGATCTATGGAGCAACATACACGATAATGGATGAGACCACCAGAAGGGGATTCGTAAACCATCACATAGCTGGTGGAACAAAGATCCTCATACTCATCGCGGCCATTTACCCCTTCATCTCCGTCGTCTTTGGCACATCCGATTTCCACACCCGATTCTCCAAGTCATCGCCGGTGACAATGGGCGACATCTTGGTTGTTGTCTCCCAGATGCTAATGGCAATGTATATCTTCGAATTGTTTTACCGTTAGTACTATTATTCTCCTCGCAACGAGAACCCACGTGGTCCAACTTTTGGGTTCCAAGAGATCTGTAGCGGGTCACTAATATGCAGTAGGACCCAAGATCTCCCCAGTCAGCGTTGGACACCACGTGGGAACCATCATGATCGGCCAGTCCGCAATCGCAATCAGCCTGGAAATAATCAGTGAGCCTGATGCTGATATAGAATTTTCTCTATGTCTGGTCTGGGGTGAGTGGGAAAAAAAGCCTAGCCCCCCTCCGGCCCTTCGGCGACATTCTAAACACCATCAACTGTGGCACTTGCATCAGCAGTCAGCACAAGCACTGACCCGGGGCTTTAAACAGGTGCTTTTGATATCATTTCCGAGTTCTTGCCACACGTCACCATAATACTTTACAGAGTCTACCCCCAGTCACATGCGTTCCTCCGAAAGCTCTTCCTTGCGGCCATGGCCACGACCTTGACCGGTACGATAACCGAGACAATTTTGACCATGTACATGTTCGGGTCGCTGTGGAACAAGTGGACACTGGCCTTCAAAATTACGACGCCCATGCTCCACGTCCTCTTTGCAGCGGCACAACTCTGGGGCTCGTGGAACTTCTATTGCTTGTACCAAAGGCAATGCAGGCTTCTAGTTGCAGGCAGGGAACCTGATACAAACACCGCCGAGGACGCGAAGCCGGCAGCGGACAAATCGACTTCGTCGGAGCCGCTAGGTGTGTTGCCCGAGGATCTGCCTCAAAGGCTTTCTGTTTGACTGGGTCCAAGCAACTCCTTCATACCAGGAGACTACCTTAATTATTAGAGATAGTGAAGATGCCACTAAAGTGCTAGCAAGCCGTTTTCTAAGAATATAAAGATATAATAACATAATATATATTATACTAATTTATAATATTTTTATAATTATAAATATACTTTCTTTATTATTTTATAAATAAATTCTTTATTATAAACTTACTTACTTTACTCTTTCTTTTTTTTAAACTTTATAAAAAGGATTATTTTTAAATAAAATTAAATATAAAATATATTAACTTTAAAAATATAAAGAGAGAGAGAAAGATAAAAAAAAAGGAAAATTATATAATAGAAAAGTTTTATATAATAAAACTTTACTTTAATTATTTATACTTAAAATAAATCTTTATAATACTATATAAAAACACTTTAACTAAAAAACTATAATTCTAAATTACTCTAACTTAAAATTTAATACTTATAAGCCTATACTATTACATCCCCTATTTAAAGTCTATTAAAGCCTATTAAAACCACTTAAATAGAGAAGTAATTTTAAAATAATAGAATTTTAATTTATAAAGACTAACCACTTATTATTAAATTAATACACTAACTTATAAAAGGCTTAAAAATTTATAATATAACGTTAATTTCTAAAACTTATAAATACTTACTTCTTAACCGTTTATTAAATAAAAGCTTATCTTTACCTTAAATATTATAAGGACTTATCTTAAAGTAATTAAAAACTAATTAAAGATTTTTAAACTATAAAGGCTTAAACTTATAACTTTAATTAACTTAAAATTAAGATAGATCCTTATAATACTATATAAAAACGTTTTAATTAAAAGATTATAATTTTAAATTACCTTAACTTAAAATTTAATACTTATAAACCTATATTATTATAATATTTATATTAAAATAAATAAAAGTTTTAAATATTTTAAAAGTTTTAAAAGTTTTTAATATAAGTATTTATATTAATAAATATTATAAAAATATACTTTAAATAAAATAAGTGTAATTTAATAAGTAACTTAAATATACTTATTATTATAAGTTTCTAGTTAACTATTAGCACTTAAGGTAGCCTAATTACTATAAGAAAGGCCCTGTCAGCCTTATTTTAATATATAAGTAATATCAGTCTCTTTATTTACAAAATAACTTCTCTGTAGTACACTCGGGATGCACCAAGACTCAAGCACTATGGGCTAATTGGTGTGGCATCCGTCTATTTAATGTAGTCCTCTCCCAGCATCCATTTCTTCTTGTCATACTGTTGCGGCCAAACCCCACTCTTTCCTGGTGCCATGATTCCGTTGGGGTCGAGGGCATTCTTGATCTTCTCGTTCAGCTTCATGAGTGCGTGATCGTTGAAGTCATAAGTCATGGCGACTTGGTCCATCATGCCGATGTGGGTTCTGAACTCGCCCCACCCGTTCTCTGCCCAGTCCTTGATCATCGTGCGAACAAGCCATTGCACGCGGCGACGAGCGTCCGGGTCCTTGCGGTCAAAGACAATGCACACGACGTTATCTGTGGCGGCTCGTCAGTGAAAATATCGTTAAGAGGGAAGGAAAGACTCACGCATCTCTCGCATTCCGATGCTGAAAATACCCATGTAGTCCAGCTTCGCCTCGTCGAACCTCTTCTTTGCCGTCACATATTGAGCCCAAGCCGACTCGCCCGAGACTTTCGAGATTGGTGCCAGTGACATGAAAGAGCAGTTCGGGATCCATGTCTGGAGCCAGTGGAGCTCGTCCATGTTGGCCACGCCCCTCATGGTGTGAGCCCGACACTCCAAGGTACCAAACACCTCCTTGCGATCCTGCTCGTTGAAGAACCGGCTTCCAGGCACCTTCAACATCTCCTGCTTGATGATCTTGAGGTGGGCCTCACGGATGACTGGAGGGCCGTAGACAGCACCCATGTAGACCCATCGGCCCAGATCGAGCTGTTTTGCGCCCCGGTCCAGATCCTCATCAGTCAGGGGCACGTTCAGGGCTTTGTCGGTGTAATGTGACCGGGGGTTGTAATGGGCCAAGTCCAAGCCGACATGTCTCAATGCAGCCGCATTCTGCAGAATCATGTTCACGCGCAGCGGGCCGATAATGTCGATAATCTGTGGAAGGTCCTCGTCTTTCTCGTACGTAACCATGAAAGCCTCCATCCCCGGCGGGCGCGGCATCAGCCACATGCCCATCTTGGTAACGATGCCGTTTCCAGCCTGCGAGAAGATGCCGTCATTGACAGGACCGAAGCCGTAGGGGAAGAGCTGCCAGCACTCGTTCGGCTTCTGGTCGGCCGGGTGCACGCCTTGCTTTGCCTGCTCCCGTCCTTCGGGGCTGGACATGGCACCCATACCAGTGCGGACAACCTCACCCGTGGGAAGGACGACCTCAATACCGCAGTGCATCATCCAATGGTCCCCATAAGGCGTGAACCCCACGCCGTGATCGAGCGCATTTCCGATCACGGAGCCGTAGCCTAGTTCGGGCGCGTCCATCATGACCTTGTCGTCGAGCTTGTGCTCCCGCAGATAATCCTGTAGCTGGAGGTAGGAAACGCCAGGCTCGAGGAGGCAGTAACAATCCTTGGCGTTGACCTCCAGCACCTTGTTCATGTGCTTGCCAAGATCCATCACCAGACTTCCACTGACGCGGGGCGCCGCCCCGCCGTAGCCCAGGTTGTGTCCCTTGCTGAAGACCCATAGCGGCGCAGCAAAGTCATTGCACAATTTGACGATGGCTTGAACGTCCTGAACGTGGCGGGGTCGCACCAGAGCAGATGCAATGAACTCCTCGTGGTCGTAGAAGTTGTGCATGTCGTGTGTCAAGCAGTCAATTGTCTCATAGTCGCCGTCATCGAAGGGGGTGTCGGCAGTGATGACAGCGATGTTTGACTTGCCAACGAGCGTGTATAGTGTGGAGAGAAACTCTGAGAACTTGGCTTCAGTGAATCCTGGGGGAAGGCAGCGCGGCTTCGGGACGCTGGAACCCCCGTTCGCGGTCTGTCCAGCCGTGTCTGCGACACCCGTTGCACTGGGAGGAGCCATTTCTGTGTTGTTGGTGTCTAAGTAGTGTAAAAGATGTTGGTGGATGGAATGATATGGAGACAAGCAAATAGTGCAATCAGTTGGAAGACCAGTATATATATGTATGCATGTGTTTGGGTGTAGATGTCTTGTGCCCGCCCGGGCGAAGATGTTACTAGAATGGTATATGGCAGTGCTTCAGTCTGGCCCGTTGTCTCCGAAACCCCTTGTCGCGTACTGCACCACCAATGAATCAATCATGGTGTGGTGGAACGAGATTCCAGAACAAACACATGGGTGACTGTCACATGAAACTGACCTAGACTTGGTAAGTCGGTATTGACCTCCAGACCAAACAATCGTGCTCTGTTACCCGCGCAGTCGAGCCAAGAGTAGGACTCCGGACTCCCCACAGAATACCGGAGGCCGGATATTGTCATGGAAATGTCGGATAGTTTTAGATCAGATGAACATGGCTGTGTGGTGCAACGGCATGATCGTCCCTTTCCGTCGATGTTGATCTGGGGTCCCGAGGTCTGTCTGAAACGCGGCTGTGATCGCATAGCTAGAGCTCCGCCCACCGCAGCCTCCCCAATCAACACCACCGCTGTCCATTTTGGTTTGGAGATGTTGATTCAAACATCACCTTTTACTCTCCCAGATCTGCTTGATTGCCGCATCGGGGACTTGTTTCAGGTACGGAGTCTAACGTTCATAGGCTCCGTGAACCGAACATGCCCTCCACCGCGGCTCGGGGCCCTTCAGGCAAGGCGGACTCCGTTCGTGGTCAGCCTTGAGGCCGATGGGGAGACTCAACCCTGCTTGATACCAAGGTTTTGTTTGAAAAAACCCTGTTCGAAGTCAAACGCGTTCGTTGGCACCAAAAGCTTCCCGCCGACCTCCGGTTGGGCGGTGGGTGTTGGGTGGTCGGTGTGCAGCCCTGGCCAACTTGGATTCTGCACTCGTTGGTAAAGCCATAAATAAATCAGCTTGTTTTCCGCAAAAGGATCTGGCCTGTCACGAACCCTGAGTCGCTATTTGTTCTCTCAGAATTTCAGTAGGGGCGGATTCATCTATCCCGCTCGAACGTCCTGTCGTCAAGTTGTTGAGTAATGAGCACTCTTACAGCCACCACAATTACAGCCGAGCCGGCCTCACCTCAACCACTGCACAAAATGGTTCGACTTGCTGAAGACGATGAGCCTGTCTGGGCCTCCAAGGCAATTAGCCGTTTTGAGCACGCCAGCCCCAAATCAAATGGACTGCCAGTGCCACACAGCGGCGGTATCGGGGGGCTCGAAGCACCCACAAATCCAGATCATAACTGGTGGTGGCAGCGTTCCGCACCTCTTTTGGCCACTCTCCTCCGGAGCGCTGGTTCTTACACCTACGAGCAGCAGCTGGACCACATGCGCGTGTATCGCGACGCCGTGGTGCCAACATATGGGCCGCCTACCCCTCAAGCTTCCATCCGTCCGCTGTTGACGATGGATGGTTCACCATTCGAACCGTCATGGAATTTTCAGAACGACGGCACAGTTGTGCGCTATACCTTTGAGCCACTGTTGCCCAACGACGACCCGGAGAACCCTTTCCCTGGGGACAAGATAGCGACACTTCTGCCATTACTACGATACGTCGCGCCCGGTGCAGATACGCGGTGGTTCGAGCAGGTCTGGTCTCGCTGGTTCGTGCATGAGAAGAACGAGGTGGCCACAGCGAAGGCTGCACTCCCACCACACAAGACTAGGGTGCCACAAATCTTCGTGGCATTCGACATGAAGGGGGCCGAGCGCATCATGAAGGTCTATCTTTTCCCTGTGCTTAAGCACCTTGCCACCGGCATCAGTACTGAGGAGTTAACTTGGAACACAATCCGAAACCTCGAGCCGGGTGGACAGGGATTCAGCAAGGTGGTTGACAAGCTGTCCAACTTCCTTTCTGGATACAAAGAGCGTATTCCTGTTGAGATGATCGCCATTGACTGCGTCGACCCGTCCAAGGCGCGGATCAAGGTCTACGCCCGGACAAAGTCCAACTCCAAGAGCACCATACGCGACGTGTGCACGTTGGGTGGCTTGCAGATGGACGAATCAACCATGCGTGGTGTCGAAAATCTATCTAAGATATGGCATCTCCTCCTAGACGAACCCAACGGGGTTGCTATGGAGCAGAACAAGCCGCCTCGCTTCCCTAACGATCACCACTTGGGTGTCTGCTTTGTCTTTGAGATGAGGCCAGGCCAGGAAAGGATCGAAGTCAAGTGCCATTTGCCATGGGCGCAGACCAATTCCAATGACATTCGCACAACGGCAAACTTTACCGAGGCCCTAGAGTTGCTGGGTTACGAACGACATGCGGGAAAGTATGCCAGGGGCGCGCTGGCCACGGCTATGATGTGAGTTTTCATTTTCATCCTATGATGGTTATACATCTCGGCGGATGACCGTAGTGACTAACAGCCTGGCTCTCCAAACAGACCAGGCATTGATTTCTCACAGCCAGGTGCCTTGTCGTACACCTCCTACAACTACGGACGAGGGCACATGGGTTACGGCGACTATATCTCTTCCTACTTTTCGCCTATGTGCCAGGGCTATACTTAGCTACTGGTAGGTGCTGTGCTTTCAGGTCGGCTAGAGACGTCACATGGGCTGGGTTCCCAGGGTTTGGATGTCATCATGGGTAGTCTTGACAGAAATCGCACATATTGAGCGAATGTTTACTGCTATTGCAATTACATCATAGTATCAATTCAATGTAACCTTTGAACTGTTGATCTTCAATGGAGCACCCCTCGCTCTCCCAAATGGCTCTAAGCTCGCAGCTGATGCTGTCAACCAATGTTGGCAACATGGCATTTTTCTTGGCTTTGCCCTGTTTATGATAATATCCAGGTTCTCGGGACGATCACCACCAGTAGACGCAGACTAGATCAAGTTGAGGCAAAGTGTGTCCAACCCGATTCCCTGGTCCATGAAACATCGAACACTGTCAGCAGACATGTGCCAACGGCGACATCAAGAATTTGGTTGGGGCGGTGGGTGCTTCACGAACTCGCCATAGTACCAAGTAAACAGTTCCTCCCATCCATCTGAGCATGCATGGTACCCTCTCTCTGGAATCAACGATCGCACCTCAGAGCCAAGCAGGGCATCGGGAGCCTCGGGTAGGCCGCCCGGAGACGCTTTGTTTTCCTGCACAGTCCGATCTCATTGCCCGCCGGCCCGCTTGACCATCTGCCCACACTCTTTCGCCCGGTATGCGAAGATTCAACTGGCTACAATGCTTCATCCGGCAGTATATTCACATGTTGCCGGGCATGTCCGTTCCTCCCGGCACGGGTGCCGGGTGGGGAGGGTTTCAGCATGGTCCCCAGGTGTTCCGTGCAAATGCTGGACAACAGGCGGGAAGATGGGCTGGCTATTAATGGGGCACTGCATACAACGATGGATCTTCCCAATGTGGCGCGGTTCCAATGAGCCGCTGTCACTTGGGTTTCCTAGAGCAGTAATTGTTTCCGCGGTTCCATGCATACATCCTGACGTACCCGTTTGAAACACCGTGCCGTCTACAGAATAAGGGTTGCAAATACTTCAGATGAAACATGGCAGTCAAGGCTGTATAGTCTGCCTGGCCTCATCTGACAGCCAATCTTTTAGGTAACGTACATATCGTCAGAAACCTGCCTGTATCAATTAATGTTGTGCTTCGGACATCCGCTGCGTTCAGTTACTAGGCGTGAACCAAGAGTGGGGTTCATCAGAAGACGTCCGGGAACGGAAACGGACACCCTTGTCAGTATTGCCCTGCATGAATTACTAGGGTTCGTATTATTGCGGCTTGGGCAAGGCTTCGCCCCAAGGAAGAGCTTCTCCTTAGTCGTTCTCCGGCGTGTAACGGCTCAAGCATTCTACGGAGGAACCACATCGAAGCAACGGCCGTGTATCCGGACTTGACAAGTAATGCGACAGTCCGGTCAAAGCCGTCTATCCCAGGACGGGTGGGTACATCGCGAGTTTGCCCATATAGTCTGCATGTCTATCTGATATAAAGTTGCAGAAGAATCAGCGGTTTCATTGTGTTGTGTTCATCGAAGCCATACAATCATCAAAGAATTTCAACAACAACATTGCCTGCCATATTACAACCAACACTGCCCCTTTTCATTTATAAAGACTCATTTTTAGACATTCAAAATGGCCGCAAGTGGACCTCCTCCCCCAACCGCGATCACCGAGCGGGTCATCATCCCGGTGAAGGGCGGCGTAGAGGATTGGAAGGAGCCCTACAAGCAGTTGCTCTTGACCCTCAAAGCCCAGCCTGGCTACATCAGGACCAGATGGGGACCCCGCAGCGAGGACCCGCAGACCCTCGATTTGATGATTGGTAAGTATACAATTAGGACGTGAACACACAGCTTAGCAGCCACTGACCTGTCCAGGCTGGGTTTCCCCCGAGGCCAAGAAAGCCTTTGTGTCAAGCGACGCCCACTCCAAGTCCATGGAGGAGATGGGCAGCGTCCTCAACGGCAAGCCCTGGGGCTACACTATCAAGTTCAAGCCTTACGCCCCACGGGAGGCCATTAACTCCCCCATTGTGGAGATGATCACCATTCGCAACTGCACTGGGAATGAGGACGAGCTCAAGGCAATGATCGAGAAGGCATTCACTATGCCTGGCTCACGTGGCGGGGCCTCCGGATTCTCCACGGAAGAGGTTGAGGGCCACGGCAAGGTCTTCGTCGGGGCGGTCGGTTGGGATAGCAGCGACGCGAGCAAGGCGGCCGACAAGTCTGCTTACATCCCCAGCGGTGCTGGGGATGTTGAGATCCACCACGTCAACTACAACTTCCCCATCAAGGGATTTTCTGTCACCAACTCCAACTAAATTGCGAATGATGTCGGATAGGATGGTCGAGGTCTAACATACTAGTGGCGCGTGACTTCGGGAAATTGCATGGTTAGAAATTAGTTTTATGTAGCTTTGGGGACGTAAGAATGCAGAGCTGATTCTACAGAATGACCCTCATCAAATTGCACACGTAATTATTACGGGTACACAATGTGCTCGCAGTACAACATGGCAAAACTTCCTAGTCGATAGCAACATCCTAAAATGCTAAGTAATGCATAATAACCCTCAGAACCTGCATATATAGATACGAATGACTTGTAGATACCTTATTTCAGCCTTGCTCTGGGCCTGTGGCCGATGAACTGCTTCCGCCGTGATCGATCTCAGTTCCTGTCAAAATGATCGAAATGGTTTATGGGATTATGACCTGATAGGCCGAATCCTCACATTAGCACCATGCAGCTTCCAGCGGTTCATTGTAAGGTCGTGTGCGAAGCTTGAGTGTTCCATGCTGAAACATCTCAACTTGGCTGGCATCTTTGTTTCACCCAATGTTTTCTACTACTTAGGCACACATGGGCTCATAATGCATCAATTCCCCAATGCAACGTCCGGAGACGGAGCACAGCCCCCAGAGAAATGAGATGCCGCCAAGCGTCATTTCCGGGACGGGACTCCGTAGCTGTCAGGCTGCCTGTCCGACGCGGTGACAGCGGATCCGGCGTCGAAAATGCTGGAAGCTCCGGACACGAATAATATCGAGACTTTAGTTCCTCCCAGAATCAAACTCAAGGGCCGTCCCACGTTTGCTGTCTCAGAATTGGTAACCGCCTCATACGTCACTGCAAACACAAGTCTATCAATCATGTGCTCTCGTACTTCTAGGACTATTTGTATACTCTGAGGTCTTCTTTAAAGCCGCAATAGCTTTTATTTATACGTGATGTCTCCCGTTCTCTTCCTATGCTAGAAAAGCCAATCCAGCTTAATAGAAATCACGCCACGTAACATATCCTTTTCTTGCCTTCATATCGCCCCCGTACCAAAACTCGGTCAAAACTTTTTCACGAACTTGTGTCTAGATGGCGCGAAAGATCCACAACGTCGCCGTCGCTGGTGTAGGTGACCCCAAAGCCCTCATTTTACATCAGTCATTGTGTAGCAGCCAATGCTAACATTCCCTCATAGGGACGGGGAAACGTCGGTGCACCCGTCGTGGCAAACCTTGTCGCTAACGGCTTCGAGGTCACGATACTCGCCCGCCAGTCCAGCGACACCAGCGGCCTACCGTCTTCAGCCAAGGTGAAGAAAGTTGACTTCGAATCCACCGAGGCACTGACTGCAGCACTTACTGGGCAAGATGCTGTTGTCGATTGCACGCTTGTGCAGGATGATACTCCCAAGCGTCTCATGGACGCCTCTGTCGCCGCAGGAGTCTACCGATACATCCCCTCAGACTGGAGCCTTGACCCGCTCAACAAGGCGGCGAACTCCCTGCCGATCTTTTCAAAGCGTGTTGAGCGAGATAACCATCTCTACGAGAGATGCAAGTCGTCAAACATGACTTGGACCATCGTGGCGAACGGGCCGTTCCTGGATTGGAATCTCCGAACGGGGTTCGCCGGCATCAACTTGGCCAACAAAAGGGCAGATCTCATGGACGGCGGTGAGAATCGAGTTGTTTGGACGACTCTAGACTCGGTTGGCAAAGCCGTCGCTGGCATCATGAAACACCCCGAGGAGACGGAAAACCGGCCAGTGTACGTGCAGTCTGTGGTCAAGAGCTGCCATGAGATGCTCAAGCATTCACAGTCGGTGCTCGGGGCAGATGGATGGCAGGTCGTCAATGTGAACGCCGACGAGGCCAACAGCAAAGCTTTGGCTGATTTGCAAAGTGGCAAGTTTGACATGGGGACATTTGGGACGTTGATCAGATATTCTAACGCCAAGCCTGAGACCTTCTCTCCGTGGGAGAAGGTCGACAATGGGCTGCTCGGGGTGCCGTTCATGACGGATGATGAATTGGAGTCCCTGATCAAAGGGATCGCGGCCTCGGCGAATTAGACTAGACTTTGCTGCGGCAATACTGCAATACAGTGGCACTCCCGAGGTCATCTGGCGGAATCAGTCGAGAGGCAGGACGCCAAAATTCGATTTTCATAACTTTTAAAACCATACATATCGTATTATAGCTATCCATATCGACACCGTAATTTTCCAAGCGCTGGGTCTTGAGTGCTTACCACCGTGTGAAGGCGCCATGCATGTTCTCGGACGTATACGGAATAGAAGCGAAACCACATAATGAAATTACTTTATGAAGCCCAAGGAATCAATCATATGTTCGCAGACATTCCCACTGAAAAAAAACCTCGAACAGCGGCTTTCGTTTACCGGAATGGATGAATATGACACAAAACTCAGCAATGTGCGTTATTGCGGTTGCTGCTCAATTTGTGTCATAACAAATATGGCCGCTTTTCTGGGGTCCGCGACCGAGAGTGCTCCTCTAAAGTTTGCCTGGGGTGCATATCCAACAACAAAGATTGGGTCGCCTTCTTGCAGCCAACGCCCAACAGCCAACAACCAACAACCAACAACCCATGCCACGGTAACATCGGCCCCACATGTTTAGTCGCCAAAATACCTACTAAGTGATGGTCTCCACCGCTGACAGAGACTTCCGGAGGGGTCGAACCAGAGGTCGAACCAATTGCGCCCTACATTCCGACCCGCTTGACAGGATCTCGGACTGGGTGTACTCTCGTAATAGCAACAGTACAAGGGTCAAGACCCGAGGGCAGTACCCACGTTTTGTGTTGGTACAAGCTTTTTCCAATATATCTGGGCCCATCTTCTAATGGAGATGTTCCCCTCATCCATCTCACCGAGTACCATTCTGCTATTATCATTGTTCTAATCAGCGATGTTTGTTCCACTACTTATCGGCTTAGCTCTGGCCTACTTTGGCTGGAGTGTGGTCTGCCTAGAGCGTAACGTCAGAAAAGCCCGATCTTTGGGCATTCCCGTCGTGCGACTGCCCATCGACCCAGTCAACTTTCTCTGGGTATTCCTCCAAGGTTATGTCTGGAGAATGCTCGACCTTCTTCCGATTGCATGGCCTTCCTATCCTGACTTCGTCAGGTTTTCTTACCGCGGCTGGCATTTTCGCGAAAAGTCCAGTCCCGCAGTGCGCTTCGGGCCGGTCTGGGCCTTGGTGACGCCCGTGACATTCTATTTGCAGTTCACGGATCCAGATACCATCAATCAGATATTTTCGAGGCGGTCTGACTTCATCAGGCCAGTAAAGAACTATAGTGAGCTCTGCCAAAATCGTGATGTCCTTCCGGGGTCAAGATTATTAACACCCAGCGAATAGAGCTCCTTGAGGTCTACGGACCGTGTATTTCTACAGCTGGGTGGGATGACTGGCCGCGTCATCGTAAGGTTCTAGCTGCACCTTTCAATGAGCGTATAATGTCTTTTGTCTGGGATGAGAGCCTCCGTCAAGCTGAAGCCATGTTGCGTTCTTGGTGCAGCCCCCTGCAATCTAAAGATGGCGTTCGCAGCGTACAGAGGGACACCAGAACACTGTCTCTGAACGTCCTCGCCGCCACTGGATTCCGTAAGACGTATGACTTTAGGGGCTCTGCCGATGTTATCGCTGTGCAGGACGAGGCAGGCAGCTACCGTGACGCTCTACAGACAGTCCTTGATAACGCCCTTCTTATAATGATTCTCCCGTATAAGTACCTCCGGGGCTCACTAATGCCCAGGAAACTTCTACGGATTGGAAACGCAGCAAGGTCATTCAAGAGACACATGGTACAGATGCTTGAGGACGAAACTACCGCTCTGAGGAACAATAAGCCCGATTCTGGCAGCCTCATGGGCGCGTTCGTGCGTGCACTTGACAGGCATGAGCGAGAAACTGTGACGCAGCCCGACTTAAGAGGAAGTAAAGATGGGAAAAGAGGCCTTTCCATAGAAGAGATATTTGGAAATCTTTTCGTCATCAATTTCGTAAGTAAGGGCTCATTCAGTGCAGTGACTTTTGTATATTTGCTAACACTTCACAAGGCTGGACATGATACGACCGCCAACACCCTTGCATTTACCATGCTTCTCTTGGCCGCCCACCCAGAGGCACAAGCCTGGGTAGCGGAGGAAGTCTCAACTCTTACCGTCGCAAAGAATCATGCTGTCGATGAATGGGATTATGAGTGCATATTTCCACGACTTAGGCGTTGCCAGGCGGTTCTCCTTGAGACTTTGCGTCTCTACCCTCCAATCATGTCTCTGCCGAAATGGACAAAAGATCATTCCCAGGCGATTCAAGTGGGGGACAAGACTTTGGTGATCCCGCCCGGCGTTGGAACTTCTGCTCACCTCCTCGCCGTCCACACCCACCCAAAGTACTGGAGGGACCCCTTTGTCTGGAGGCCATCGCGATGGATTATTGATCGTGAAGAAAGGGCAACTGGCTCAAAGGACTCCGGCGAGGAGCTGTGGACACCGCTTCCTCATACGTACTTTCCCTGGTCCGATGGGCCCCAGAACTGCCCAGGTGAAAAGTTTTCCAAAGTTGAGACAGTAGCGGTCCTGGCATGTTTATTGAAAAGCCACCGTCTCAGAGTCAAGAAATTCCCAGGGGAGGCCGAAGAGGCTGCGAGAGAGCGCGCTATCAAGTGTACTAACAATGTGAATCTGGAAATCCTGCTGAGGATGCGGGATGCAGATAGTGTGAGGCTAGTATGTGAGAAAGCCTGATGAGATCAACGTTTACTTAGCTATCCTTATGCATGGACCGGACACTACCTAGGTAGTACTGGCCATCGTACGATACGATACAGAAGTTGTCCAGAGGGTAAGAGTGCTGCTCATTTCATCATAAGCAAGCCAATTAGTGGTTTGGAAATAGCAGCTCAAAGACCAAACGTGTTGTCTGTCGATAGGATCGGTTGAGCGTTCATAAGGTTGACGAAGTGTATTTGGTGGTTGCTGTTGTGTGCTAAGCTCTGAAGTGGACCCCTCGCGAAGGAGGAGGCCAACTAAGGTCTGCAGCCAACCGCACCTCCCCATAACGATATTGTCCACAGAAACTTGGCCTGATTATCACATGGAACATGGTATGGGAATTTGAGTACTAGTGCGTATTTGAAAAGGTCACCGGGTCTACATGTCTTATTGCAACCCTTATAGGAATGTCATCATCAATGCTCGGTCTATTTTGTCTTCTTTTCCGATCCTCCCGAGGTCTGCGCGTTATTGAAGGTGATTCATCATAGATCAAGCTGCCCAGGTGGTAGGAAGCCCAGTCTTTACGCCAGGTGCTTACGTGGCACAGATTGCACTGCCTAGGTGTTTCAGTGAGCCATCGGCCTCTCCGGTCATTCTTTGAAATGGGCTCGAAAGAGTTGTTTGTAATTATGAGTCATTTGGTGTCACCCTGAAGACGTGCACGGTAAAACAGTATACCCTCTTGCTCGATAGGTTCGCCTGATCAATATCACGCGCGACGATCTGACTTAAAAAGACATTCGCACCGACTCCCGACTTTGCGGTCATTAGGGTCATTAGGTTCATAGCCATCAATGATATTACCATTGAAAGATTGCCCGTCATCTGCTGGCCCAATCAGCTTGCGCTGCACTATGCCGAAGCCAATCACTTTCTACGATATCGCGTCTGGGCCGCCACTTCGCCCGTACGCACCGAACCCCTGTAAGACAAGGTTAATATTCCCCCTGCCCTTACAGACTGCTCATGAACACAGCCTCTGACACTGCCATCAGATATGCTCTCAACTTTAAGCGTCTGCACTCCAGCTTGGACTACAGGACTTGCTGGACTGAGCTCACCGAGGTTACACAAGTCCGAAAAGGCCTTGGCGCTCCCCCGTGCCGAAAGCACCTGGACCAGACGGACTTTTACACCCTGCCGGTGATAGTCGACCACACGCGCGCGACCGATCAAGTTGTGGGCGACTCGTTTGAAATCGCCATGTACCTCGACAAAGCGTATCCTAGCACCAGGCAACTTTTTCCTGGTGATGCAGCTGCCTCTTACCGACAATTCAACGCACAGGTCGACATGGTCTTTACCAAATACGTAGTCCTTTGCTTCCAAACGATGCCTCTCAACCCGGAGACTGCCGCAAAGGCGAGAGCCGAGTTCTGCAGACGGGCGGGAAGAAAGGACTGGGAAGAATTCATAGTGTACGGCCATCAGAGGACAGCTATGCTCAACGAATTCGAGAGGGCGCTTGGACAGCTGTCCGAGATTTATGGTGAGGTAGGCAGTGGTGTTCACCTCACAAGAAATGTGACACCCACCTATGCGGATTTCATCATAGGAGGCTGGCTATGGATGATGAAAGAGGCGCTGCCGGAATGGGATAAAGTTTGCTCGTGGCAGGATGGACTGTGGGGGAGGCTGCACGACACCCTGAATGGAACATATGGGCGGGATGATTGAAGCCAAGTGGTGGCATGGCTGACCGGGTGATTGGAGATCTTGATATCATGAGCTCGGCTGTTGCTACAATAACGTCTGCCATGTGTTAAACCTTGAATCTCCCGAGGCCCGCCCTTGGGTGATTAACTAGTGGGAATATCAATCGGTGAGCTGCGACTGGAACCAGTGAATTGCACCAGAATTGCACCAGTGAAATGCACCAAACTCTGAAACACAGCTTCATAATGTCGCGCGACCATATAGCTAAATTCCTTGATCTATGATTTCCACGCGTTGGGCCTCTAGTGATGCCGTTGGTTGGGGGGGGGGGCGGTTTTGGGAAATCGTGTGATTAAGCCCAACCATGGAAGCCGTCATCTCCGGACTCCACCTGCCAATGCTACTCTGCCATGCCGAGGTGCTCGACGCTGTGATATTGCGCAGGGACCACCCCTGAAACTGCATCCCTTTACATCTTGCCTCAAAAAGCTCCAGCAATGTCACTCGGAAGCTTCTGATCCCCAGCCTGGAGTCGACACTCATGAATCAGCTCACGTAGCCATATTAACCACCTCGACAACATTGACGACACGTGCGCCCCGCGTCAGCAGCTTCGCAAGGATGCCCAACACCATTGTCGACTTCTCAAGGCTCCTCAGCCAGTTATCATACGACCGGCTCGTGGATATCAAGGACCAGTGGTTCCCTCCTAAACCGACATTCACCGAGGCCAATGTCCCTCGCCAAGATGGCCGTGTCTTTATCGTCACTGGCGGCAACTCCGGTATCGGTCTAGCTCTAATTAAGTTGTTGTATCCAACTGGCGCGAAGATATATCTGGCATGTCGTTCAGAAGAGCGGGCCAGAGCCGCCATCAAGGAGGTTGTCGACGAGGCAGCGGCCGCGTCTAACCCTGGATCACTCGAGTACATGCACCTCGACCTCAACGATCTCACGTCAATCAAAGCGTCAGCTGCCTCTTTCTCCCAGCGGGAATCACGGCTTGATATATTGTGGAACAATGCTGGCATCGCTGGTGCACCGGCTGGCACAAAGACGAAGCAAGACCTGGAGGGTCATACTGGTAAGTGATCAATCACAGCGGCCCCGTCTTCTCGGCCGTGTCCCCTTCCCGGTCGTTTGTTCCCGCCCGCCGATGGCCTCCTCTTGAAGTGCCCGTTCCTCACAGCCGTCTATGTGCTCACCTGGGCGCAGGCGTCAATTGCGTGGGGCCGCTGCTCTTCACACAGGAGCTTCTCCCACTGCTACGTTCAGCTGCAAAAGGTTCAGCTCCTGGTGCGACGAGGGTAGTCTGGGCATCCTCCATGATAATCGAACGCTTCGCTCCACACGGAGGCGTGGACCTCGCAGAGCTGGATCGCATGAACGCGGCAGGGACAGGATCAGAGAATGCCTCTGTAGATTATGCAGTCAGCAAGGCTGGGAACTGGTTTCTTGCCGTCGAAGGTGCCCGACGGTGGGGGTCGAGCATCGTGTGCGTTACCCAGAACCCTGGTATGATTAACACAACGGTCTGGAAGCATCAGCCCAGCTGGCTGCTGGCTATAATGCAGCCAACTTTCTCCCCTCCAATAATGGGTGCATACACGATGCTCTTCTCCGGTTTCTCGGAAGAGGTGGGACTCGATACAAATGGCGCCTACATACTGCCTTTCGGAAGAATGCAGAAGAAGAGCGTCCGGGATGATATCGTTGAAGCTATCGCAAACGGTAAAGCGAAGGAGTTCTGGGAGTGGTGCGAACGCCTTCATTCACGGTATTGCTAAAATTCAGTATTAAGAATAATTTAATTCGCGCTCTGTAGAGTCACAGGTGTGCATGCACTCGCGGACAAACATTTCAAATTTAGGGATTCATAGTTTTGAGAAAACAGGTTCGATTATCTAATTGATGGTAATGAGCAGCATTCTTGGGTCTGAGTCCTCAATCACCCCACCAGCGTTCTCTGTTTTGCGATCGCTAGACATGGGATTAGTGTCATCGTAGGCGAAGGCGTATCCGGTGTGATCTAGCAACGTCTCATGGATAATCCGACTGTAATGATTTGTGGTGGGGTCATTGTAGTAACGGTCAGCAGTGATGTTGCTGTTGGGCTGGAATTTGCCGTCCGGGGATAGTAAAGTGCTGCGGGTAAAGGCCGCACAGAGACGAGGCACTATCAGAGACCTGTCCCACCCTGTTACTTCGAATGGGCCATCCTTGGTCTGTACGCAGCCCATGATCTCAGCCGTGGTGGGCTTCCTGAAGGAAATACCGTCACACCAGAGCAAGTCGTCAGACCCAACTCTGCAGATGAATTCGTTTCCCTGGTCTACCTTCTTGCCGCTTCCATTGTCCTGGGTGTTAATCGTGAGAACGTCCGACCGATAGCGGTTCCATACATTGGCGACGTAATCTGTGTAGAAATCTGACATCTTGTCGTCGGGGTGCAGGGCGAGATACAAGTTTGGAGAGATCGCTCGAATGTTGTTTCCACCTTCGTCCTTAAGGCATAGTTGCGCCCAGCTCTGATTGTCTTTCTTGGCTTGTTCGTTGAGCTTCAAGCAAATCTTGTCCAACGCGTTGGTCTCAAGACCAGAGACCCTGTTGGCTGTGTTTTGGGGACCGGAATACAGGGTGAGGTCGAGGGACATCGATGCAAAATCAACATATGAAGGATTGACTATGAATTTTTCTTCGCCATAGGTAAATTCGATAAATTGCCATGTAGCGTTGTATTCCGGCAGGCCATTATTGGTCGGGGATGGTTCAACGAAGCCCTCGTTAGGGCCGCCGACATTGGTGCCGAAGCGAAGCCTCTCTTCAGAGATATACAGGCGAGCACTGGTCGTATAGCCTGGAAGCATGAACGATATGGTATCGTCCGCGCCCATCTCGGTATGAAATCCGTTGCTCTCATCGGCGATGTCGACAAAATAGTAGGGCGTCATGCGGGTGGTATCCAATATCGAGGGCTTGGTGTACCAGTTGTAGCAGTCGCCTTGCCTTTGTAGGACGACGAAACTGTCGTTAGATTCAGGATCCTTTCCGGTGACGTAGAAGAATAGGGGCTTTCCATGATTGTTTTGGATCGTGAAATTCAAGCTGCTCTGCCCAGAGCACGCCGATTCGTTTCGTGGTGGAACCCATGGCTCACGCAGGACACCGGGTCGGTACGGAAAGCAGGGACTCAAGGTATCAGCGGCCTTGGCAGGAGAAGAAAATAAGGTGACGGCCTCCAGGACCCAAGAGAAGGGGAGCAAGTACCACATCGTTTCAAAGAAACATGTAGGAAGGAGCTTGATTTTCTAGGAGTGAGTCTTTTAGTGATAAACTACTGCTTGCATCAGAGGTGAGCAAGAACATACTTCAGCTTACCAAGGGGTATCTCGACGAAGCAAGACGTGACTTACTGATTAAATCCTGCTTGGAATGGCTGTTCGGTGCACAAATAAAGCCAAACCTTCATGTTCAAACCTTCCAGACACAGGGTTATTTATATGCCAGCACAGAAGGACTGGGGCCCGGTGACAAAGAGCATGGAGACTGTCACGCCCCACGAGTGACTAACTAGACACTTGACTCCTCACATCGTGGAATAGCAGCCCATGTGACGAATTTTATTAGTTATACGGGAGATGACCGCGCGGGACAGTACAGCAAACACTTGCTCAATACACCCCAGACATTAAGTGCAGTGACTGCCCGTTGAGACTGCGTTGGAAATACGGCCAAGTTGAGTCAGCTGACTTTTCGACTCCGTACCAACAGCGCATATTTGAAAGATTTCCCCACCAACATCACCATGGCGCAATCGCTCTACCCGTCAGACGATCAAGGAGCCAGCTGATAACAATTAGAATGCGCTGCCTCCACTGCCGCGTCCACATGAAGTTCTTGGACCGCCAAGCAATCCAGGCTTCTGCACCTGTATAATCGCTCTTCCCAGCGATGACACCGTCGCTGTGGCCCAAGTATGCGACAACAGCCGCCTGGGTGTACTGGAAGTGGCTGATCTGTCCCTCTTGAAACTCTTTGTTCAGTGCAGACCCAAGCCATTTCGCCTTTTGGCATGCAACCTCGGCCGTGGTAGGCAGGCTAGCGCCCTCTACGTCGGCAGCATCACCGAGGGCATACACATCGGGGATGGGATCTCCATTTGCACCCTTGAGCCTCAGGAAGTCGTCGGTCAGAAGACGAGGGAGGCCGTTCTCGGTCTTCTGACATTCCAGCCTGTCAACAAGAGCCGTAGTGCCGTTGCCCGTAGCCCAGATGACCGTGTTGCAGGGAATCTTTCCGAGCTCTCGAGTATAAACAGCACCGGCGTCAATCTTTTCAATGTGGCTCTGGGTGACCACCTCCACGTCGCGTTTATCGAAACTAGTCATCGCATATTCCTGCAGGTGCTGGTCGAAACCACTTAAAACGTTCGGGGCAACGTCGTGTATCGAAATTCGTATGTGCTTCTTGACATGAGGGTACAACCGTGCAAAGTCGTGATGGAATAAATCGGATAACTCGCTTGAAATTTCCACACCGGTCGGCCCAGCACCTACGATGACGAAGTGCAAAATTTTGCGAACTAGATGGATGGGAAATCGCGTTAAAGAATTGCCTTACGGCTAGAAACTTGTCTTTAATGATGGACTTACTTTCTTCGCCAGTTAAGCCTGGCATCGATGCCCTCTCAAAGCAGTTCCGGATATGGGCCTGTATGGCCTTGGCATCTCGCACAGTACGAACAAACATCGCGTGCTCCTTGACGCCCGGCGTACCAAATGTGTTGTTCGTACAGCCAGGTGCCAAGACCAGGTGATCATAGGAAAGTGTAAACTGGCCATCGCCTGGGAGGTCGTCAAAAGCGGACTTGCATCTGCAAGTCTTCTTCTCAAAGTCAACATCCTCCACGCTGGCCTTGATATATCTAATCTCCCTTCGCTGGTGGCGGACAGGTGCCTCGACCAAACTGTGACTCGTCAGATCATGTGTGTTCCTTAGGAAGGCTTCAGTGACGCTCGGGAGCCTGCTTGCTCACCTGAAGTCATAGAGCCCACAGGCAGCGCTGGCCAAAAGAGGCGTGTATGGGGTTGTTTCCTCAGGCGAGACGACAGTGATTTTGTACTTTCGTTCATCCAGAGCCGTAGAAATGGTAGCTCCAGCCCAGCCCGACCCCACAATCACCACCCTCTTCCTATTAGCTTGTTTGGCGACAAATGGCATGGTAGCTGAGCTGTCAGAGAGCAGGCAATGGGAAATAATGGTTTTCGACAAACGTTCTCACATCTGCTCCTTTCGAGCCACAAACCCTTGTCTTTGTTCAGGTGGGGTCATTGTAGATATATTCGCTGGATGTCCAGCTGAACGTTCATTCGGAGGCTAAGGGAAATCGGCGTCATCACAAGCTCTAGCACCCAGCTGCTTACCCTGGTAGGTTGCCCGCATGAACACCCGCTTCAAGTCCCAGGTTTTCGGTGCTGCCTCGGGATCCCTGACGCACGCCTAGCCGTGACCGTAGTGAGCCTGGCTTGTCGTACGGACGTTCGGAGATCGGCCTACGATCTTGCTATTGAAAACGGACCATCGCAGCTTGACTATAGCTCGTCGACTACAAAGCTTTTTAACACTGTGGCACGTTGAGATGGCCTGAGCAGCTGCAACACCACAGCTTAAATTGCCATCTTACCCCCGGTTAAGATCAATCCGCAGCCTGCTCCTGTTACCATCACCAAGTCCTATGACGTCTGCCCGCTCGAGCGTCTGATCTAGCGTCGCCCAAGAATACCACATGGTTCACCCTGGCACACCTGCAGTCGACAGCTGGTTCCTGGCATTCGGCAGATTGTAAAAGTGTAACTGACAACACCATGGGATGGAGATGTAGTGATCCTGCCCAACGGATTTCGCCGCTATGTTTGTGCCCCGCAGCGCAGCCAAGGAAGTTTGGCAATAAGCCTCTCCAACCCCTCACTCATCCATACCCTAGGGTACATCTTTGATCACGCAGGAACTGGTCACTGGCGCATCCGCAGTAAGGCCTCCATCGGCAGGTTTTCCGACCGTGAGGAGGAAGAATGCGCAGAACCGACATACCTAGGTACCCGTGGGTTTCGGTTCTGCTTGTGCTTTGCCGGCGCCGCCAGGAGTAGGGGGACAACCGAAGATCTGGACCCCGGGCACGCACCCAGAACTCGGGACTATGCGGTCCCTGGAATGCCTAGTACTTCGATTCAGCCGTAGAGGCCCCCTGGCCAATATTTGAAATCTATCCATAACCAGGTAGGATTCCGTCAGGATGGAACAAAAGTTTGCAAGGTGTTCATCCCGGTGACATGGACGTAAGCTGGTGCAAGTGAAGGCGTCAGCTGCCGCGCACCATGTTTTCAGGTGGTGATTATTAACTGACTACTACGAGCTATCTTGATTACTCGGCCCTCTTTTGAAGAGACGGCCTTTGAGTTCCTCGCCCTCATTCATGTCCTCTCGTGTTGTTCCTCATCTTCATCGTCAAAAACAGAAACCTCTTGATGACCAACAAACGCGCTCTCTACATGTACCTCCATTGTCTCCGAGCCACTCCCCACTACTTTGTCTTTAGGCACCCACCAAAGCTGAACGGCGCCCAAGATTGCAACCACAGCACAGCCAAACCAAGCAGCGGCACTCCCGCCCACATCATAAAAAACACCGACCAGTGGAGAGCTGATCGTCCGAGCTATGCACACAGCACTCATGGCAAGACCATTGACGCGGCCGAGAACCAATGGTGAAGGGCAGGCGTTCTTGAGCAGAATCAGAGCGCAAGGTGTGACAATGATGCCGAAAAAGTTCTGCAAGAACAGTGTGACGTATATGCCGGCGGATAGGGTTGCCGAGTCTGGGGCCTCGTCGCCCTGCCCCACTGGCCTCAGCAGAGACAGAAACGGCATCATGACATAGCATACCGGATAGAGGATGCTGGGGATCAGAAAAGACAGCCAGACGCCTGTGCTCTCGACAAAGAAAGGGAAAATAACGCCTTGGATGAAAAGGGCAATGAAGCCGTTGACTGCGAGGAATCCACCGACGTCGTGCAGGCTGAAGCCCATGCCACCGGAAAGGTCCAGCTGGGGCGATGTTGCGACTGTCGAGTTGTACGAGGGCGCGTCTAGCAAATAGATGGGGAGAATGGCACCGAATGCCATCTGATGGAAGGCAGCAATGACGAGGGCAAGGATAAGCATGACGACGGCGAAGTTGAAAGCTTTCTCCTCGCTTTTGGCTGGCCCTTCCGCATTCGGGCCGCCCTGTTGCAGATCCTGGAGCTCGGGTCGTACTTGTATCGAGTGCATAGTCCCAAAGGAATTATGCCTCAGGTCGAAACGCTGATCCGTCGCTGTCGGCAGCCCTTCCTCGGCGATGAAGGGTCGGTCCCCGTGGCGGATCTCTTCCATGATCGACCTTGGCTGGCTGGCCGTCCGCATCAGAGGGGTAAACTCGTCATCTTGTTCGCCATCTGCCGCATGCGTCTGCTCCAGGCTCTCCTTCACGAACTGAGGGTTCGTTTCGTCGAGAAAAATGATTCCCTGGACAACCGCAACGACAATGACCGCAACGGAGACAAGGTTGGGTAGGAGATAGGGATACTGGCCAAAAAGGCCATCCTGAGAGAAGAAACCGGGATAGAATTTGGCGGGTTGTGCCAGATAACCACCCATCGCACTCCCAATAATGCTGCCGAGGAACCAAACAAACGGCTGGACCGCATATGCCCGGGGCTCATGCTCTGGCTTCTTGACCATCTCGGCCACCATCGTCTGCATGACGGACACATTCCCGTTCAGGCTGCCACCAACGAACCGAGCCAGCAGGGCCACCCAGTATGTTTTGGCGAGGCCAAAGATGAGACTGGAAATGGCGACTCCACACAGGCCAAACAGTACGACGGGCTTCCGCCCATACCGATCAGACACTGCTCCCCACAGCATCGAGGTCAATGCCTCGGCGACGGCGTACGCGGAGACAAGGAGACCAGCGTAGAAGGAGGCATTGACGTCGGTGCCGTTGAGGTCCTGCACCATGATGTAGGTGTAGGCCAGGATTGAGTTGAACGCTATGGGCTCCGAGAAGCGGCAGATCGCGAGGATGGTGAGCTGGTAGGTGGGGAAGCCATCATCGGGCTTGACATGCTGCTTTTTGTTGGCGTGCCCGTTCTGCACAAGACCTGCTGGCTGTTCATCGTGAGGCATGATCTGGCAGGTGTGGTGCAGCTTGCTTCGGTGTGAGGGTGATGCCCAATGAAATGGAGGGGGAAGGAAGAGAGAGGGAGAGAGGAATCAAGCCGCCTCCAAGGTGAGAAATATCTCGAAGACCTGAGGTTGAAAGTGGAGCGCGCCCCAGTATCTATATAAATCTGTATGTCGATCAATCCCGGGGCAAGCCAGGGTCCTGCCAGTTGATCCCGGCCTGCTGCGCCGCCCACACAGCAGCCGAGTGGGCTGGCTGGCCTGCCCGAGTGCTCACCTCCCGGCCCGTTGGGATGCAGGACTAATGATCCAGCGTCAGTGGGAGGCAGATAATGGTATCTGGCTAGTCTAGTAAAGGTGCATGTGCATGAATCTCTGCTGGCTTGGCGCGTTGGGCACACGGCGCAGGATATTGCGGCAACGGCATGGAGGACGGGGGCGCCGCGCGACTCGCGGGAATAACAGCTCAAAGGAAGAGGACGTGCGAGTTGGTCCGAGAATTCGGGCGGTCCATCAGCATGCGGGGCGGGTCTGATTGGCTGTGCCGGCAGCGTCCTAGCGAGACGTCTCGTCACAGCGTCCCGAAATTCCGCTGCGGGGCTAATGGGAGATCCGTGGTAAATCTTGACTGCTGACAGAAAATCTTACACACCTTTTCAGCTTGACTCGTTGAGAGTCAACACCATTTGTGTAATCAGTGTCAAGGAAGCCGCACCAGACAAAGGATTGCACGTAATGTTTTCTCATGACCTGGAAAGAAAAGAGAAAGAACAGGGAAAACTTGAAATTGTTCATAAAAAAGCAGTCCGCCAGCAGGTACCAACCAGTTTAATCATTAATAGCAATGACGGTGACCACTTGAGCACGCTTTGTCCAGCCAAGCCACGCGGGAACCAACTACTGCTCACCTAACCAACGCCGCGATCTGCGAATGACATATCCACAGAAGATACCGCCCAGATGATGTTTGGCTGTTGTTAGCAAACAAATTCAATTTCGCCGGAGAGCTTCATCCAACCCACCCCCTTCTTGTCTCAAGCTAACCACAATAAAATGCCATCATGTCATAACACAACACCACGCTCCCAAACGAGAAAGGCCAGCTTCTAATAAACAATGCCGCAGATGCCAGTTTGTGTCCTTAGAACAAAATACCAGTGATGGCGAACAACAACATAGATGCAATGGCATTCCACAGTGATGCCTACTTTTACTCGTACTAGTGTAAGACTAGACCTGCACTTAAATATTATAATAGAAGGCTGAGTAGAGACATGCAGCAATACAAAGCCTTTAATATAGATTATAACCAGACATCCAAGAGCAGGTACCGAGGCTGCGTTGCCACTACCCGAGCCAGGCTCGCAACTTCCGTTATCCCTCTAACTACACCTATGGTTTGTGCAGCAATGTGGGAAGCCTCTCGACAAGCTCGTATGCGATATCTATGCCTCTCGTTTTGTTAGTATCTCTCTAGTATTTTCTGAAGACAACAGTGCTTGTAGTTAAACTACAAAGTTGTGACAGAGAATTCGCCGCGCCCGAATTTACTATCCAAATACTGAAACAACCTTGTGAGAGCCCGTACTCAGGTATGGCACATCCGTTATTCAGTCCTAATCCTCGAAATTCCATCGCTAACTAGTTCAGTATTACACAATTCCTATCCAGAATCACTATGATAGATCTGCGAGCGGGGACAATGTTTAATTCAAGTAGCTCATATATATTACAAGTTCTGCCTGTACAAATGCCTAACATATCGAAATCAGCTGTGCCTTTACTAACCACTCTCAACCAAAAACCTAAAAGTCTATCAGCAAGGTCTCCCGGCCATCACTTCACTACCTACCTCAAGGCATTAGTATGACAGCAAATTACTACTTGCCGCGTGTATCCTTCATCCGGGTATGTACTATTTTGTTTCACTTGCTGGGCTTGTTGCGGACACCGTTCCTGGCATAGGGGTAGACGCATCTATAGGCCCAGTCTACGGTTTATGCCTATGAGCGTAAGTTAGCTCACAGAACCTGCTCACCTTCCTTATGATTGAGTTAACAACTTTGTTTGAGTCAGGCGAATGGTATTGGGGTCTGAACAAATATTCGTGGAAAGTCATGCTTTCTTTGCCGCCGCCCTGGCTTGTGAAGTATGTTTGGTAGCATTCTAGTAGTTTCGTTTCTAATCCCCATACATATAGAACATATGCGGCGCCTTCATTCAGTGGTAAACGTTCGAGATTGGTAGTATTCTAACAAGCTTTTACACATGCATTATGTGACCGACGGCTTTGGCCGGAGCTGGCCTGCAGGAGTACGAGTATCCTTCCCTACGTCCATATGAGGTGTTACCAAGAAATTGTGGTCAACAATATTCCCTGTGGGGTTGTTAGGCGTTAGGGCAATCTTTGCAGGAATGTCCAAGCCTGCACATGTGTGGCTCCGTCAGCCTTCGGAAAGGCAAAACCGCTGCCTATCCGTAACAGGGCGGCAATTATTAGTAACATACTGAGAAGCATCCTCCCGTGCTTCATATTCACGCAGATACATACATACGTACTCGTTTCAGAGGTGGTCGGGGTGGTCATGGAGCGTCTGTTCACGAGTGCGACCCGTTGAGGTTGTTAATTTGACCGGGGTGCTCAAGCGAAAGATACGGATTCCGAAGGTCGAAGCTGACTACCTAAGTAGACTCCCTCAAAGCTGCCCCCAAGAACCCATCCTGGGTAAACACAATCGGGTTTTCTTGTTCTGTTGGGCCCGTTCTTGATTCAGTCTCGAGGCTGAGGCCACGTGCCTGTGTGTTGTCTTCTTTCTATACTGTTGTTGGATTGTGTTTTCTTTGTCTTTTCTCTTTAAAAAAAGAAAAAGAAATGCTGGGTCTAGACCTTGGGAGCTTTTAACACTTTATGATGGCGCGGTATACGTCATATATATTTGTGAGTTAGAAACGAAAGTGGAATTCTGGCCTGGCTTGGATGGGCGTCACGAGACTTAGCCAAGGACACAAATAGTTGTTTGTACAATGGGAAACACTTTTTCCCGTCTGGAACGTTGGCAGGATTTTGAAATGGGCAATGGATTCATCACATGCTGGCGGCAGACTTGGAAGAAAAAAGGCAATGGGCAAGATAAAGCTCGAGTGTTGCTCAAGACGAAGGGGGAACTCATACTAGCATGATCGGATTCACGCTGGGGAACGAGACAAGAGGCCAGGGAACGATGAGCTTCTCTACCCACGGTTAGGTACCTGGGCAGCCTGGGATTTGTCAAGAATTACAGGGTTGGAAGGCACCGGGCAGACACGTCCCCTGGTTGCCTCGATGAGCTCCTGGCGCGTCGAGCTCGCGGCAGTCACATCTGGGGCACGCGTTTGGGCTGCTGTGCCTACCTCCCAAGGTAGATATGTACCTAGGTACCTACCTACTGACCCTCGCCCCACTCACCTCAGACTTTCCCTACTTTCTTCCAATGTTTTCTTTTCTTCTTCCCTCAGCCCCTCAAAAGATTCCATCAATTGAGAGATTCTCTCTCCCTCGACAGACGTGCATAGTTAGTCTCTCCTCCTGCGTCCGTCCCAGTTTATTATTGCCTTCGAATCTTTCCTAGCTGACCACTCTATTCAGCGACAAAATGTCGCAGTCGCAGGTAAGCCCTCTGGTGCGGCCTCTACGCCGTTCTGATGATTGACTCGCCGTCTTTCTCGCAGGACAACAACCAATCTTGTGAAGTGGCATCCCCCGCCCTTCACAAAGACGCAATAGAGGGTGGCACAACCGTCCCCTCCACCGGTTAGTTACTCTCCACACCACTCAACTGAGTCCTTTGAAGCTGCTCAGTGTCGATGGTTTGTCTAGTACCTTTAGCTGACCGCCCAGCGTTGGCAGAGTCGAAGAACTTTCCAAATTGCGGCCACACCATCAGTGGTGTCCTCTACAAGGACTTTCTCGACGCCGACAGACAGGATTGCCCAGTATGCGAGCTGAGACCGTTTCCAGGGTAATGTTTCTCTAACACCTGACAACTGCGGATTCATGGTTGACCCAGAACAGCTTCATGCGGTTTGGCTCTTGTGGTCACGCGATCATGGGCCAAGCACTCCGACAGGCGCTCGTCAGCCGCACCAACGAATGCCCAGTCTGCACACCCCCAAGGTAAGAACCCAGCGTGCCGGTGTCCTAGCATCTGATCATTTGTGCTGATCTGATCCATTAGTAGCAACAGTGTGGCATGCGACGCCCACTTGTACCAGATAGAAGAGGATCTCCGCGATGTGCACACCGAGCGATCTCGAGTGACATTGCACCGATACCAGGATCCATTGACGTTCGATGGTGCGACATGCGAGTTCTACAAGGGCAAAGACGGACGACCACGCCTCCGCGTCGAAAGTGAGGTATGGAAGTCGTGGTCGCGGAGTGAGAGGGAGCGCTTCGTGTACTGCACCAATGTCCGACTGGGTCTACCCGCGGGTGATAGGCATGAGGCGCCGACCAACCCGAAAAACCTGAATCACCCGGAGCACACTCTTCTCCAACCAGCGGGCAGCATGCGCCTCAACTCGCGCGGCAAGCCCGACCCCGAGGCAGCGGCTGCTGCCATCCGACAACTTCTTGCCACATCTGACAAGGACGTGGCAGCCAGTGTGGCGGCTCGCAAGTCCTGCGTGGACTCCGCCAACCAACCTGCTGGTGGAAACGGAGATGCGAAAGACGTGGTCAGCACCCAGTCCCAGGAGCTTGTCACCGCCAACGGCGACGGAACGGATCACGTTGGATCGTGGGTCCTTCCAAAGACTCTTATGGGCATGATCTGGGAGATCGGAAGGATTTTTCACAAGACGGATAGCACCTGAGAGCTGTATGTAGCTCACCAAAATCAAAGTCTTGGGGTTCAATGAAAATGAAATACGAAGAATGAATTCATCCTTATAACAGACGGGGGCTCTGGGGCGAGCGGAGCTTGTTTTGACGGGCTGACTGACTTGCGAATCAGCACATGAAAGCAAGAAACAGGAACTGGCGGGTGAAACTCAGGAGATACGGCTGTCGATGTCGACCCCTCGCCGGCCCTCACCTGTCTCGACTGCCCTCACCTGCCTGCCTCGACTGCCCTCACACCTGCCCGCCCGCTCTCAGCCGCCCTCGGCTACCCTCACCTGCCTTGTCAACCCTCGCCTGCCTCGCCGCCCTGACCTGCCTCAACTGCCTCAACTGCCTCCACCTGCTTTGCCAGCCTCCAGGCTCGACTGCCTCCGCCTGAACTCGGCTGACCTCACCCGCCATCACCTGTCTCGCCAGCCCTCGATCACACCCACCTGCCTCGCCTGTCTCGACTACCCCCCAAATCCTCGACTGCCTCGCCAGCCTTAAATTGCCTCTACTACCTCTGCCTGCCATCGGCTGCCCTTACTCGCCATTACCTGGCTCGTCGCCATCGCCAGCCCCACCTGCCTCGCCAGCCTCACCTGCCTGCGACTGCCTCTGCCTGCATGCGTGTGTCACTTACCTCGTCCGCCCTCACCCACCTCACCCACCGTCGCCTGCCTCGCCTGCCATGTCTGTCCCGACTACCCCGACTGCATCGACTGCCTCGCCAGCCATCGACTTCCTCGCCAGCCTCGACTGCCTCGACTGCCTCGACTGCCTCGCCTGCCTGCCTGCCGCGCCAGCCTCCACCAGCCTCGCCAGCCCTCACCTACCTCACCGGCCCCAGGGATCGGCTGCCTAGCCGAGCATCGGAGCTCCCGGCCCACGTGAGCGGTACCGTGTATCTCTGCCCAGGTCAAGAGCTAGCCTGCTAGGAACTCACCTAAACAAGCCCACGCACACCTGGCACCCACTGTAGACCGCAGGTCCTAAGCACACCCCCTCCTCCATCCGGAAATAAAACGGCAGCTCCGGACCACAGCACCCGCCCAGGCACCCGGGCATCCCAAGGTCCCTGGAGCGCCGGCGAGGCAGACTTTCAATCTGGATTCGACTAGACAGCCGAGCCAGCCACAACTACCCATGAGGTTACTCTAGTCCATACCGGTGTTACTAACTTGACTTCTATATTCCCGTCTCAGCTGCTACCTCATGCAAAGCTCGGATCATGGTGGTCAGGCAGGACCTTGAGAATTGTAATGCTCGCTAACTCTCGTACTGACATTCGCCCACTCGCAACTGCTTGCGCTAACCGTCCCTGTATCTCATCGAGATGCAGGCAGTGCCCGTGCATACACAAGTCACCTTTTCTGGCCCCAGCCTCTTAATCTGGCGTCCTGCCATTACCTTCAAGTTGGCTGTCTTCAGTAGTCTCTCCGCGGGGAAAACGCGGGACCCCGACAGGTTCCATGCAGGCCCAGTTCCAGGCCAGTATACAGAACCTGCCGAAACCGATGAGCTCGGCGCAGGCCACGAACCGGCCCCCGCCGACGGCGTCGTGTGCGAGCGCAGGTTCGTGGGCCGGTCATCCGTCGGGGCGTCCGATCCTGCAAGGCCGCCTGGCTGGCGGGCTGGCGGATCACCGCCCGAGGATCGCCCGCCACCGACCGAGGTCAGGGAGCCTTGAGTCTGTCATGTCGGGATAATTTTCCGAGGCCTGATTGAAGCCGCGTGATCTACCCTGGCTACTCTCAGATCAGCTTCCAGGATTGCCCGCCATCTGCATCTGCATATCCACTCCGGCAGCCGCTCTGTCTTTCTCACCATCCCTGGCAGGTCAAGGGTCACCTGGCTTGACCCTCCAAGGCCGTCTATAGAGGATGTACCAAACCTGATCATTAGGCAACTCCACATAGAAAGTCAGCGCTTATCACCGGGGCCACTGACGATGAACACACATAAGAAACCAATAGGGATTGCCCTAGTAACGGCGAGTGAAGCGGCCCAGCTTCGCGAGGCCCCTCCAGCGCTCAAAGTCCTCCGGCTTCCTCTTGTCGCCGTGCGCTTCCAGTGGATGCTCCCAGTGTCCCTTTGAGAAAGATATCATGGCCCGAGTTGTAATTTGCAGAGGATGCTCCTGGCACGGTGCCTTCCGAGTTCCCTGGGACGGGACGACACAGAGGGTTGTGAAGCTACACTGGTTGGTCTCACAAGCTCTCGGCTCTACCCGTTGGCCGTGGTGGTGGGCATCGTGGTGGCCGCCGCCGCCGCCGCCGCTCATCGAGTCTTCGTGTGCCTGGCTCCTCTTGGCGCCGTGGGCGCCCCACCTCCTCCTCGCTCATGGCGTTGGCGTCGTCGGGCCCCCCTTGTGCGACGCCCTCAACCAGGACAGAGACGGCGCCGTCGCTGCCGTCGTGATGCAGGAGGGCGGTCGCCGCTTCTACTCCTCCGAGCCCCCCAAATCCTCGTTGAACCCCATCCTCTGGGCTGCCGGTGCCGCCGCAGCTCGTGGCGCCGACGCGTCAAAGGGTGGTCCGGCACACTTCCCTCACCACACGGGCAGCGTTGCGGCCGCTGCCTCACACTCCACCGACCCCCAGACTCACACTTACACAGCCGATATAGGGGGAGTGCGAGCTATGACGCAGGTGCCAATGCGTGATATGGCGATGAACAATGTTCCGCAAAGCTTTTCTTTCTTCCTTCGCGCAAAATAAGGAACAAATACTGCCGGCGGCCAACCCCAGCCCATCGCACCGAGACCCCCTAATCCGGTGGCCATGGTAAACTCAGAGTCCCACCACTCGGAGTCCTACTCCTCCTCCTCCTCCTCCTCCTCCTCAGGTGAAGAGTGCGGATTCATGCACTGCTGTGTGGGCCGCGACTGGGGTCCTTTCATGTTTTTGCTCTGGAAAGTTGTCAACCGGACCTTGGCGAGCTTCGAGTGGATGACCACTGGTACACGGGGGTGTTCTGTGTGAGGCGGAGTGGCGCAAGTAAAGATCAAAATAGTTATAAAATTAAAAACTAGACCAGTGCAGCAGGAAATCGGGCAGGACACGACTAACAGCCGGCCCCAAGTAGAGCGAGTCTTTTGTTGTCCAGGAGTCATGGGAGGAAGCAACATCGGTGTCTCGGTCACTGGCGAGATCATGATGGAGTTCAACTGCAGCAACGCCCTCATCGTTGGCGACAACTCCGGGTACTGGCGCCCAGCTCGTTATCACGGAGGCAACGATAGGCACACCATGGCTCTCTCCGTAGGTCCTCATCTTGCACCGACACCCGCCCGCAACCAGGAAAGTCTAACCTCTCGGTTCAGCTCAACCTTGAGGCCACGGCGCTGACCATGTTCGGCAAGAAGCTGAACCACATCAGTGCTGCTGAGAGCCACCCGATGCTGCAGGGCATGGAGGACAGCACTGCAGAGGCAATGAAGAGGCCCAATCGCCCGGGTCTCCTCAACCGGCTGTCGCCTGCCCTTGGCCGCCCTCGGCTGCCTCGGCTGTCTCGCCGGCTCTCACCTGTCTCTACCTGTTTCGCCTACCTCGCCTAGTTCGCCTGCCTGCCTCTCTTAGCACCTGGCCACGGTGCCAGGACATTACCGTGGGACCCGGGACCCCAACTGGGCGCATCTCTAGAGCTAGTACTTATCGAATACTCATTCCGCCCCGACAGCCATCAGGCGCTCTCTCCACACCAGATGACAGCGAGATATGGGAAGCGCGTGCCCCATTGTCGAACGAAATCATAGCCCTGACGGCTGGGTCTCCTATGAGTATCAAGATACTGAAAAGCTTGCGTGGGCAGGACAAGGGCTGAGACAGCACTAACGTTGAACCGTGGCTTGCAATCAGCACCGAAGGCCTTGGACTCAGACAAAGTCATTGGCCTGCTCGCATGGTGCCCACGGAGACAGACCAGCCGGGACGGCAAGCCTAGGCCGCGCAGTGGTCGATATCGACGGCATGCCCGGGGAAAATGATAATGGATACAAGAGTGGAAACCGGGCCCTGGAAGGCGTTTCCAGTATAGTGTCATGTATAATGTAACAAATGACCAAGATCCGTGGCACCAAGGCCAGAACAAAACATTCCAAAACAGATTTATGGGATAGCGTATGTGGCCATGATGAGGATTATAGACAGGCCGGGCACAATGGTGAGCTGGGCGCGCACCGGGGGGGGGGGGCTGGCTGCGATGAGCCGTGTTGATAACTTGGGAAGCTTGAGGCCTGTGGGCAGGCCGCCCGCGCTGGGTCCGAGGGGTATGTTGGATGGGAATCTTGGGGTTTTTGGCAAGAGATCGGATATTCACACCCACCGAAACGAAGGGTATACCCAAGCCCTATGGGATAACCTCTCATAAGACAACCTCTTATAGGATAACCTCCTATAGGATAACCTCCCTTAGGATAATGTCCTATGGGATTAATGTTTATAGTAAAATATTCTATAGGATTACTTTATAGGATAATTACTTATAGTTTAATATATATAGTTTTATTTTTATTTTATATATATTTAAAGATATATATAATACTTTTATATAATAGTAAATATTTAAAATTTAATATTTAAAAGAATATAATATTAATAATAATAATTATAATATAATAAGTATTTATAATTTTAATTTTATAATATATAAATAAAGTTAAAAGTATTATTATAATAATAATATTAATTAGAATTATAAATAAAAGTAGTTTATAATTTAATTATTATAAAAGAGTTATATAATAAGATTAAATTTAAAAATAATTATTATATAAATAAATTATATTAAAAATTTATTTAAAAATTATCCTTTTAAATATATATATATATTTTATAATAAAATCTTTATTAAGTAAGTTTATAAAGTTAATATTATAATCTTTATTTAAGTATATAATTAACTTTAAAAGAATTTAAAATAAAGAAATAATTTATAATATATTACTTTTAAGACTTTTATAATAAAATATTAAAACTTTTAAAGAGAGTTTTAAAAATAATTTATAAAAGATAAAGAGAAAGTATAATAAGTTTATCCTTCTTTAAGTCTATACTTTTATTATTAATAATTATTAACTTTTTAATAATATAGAAAAGTATAATAATCTTAAAGAAAAGAGTGAATTTAAAGTTTTTTTTAAGAGAATTATAAGGATATATATAAAGTTATTAAAGACTTTATATATAAGCTTTAAATTAAGGAAGAAATAAGTAGTTAAATTAAAAGATAGTTATATAGTATAAAGGAAAAATATAGTGTGGTTAAAGCCCTTATAGTTTAGTACTATGTACTTTAATCTTCAAGTTCTCTGCTATGGGTGTACCCTCCGTTTTGGCGGGTGCGAATATCCGATGTCTTTGGCAAAATGTGTCTTGTATGGGATATCTGCTATGTCTGTTGAGGACTAGATCTCAGGCGGCGGTACTGTCTGTCGCTGTTTCTCTGTCAGCCAAGCCAAAGGCTTGCCTGGTGTCATGGCACCTGGGCGGAAGGACGTACGACGTGATCCATGGGTGGGGGAGAGGTACTCCACATGTGCAGGTTGTCGACAGGAGCAGCTGACGTCTCCTGGCGCAGCCTCTCAACCGTGCCCTCGAAGGTCTTACTGGGCCGCTGCTCTGACGAGTACACGAAGGATTGTATGACCACCTTGGAGCTGGCCGTCTGGTAGAAGATGTGAGCCTTTCCCATCTGCGCGCTGACCTCGGGACAGACTAGCACTCCCAGGCGGTGGCAGCCCTGCCCTGAGTGAGCTCACCCTGTCGCTGCCCTGGCTTGGGCACACGCGTAGGGACCGCCTCTTGCAGCTGCCATCTTGTCAGCCTGAAAAGTGCGACATGTGCCTTGTCTGTTAGCTGAACCTGGCGTCTTGTACGTGCTGACCCACCTGAGCGTCGAAGCCCTTCTAGAAGAGCTCACGCTTGTTCTCGTCCAGGACAACTGATCTGCGATCTCGAACAGGGGCTTGCAATTAGGCACCTGAGCACCCTCTCCAGCCTCTGACTCCTGTCCTTAGCTCTTCGTGCAACGGCTGCGTCTTGCTGTCGCCGATATCCATCAACATGGCCGCGGTCGCCAGTCTGGAGCACGTCGCCGAGCCGAGTAGTTGTGGAGCGGTCGCCTGCCCTACGTAATGTGCTGCGTCGTCAACCACCCCAGCCCAGTGCTTGCACCACGGCGGGTGACATCATCACCACCACATAGCGCCAGCTCCAGAGAGAACCAGTTCTGAAGTTCCTTCTCGCCTACCGCCACAGCACTGTGATCCAGGCATCTTCATCCCCTCATCCCGCAGCGGGTTTCTCTCCTCGCCGCCGATCACCTCAACGACAGAACTGTCGTCGTCGCTGCCGTGCACGCAATCTCACCGCCTTGCCCAGAGGGACCGTCACCAAAACTCCCCTCACTGGCAGAGCCTCCCTCGCCCTCTTATAGGGCTCCCCGGTCAGGCAAAGGTTCGGCCCCGCAGCCCAGGCCGGGAGAAACGGCCGAAAGCCTTCATTAACGCTGACGAAGTTCTTATCAACAGCAACGTGTAGTGGACAACGGATCGGAGAACTGACTTGCGCGGCTCCTCAGACTGGAGAATGTTGGAATCTTTCAAAAGTCGGTGGTTATGCCCTTCCAGAACCCGTCCTCGACCTCCAGGTTATCCCCGCGGCCCATCATCCAGCCGAGGCCCAGTCGTGCCACCCAGCGCTGCCACCTCTGTCGGGACATGCAAGGATAAGGAGCGCCACGAGGCCCGCGGGCGAATAGAACAGAGGTACCATTCCAGGCCATTTCTTTTCACTAGTCTGCGCCGCGGCCGCTGCTTCCCAGTTATTCCCCTTCTTCACCCAGGTCCCCGGATTCGCGAACACGGCCGGGCGTTTTGGGTTGCCTTATGCCGGCTCACAGATACGATACATATTTTGTCTGGCTCAGTACGATATAATAACGTCGTTGCCCTTGACATTCGCCGCCGTCAAAACCATTTGGCACAAGGTCGCAGAGGGAGGCGTATGCCTTGGCGAGCATCCGGGGGATAGCGTCCGCAAACAGCACGAACCAGTGGCGCGCCTTTTGGGCGGCCATGAACGGCCTCGCGCGCGCAATGGTCATGGGAAGCTGGGGCCGCACCGGAGGGAGCCAGTCCATGCCGGCCATGTCTGGCGGGAGCATCGCTGACACCTGGGCAGTTCTCTGAGCGGCCCCAGCCCACCGTCTGCAGTGGACGCCGATGCCTCTCTAGATCTCTTCCCACTGGCTATTTTTGGTGGGCCTGCCTGGCTCGACGGCCTTTCGTAAGAGAATGCTTGTTTACAACGAAATTGCTTCAATCCGTTTCAATCACACGCCCCCTCCCGCCACTGGATGGCACACAACGCCAAGTTCACTCAGACTCAACAGCATTAGCAGCATTTACAAGCCATTCAAAGACCCTCGCGGTCGCATGAGAAACAACGGGTGGCCTGGTTGACAAGGTTGGTGGCCCAGATATCAGCTAACACAGCCAGGTTCCAGAGCAATAAAGGACATAGGTAGTTGCCAAATAACCTCCTAGAACCTGGCTGTTCATGGATGAAGGCGCTGGAGACGAGGCAAGAGACGGCGCTCCTGGTCGGCTATTAGTCGAGATGAGACGGTGCCAAGAATCCCAGTCTCCTGATGAGTGCCAGCGGTCGCCTGTAGAGTGTGTAAAATCCACCACATAGGAAAGTCTCTCAAAATCTCTGGATGAGAGAGTTGAGAGCGGGAATTACGAGCGAAATATTGTAGAATGACTGTGTTTGTTGAAGTATATGCACAAAGTAAGTATATTTACAAGAGAAAAAGAACCCTTCTGACAGCTCCTCCTGTCCCGCTCGGGGCATCTGTTTATGGGTTGGCAATCCGCATGGGACGGCCACGGAGGCGTCTCTTGGGGCGAGAAGCCGCTGAATCGGCGATGAGACAAGAGCTGTACATTACACCACGGCCGTTGGTACCAACGTAAACAACGTTGGCCTCATTGGCAGAGCCAACAAGGGCAGCACCATCAAGGGCGCCGAAGCTGTACGAGCCCTGGATGTCCACCCAGGTAGCGCCGCCATCCACACTCCCATATAGCTTCTTGCCATCGGGTCCGTTGCCGAAGGCGTACAGGTTCCAGGCAATAGTGTCGTCGCCTCTGCCAACTGAGACCCCGTGGGCGTTCACAGGGCTGGAGGGCAGGGCGGAAAAGGTCCGGCCGAAGTCGGTGCTGTGGAAGACGCCGGCGTTAGTCGAGACCCAGAGCTCACCGGCCCTGACGGGGTGGGCGGCAATGTGGCGTATGTCGGTGACGTTGGCGAGCGGGGTCCCCGTGAATGTCGTGGCGCCGTCGGTGGAGATGTAGAAGGTTGCCTTGGACGCGGCGTAGAAGACAGTGTTGTTTTGCTTGTCGCTGGCGATGACGCTACCGGCGGGGAGGGTGGCGTTCTCCAACTTACCCTGGTCGCGGGAGACGAGCACGCCTTGGTTCAGCGTAGACCAGAGGACCACATCGCCATCCGCTGAGTAGGCCACGGTGCCATCGGCGGCAGTGGTGCCAGTGGCGTTCACGACGGCCCACGTGGCGCCGCCATCGCCGCTCAGGGCTAGCTGAGGGGAGCCGGCTGTGTTGCCTATGCGAGCCACCTTGGAGACATCGTTGCCGGCAAAGTCAACGGAGACACTGCTTGCCCACCAGGGGTCCGTCCAGGCGGTCTGGGGGGCGGTGCCGAGGTCGGCGACAGACTCGTACGTGAAGCCGTTGTTGTCGAGGGTGGCCATGAGCAGCTCTGAGCCACCTGGAGCCGAGGCCAGGCTGGTGACGGCCATCTGCTCGATCCCAGAAGCAAGGCTTTCAATGGTGACAGTCTTGTTCGAGTCCCAATTCGTCAGGTCGTGGCCCCCGTAGATGGTAACGCCGGTCCCGTACAGCCAGTGGTTGCTGTCGAAAGGATTAATCTCCAGTGACTCGATCATCCAGCCAATTTTCTTTGTGTCGGGGTTGAGGAAGTTGGTCTCGATCCACGGAGCCTATCTTTGGTGAGCCTCTTTTTTTTTTTGGTCAATTCCAGCCATGGAAACTCACGTTCTTAGCGCCAATGGTGTACCGGGGTACAACATTGCCATCGGCACCCCAGCTCCAGATCGTCTTCCAAGTAGCACCGCCGTCGGTCGAGCGAAAGAGTTGAGCATCAGGGTACCAGCTGTTCAAGCTGGCGACAACAATGGTGCCAGGGTTCTGCGCATCAATCGCAATTCCACCTGTTCACCGTCAGCCCAAGTCACCTCACCGGTGTGACAGGTAATAACCTACCGAAACCGTAGAAAAGATCGCTGCCCGAGGTTGGGGTGATGTCAGTCCACCGTCCAGAAGTGAGGTCGTATCTGTAGACGGCCCCCTGGGTGCCATCGTAGGGTCCGGTGCCATCCGAGTACGTGAAATAGATAACCTAGACACACCCTCTTATTAGCAAAACACGAAAGGACGGTCGACGCGGGTGACCTCACCTTCTCTGCAACTGACAGTCTGGCCTTGTGGGGGAAGAACTGCGGCGGCTGGTCGGGCACAGGACTCCAAGAAGCACCCGCGTCGGTGCTCACGTAGACGGAGGCGGTGGTGTTGTCGGCGGTGCCGACAAAGATGCGGGAAGTGGCGCCGTCGAGGGCCTCAGAAGTCTCATCAAATGTGACAAAAGCCAGACCTTGCAGATCACCGCTGTAGGAATCTTCTTGAGGGCCAGGGCGGAAGGTACCAACGGCCTCGAACGAGTCCACCTTGGCGAAGGTCGCGCCGCCATCGGTAGACTTCCACAGGCCGTTGCCGCTGCGGGCACCAAAGAAAATGACCTGGGAATTCTTGGGGTCCACAGCCAGGCGCTCGCCCATCCCGCGACCAGGCATGTTGCCGCCGGCCTTGAAGGGGAGCGTGGTGAGCTCCCAGGTCTCACCCTTGTCGGAGCTGCGGGCGAGGGTTGCATTCTTGGGGTCCCTGTGGCCATCAGCAACCTTGTCAGGAGAGAGTGGTAGACCGGGAAAATTACCAGTCGTTTGTGTACATGCCCGTCGTGATGTACACCTTGTTTGCATCCGAAGGGTCCAGAGCCAACGCGTCGATGCCCCATCTGTTCCAGTTCTCGTCGTCGGCGAAGCCGTTCGCATCAGTAAGGACGGTCCAGGATTCGTCGTCATTCAGCCGGTACAGGCCTCCCATATCTGTTCGGGCGAAAACCACGCCCTTTTCGGTGGGATGGAATTGTATCGATGGGACGAAACCACCGCCACCGCCGGTGTGGACATTTTGCCAATCGCACGCCGCCCGGGCGGACGCTGCCGCCGCCAGGACAAGTCCGGAGCCTCTCATCACTTTCCGTAAGAGCGCGTGAGGGTGGCTAAAATCTTGAGTGGACCAGCCAGGTGGAAGAGAATACTGTCGATCGAAAAAGGGAGTCAATAGAAACAAACGTGGACCGGAAAGACTCTGATGCCACATGCGCGACAGTAATAAATAACTCCAACGGGGAACTTGTCAGCTATGTACAATACGGAGTACACCCGGAAATTTCGATGGCCACTTTCGGCCTGCACCCTTCTCCAAGTTAGCCTGGCGAAGAAGGAATTCCCACACGAGTGGGAGCCCTGGCAGGGGCCATAAGAGGGGCGGTGCAATGTTAATTGTGATAAACCCCCCCACATATTAACCTTAATGTCGCCAAACAACACAGCATCAGGAGCATCCCGAGAGCCGAGGGGGGATCCTCGCGGCCCGTCCCCGCTGTAACCAAGCCATCAATCAAGCAGACGAGGCGCCTGGTTCGGACCTCAAGAGAAAGAAAAGTCCACCAGTACGATGAGACCTTGGCCTTGAAAAAGAATGTGATGCACAGCGAAGAGCCTGCGTCGCATCAAGTCATTGCTAACCCAGATAGTCGGAAAATATAGGAAAGTGAGCCAATTGCTCACATGGTCGTTCATTGTCGCTGTGTCAGATAAAGGCACGGCGCCTGGAAAACATGATTAAAGGGGTGATGGGACCGACTTAGCGCCCCGGACAGAACGGGGTTAGCCACTGCAAGAGTAGATCCTTGCATCTTAGTAAGAGGCCGAGGAGCTACAACTAATCGCATCCCCACCGCGCAGCTCCATTCGCGCTTGGCGGCTAGAAAGGGCATTAACGGAAGGAGTACCTATTTGCACTTTACACATCTACTACGCGGGGGTACTGCCCTTGTGCCCAGGTGGCTCAGCAAGACAAACAAGGCGGAGGGCGGGCCGCATAACCAACAATGGCCGCGGAATCTCCTGCCGCGGATGGTAGTATAAGTTGAGATCAGGATGTATCTCGATGTATCGGGACGTTGAATTGTTGGAATGCCACGGGAACTCGGCCACTACCTAGGCGTTGGCATCCGCATCCTGAAATGCCACGGGCGGTACTCTGACACTCTGCAAGTAGTCACAGGAAATGGGTTAAGATAGATCCTAGCATTAACGAAAGACTCGAAGAAAACAATTATGAGTTCAGTGAACATAATACGAGAGGCTCCGTGGAAGGAACTTGACAGATTTAGTCACAATCTGCAATAACATAGGGCTGAAATTATATGATCTAAGCCCTTCCAACTTTGATTACGCGGCACTAGAGAACCGGTGTCCTTCAACATCGCCGGCATAACATCAGTAGTCTCGGCCCCTGGATACCTATCTGGTGCATCAGTTGGTGTCCCCGAAGCGGCAAGCGCCTATAGCTCGGAATTAAAGCAGAGAGATTCTATAAAACATCGAGCATATACTCGAGTAGTTTCGTTTTTAATCTATATATATATAAAATATATATAGTACCTTTATATAGTAATAAATATTTAAAATTTAAGATTTAAAGAAATATAATATTATTATTAATAATAAAAGAATATTATATTTATAAATATATAATTAAGTTTTAAAATATTATTTAAATATTATAATATAAAAGTTTAAAGTTTATAATTAAATAAAGTAAATTTAATAAATAGAGTTATTTAAAAAAGAAAGAAAGATTACTTTTTAAACTTTAAAGTAAAAGTAATAATATAATAGTTTTATTAATAAAAGACTTATAAAAACCTTTATAAAGCTTACTTACTACTTTTAACTTTTAACTTTAATTAGTTTTATAATAAATAATAAAAGTTTCTTTTAAATAAATAATTAAAAAACTTATAAACTATTTATATTTTTAATTTTATTATTAAACTAAAAGTAAATAATTAAAGTTTTAAAAGAATAAAATATAATATATCTTTTAAAGATTAATTTAATTAAATTTATTATATAAAACTTTTATAATAACTTTATAATTATTTATAATATTATTTATTATTAAAAGATACCTTTCTATATTAATATATTAAATTATATTTAATTTAGTTAAGTTAATATTATTAACTTTAATATAAATTAATCTATTAAAAGTTAAAACTATTATAAATTATAAGTTAATTTTAATACTATTAAATACTATATATAATATTACTATATAATTTAAACTTTTTAAGTTAATTAAAATAAGTAAAGATAAAACTATTATTCCTTTAAAGGTTCTAACTCTATTTAAATAAACACTTATTTATTAGCTTTATAAGTAAATCTACTTAAAAGTAGTTACTTAGCTAACCTATTAAACTAAGAGATAATTAGATAAGGTAACCACACTTTATTACTATTTTAAATTTATAATTCTAAAAGTTTATAAATAAAAAAGAAATAATTATTAATAATTAAATTTATAATTATATAAAAATAAATCTTTACTTTAAAAAAGTTATTAATATTTAAAATAATTAATATATTTTAAAGTAATTAAAGAATAAAAATTTAATTTAAAGAAATTAAAATTTATAAAATTTTAAACTTAAACTTAAAGGTTTCTTTTAAATTTAACTTTTAAAAGAAAAATATTAAAAAGCTTAAAAAAGTTTAAATAAAGTTAAATAAAGTTATAATATAATAAAATAATTAAATAAAAATTAATTAGAATTTTATAATTATAAATCTTTTAACTTTATATTTAAAAGTTAAAAAACTTATAATTATAAGTTTATAATTAATCTTTATTTATTTTATTTATTTTATTTATTTTATTTATTTTATTTATTTTATTTATTTTATTTATTTTATTTATTTTATTTATTTTATTTATTTTATTTATTTTATTTATTTTATTTATTTTATTTATTTTATTTATTTTATTTATTTTATTTATTTTATTTATTTTATTTATTTTATTTATTTTATTTATTTTATTTATTTTATTTATTTTATTTATTTTATTTATTTTATTTATTTTATTTATTTTATTTTTTTATTTTATTTATTTTATTTATTTTATTTATTTTATTTATTTTATTTATTTTATTTATTTTATTTATTTTATTTTTTTATTTATTTTATTTATTTTATTTATTTTATTTATTTTATTTATTTTATTTATTTTATTTATTTTATTTTTTTTATTTATTTTATTTATTTTATTTATTTTATTTATTTTATTTATTTTATTTATTTTATTTATTTTATTTATTTTATTTATTTTATTTATTTTATTTATTTTATTTATTTTATTTTTTTTATTTATTTTATTTATTTTTTTTATTTTTTTTATTTTTTTTATTTTTTTATTTTTTTATTTTTTTTATTTTTTTTATTTATTTTATTTATTTTATTATTTTATTTAAATCTCGAGGGTAAGACAGTCTAAGTTATCTTCGTCCAGTCAACTATCACGAGCGCAAACACGGGCTTGCTCTCCACGTCACACATGACATAAGGACGCTAAGGTGATCTTTCTTAAGGCTCTATATGCCTGCTTCAATAAACCGAATGAGAATAAGTCACGCCTTTTTAAGATGTCCTAAGGGGATGTAGACTTTCGCTAGATAACAAAGAGTATAAAGAATCAAGGGTTCCTATCTTCTAAACTGCTACCGGTGTTGTTCATAAACTTCTTGCATATGAGATCCTGCTTCTTCAAGCTTTCCCATAACTACGAGAGCCATGGCAAGATTGGACTTAGTAGCAAGGGCATCCAGATTCGAGATTCTCAGAACCTGGCTGCGGATTTGCAAGACCTCTAAGTCCCGACGCGCACGCAGCTTGTATTCGTAACATCTTGGCTGGGTCTCGCTTTGTGGGATTCTTCTTCCTGTAGGGGCTATCTTAAGACTATTATAGTTTTGTTATATAATTACTTTACCGGCTCCTAAGTCTTACCCCACTTATATTAAAGATTTAAGTTCCTAGTAATATTAGAAGTACTACCTTCTAATTTTATATATATAATATAAAGTTAAAGCTTTATACTTTTTAATATATTATATTATTTTTAAATAATTATTATTCCTCTTATAATTTTTAAAAGTACTAGATTTTAAATGTTTACTACTATATAAAGGTGTTATAATAGGTTTTATATATATGTGGATTAGAAACGAAACCACCTATGTTTATAATTATAACAATTGGAACGCTCGCATAGCCTGGCAGTGCGGAGGCCGGCGAGGCACAAGTACTAGCATTAGCGCTTTACCGGCACATTTCCGAGCTTAATGCACGCACAAGAGCGGCGCAGCTCTATCTAGATATCATCCGAGCCCGACCCGGGGGTAGGAACCTGGAGGATGTGGCCTGAAGTCATGCCCAGCAGACAGACGGGAGAGAGAGAGCTGTGCAGGCTCAGGCGGCAGGGAAGCCTTACTTGAATCTGCGTATTAATAATACCAAGCTACACACCGGTTCGCTTAAGATCGCTGGGGGCCGCAGCTGAGATAATCTGGCATTCGGCGGGGTCCCATGCAGCAATGATTGGATCCGGCACCAACTGTAATTGGCACCGACGGCGGAGCCCTCGAATGCTCGAGCTTTGCTCCAGGTGCCCCCTCCCCCCACAATGCAACAGCTGAATCCCCCCGTCGCACACCTCTGCTGCAACCCGACTGATCCTTTTGCGAGATATATTCGGTCCCCTTGCTCTTGCTAGCGTTGTCACCAACATCGACGTTGCTTGAGTAACAAGTATGCACGTCTTCAACGACTCGCCTGTTCTGGCCGCCATGCTCCACTGGCTCAGAGCTCCAAGTATTTGGGTTTGGCTGGTTATGGCTTTTGCAGTGGCAAGACTAGTGCATACATTCATTCATAGACTACGTGACTATCAGGTAAGTCTCACTGGCATGCAGTGTCTGCTTCTAATTCCAGGGCGCCCTTCTGACCATTTTGACAGGCTGATCTTGCGCTGGCACTCAAGCACGGATGTGAAATGCCTCCGGAGCTGACCAAAAAGTGGCCGCTCGGCATCGACAGGATCAAACAGCTCTGGGAAACCAATGCAGATGGTCATTTGTTAGCCTTCCTCTGTTCGATCGCAAAGGATTACGACGGCCGCAACAATCTTTGCCAGTATCTTCTTTTTGGACCACGGGCCTACCACATTCTTCACCCTGCCAACGTGGCGACACTCTTGTCAACGAATTTCAGGGATTACGGATTCGGCTGCAGGCCTGCCGTGTTTGCACCTCTCCTGGGCAACGGGATTTTTACACAAGAAGGTGAAGCAGTAAGACTGGCTGCAACTACACGAGGTTTGCTGTGCTAAAAGTGACGGTACTGACCGACTGAATCCCCCGTAGTGGAGGCATTCTAGGGAACTACTCAGAAAACAATTCATGCGAGCGAAGTATCAACAGCTTGAAGGTTCATTTTCGGAACATGTCGGCAACCTCCTCGATTGCATCCCAGCTAGTGGTGTCGTGGATCTTCAGCCACTCTTCTTCAGCCTGACTCTAGATACAACAACGTAAGCAGTTAGCATGCTGGTGCAGAGCTGGGCCTGCACGGAGAGTTTTCAATGGGTCGCCGTTTGCGGCCGATATGGCTCTTCAAGTTTCCACAATCTCTAACCATCTGTCTCAAGACGCGCCTGGCGTTTTCTTCCTCTAAGGATCTTATACATGATACTGATCCGCGTCTACACTAGGGCACTGCTGTTCGGCCGCTCTGTCTACAGTCTCAGGGCGAATATTGATCAAGCTGTAGAAAACAGAGACTTCGCCAACAGCTTTGAGCTCGCGCAGGAAGGGCTTGCTAAAAGATTCCGTATCGCACCTTTCCACTTCCTCTACAACCCGACAGACTTCCGCCTAGCCTGCAAGACTGTTCACTCCTTCGTTGAGAAATACATCCGACAAACAAGATTGGCCGAGATCGAAGCAAAACGCAACGCTGGTGCAGATGGCAGCAATATGACGACGACCTGGTTCATCGACCAAGTCGCTGCTGAATCTGACTCAGAAACCGACCTTCGAGATCAGCTGCTTAATGTGCTACTGGCAGGACGCGATACGACTGCCTGTTGTCTGTCATGGATGTTGTAAGTTCTGAATTCAAGATTCAAGGTTTTACGCAGACACTGACATACGGCACCGGATACAGCCGTCTTCTCGTCCGCCATCCACCTGCCATGGCACGCCTCCGAAGTGAAGTTGCTTTGGCCATGAGAGGGGAGACTCATCCAGGTCGGGAACAGATAAGGAAAATGCCGTTTCTGTCCTGTGTCATTAAAGAAAGTATGTTCCATTCCCTAGATGTTTGACCTGGACAGCATCACGATCTTTCTCGTGCTAACGATCGACCATTTTTACATTAACTAGCTTTGCGGCTGTACCCATCTGTACCTCTGAATAACCGCGAAGCCATCAAAACGACTATACTGCCCACAGGTGGTGGGCCAACCGGGAAGAGCCCAATTCTGGTGCGAAAAGGTGAACTAGTAGTCTACTCGCAATATGTGAACTCACGCATGAAGAGTATTTACGGCGAGGATGCTTCTTACTTTCGTCCAGAGCGGTGGGAAACTGGGGAGCTGTCTGAAATTGGCTGGGACTATTTTCCTTTCAGCGATGGTCCGCGGCAATGCCTCGGAGAGGATTTCGCGTTGATGGAGGTTTCATACACACTCGTGCGAATATTGCAAACAATTGTAGAGATTAAGCTTCCTGAAGGAGACATACTTGAGCAAGTAGGACTAGAACGGCAGCGGTTGACGTTAGTGATGTCAAGCGCTGATGGTTGTCGAGTTTACACGAAGAAGACAAGATAGATACATAGAAACATATCTCTACTTATTAATATAAAAGGTTAAGTTACTCTCTTTCTTTAAAAGTAATTTAATATTTAAAGATTAATTTATATAAAAGTTATTTTAATTAATAACTTTATAAAATTAAATATATAATAATTATAATAAATAAATTATTAAAAAAATAATTAAAAATAATTAAATATAATAAGTTAAATAAAAGGTATAATTTTATTATAAGAGAGTTAAATTTCTTTTTCTTTTAACTATAGTATTAATTAGGTAATCGTGCATGTAGCTACTCCTACTTCTATGTGCATCGCTTAAATAACGAGCCTATATACCTTTTAATTACTTTTTAAGTTCCTATTAGGCTTTAACTATATTATATTTTTTATTTAACCATTTATTTATTTATTATCTTCTTAACTTTTAAACTAACTATTAACTTATATTTTAAGTATAAAGTTAATAATTACTTAATATATACCTTTAAACTTATCTATATATAAAGTTATTAACTTTCTTTATAAAGCTTTTTTATTATATTTTTATATATTATATAAAAGTAAATATATCTTTAATAATAAAGTAATATACTTAAAGGAGGAAGATTTAATTCTTAAATACTTAAACTTCTACTTTCTTTTATAGTATTTATTTAATATATAATAAATAAACTCTATTTAATTTTTAAAAAGTTTTAATCTTTTATAAAATTTATATAAAAGGTTTTTAAATAGGTTTATTATTATAGTATTATTATTCTATTAATAGTTATATATTTAAAATAGGGACTATATTAGTTTATTTAATAAGGGTAGATTTAAGTAGCTATTAAGTATATTAATAAAGAAGAATTAACTTACTAAGTTTTATATTATAAGATTCTTTTTTATTAAGGTTATTTTAAGATTATTTTAATTTTATTATATAACTATTTTATTAGCTTATTATAATAGATTAACTCTTAAGCTATTTATATTAATAATTTTAATATAGTATTATTAAAAGTAATACTTTTTAACTTTATTTATATAATATAAAGTTTAATTATATATTTATATATTATATTCTTTTTTTATTATTATTAATACTATATTTCTTTAAATATTAAGTTTTAAGTATTTACTATTATATAAAGGCACTATATATATTTTATATGTATAGGGATTAAAAACGAAACCATACTCGAGTTCCTACCAAGCAGAAACGCCTGTCTCATATCACGCACCATGGAGCCGCCACCAGATCCAAAGTCGCCAAGCTCTTCTCCACAAGTCGCAAACCCGCCGCCACCGCCGCCACCGCCGCCGCCACCGCCGCCGCCACCTTTGGAACATTCCCCGTTGACATCCTCCCCCCCAGCCAAGAAAGCACGCCACCACAAGAAGATCAGGTACCGTCCGTTGTATATGGATGAGTCGCGACATGAGGACATCCAGAGATACGTACCTGGCGGCTTTCATCCTGTTAACCTTGGCGATCAAATTGATCAATACACCGTTCTTCATAAGCTGGGGTCTGGTGGCTTTGCGACTGTCTGGCTAGTCCAGTCTAGCGAAGATAGCCGCTATTATGCCCTGAAGATTCTATGCCGACAGTTCAAATACTAAATCTAGGGAGCAAGAAGTTATGGAGCATCTTGGTCAACATAACTATCCGACTGTTATCAAGTTGCTTCATTTCTTCAACATTACCGGCCCGAACGGTACACACACCTGTCTTGTGCTTCCCGTTTGCGGCCCTAGCTTGTTTGAATGGTCTATTGGAAGGTCCGTACTCTCGTGATGGTATCTTTGCAATGGACGTTGCTCTAACTGTTTGTTGAGGACCTTTACCCACGCCGGTGCATGATACAAGATTGCTCAACAGGTGGCTGGTGGTGTTGCTTTCCTACATGAACACGGGGTTGCACACACAGGTTTGTGTTGTATACTACTAGAGATCCTTAAAGAAGTCACTAATCACGGCCACAGATCTAACACCTTCAAATGTTGTCTTCGCGCTTCCCGACATTCAATCAATGTCACCCAGCGAAGTTTGCCAAATTTTAGGCCCTGTAGTAAAAGAAAAGCTCAAACTCCAGGACGGGTCTTACTCTTTGCATAGTCCTAAGAGGGTTGTCAGGAACCCTGACTTCTCGGGGTTCAATGTCAGCCTGTCATCTGCTGCAGTCACGATCATCGACTTTGGAGAAGCAGTGCTATTAGACCGCCCTCACAGCCGTGCTGGGCTCGGCATCCCAATAACTTCGTTTCCGCCCGAGGTCTTGTTCGGGCATCCAGCTACAGATGGCAGCGATATATGGGAGCTAGCTTGCTTATTCTGCGAGATCTTCTATCACAGGCCTCTGTTTCCGCTATACTTTCCAATCTTCGAGCTACTTATTGGACAAATAGTCCATTTTGTGGGGCTGCTACCACAAAGCTGGCGGGGTCACTATAACGCGGAGACCTATGGCTTCATGGACGAGGGCACGGTTCATGCCACGCCGGAAGGTGCAAATTTCTGGTTTGAAGCACACCCAGAAGTTCAAAGAGGAAGCTTAAGTGGGGAGCTCCTCCCGGCTGCCTCCAGAGCGGAGCTCACGACTGAGCAGCATGAGTTCCTAACGTCTTTGCTACAAGAGATGCTGGCGCGTGAACCAGAAGACCGGCTTTCTGCTCATGATGTGTCACGACGCATAGAGTCTGCTGCTCAATTGTTCCGCGGCGAGATAGCTGAGAACCCTGCACACATTCCGCAAGTCCCAGACGACGCGCCGCCGCCACCACCGCCGCCGCTACCGCCGTCAGACTCTAGTGACTCAGATAGCGGATAGGCCCAATCCATACGCTGGCTCTTCTAAGTATGGTGTCATTTGATTACCGTCCAAATGAAGCTCTCCAGGTCTAAGACCAATGTGGTGGAGGAACCTGGAAGAAGCCCTGGAGGACTAGGATCTTGACATTGGCCAGAGCCTCCCATCCGATGGCGAGGGGGGCGGCTTCAGCCGCTGCGCCAGGCAGAGCCTCTTTGATGACGCTGTCCATCAATCTGACATTACAAACCGGTATTCTGAGGAGTCACTAAATACCAGCGACGTCCAAAAATCTCGTGACGGGATGGTTGTATGATCGTGGGCCGTCGTTCAATCAGCTGCATGACAAAGCTGCATGACATTTCAGAGCAGGTCGGAGGTGCTGTCAATGGCCACGGAGGTTGGCTGCTCCATGACAAATGTGTGAAACGCCGGGTTGTGATCTGGGCCGTGTTCCATTTCAAACAGGGCTTCGATGGCTATCAGCCCTTGCTTGGACTACTCGTGTCAATGGCCAACGGCTTTGACGGGAGCAATGCTTCCAAGCTTTCTGAGTTATCTGTGCGCCATGAGGCTGAGGCCACGGGTCTAGACAGAGTCTTCTTACAACATCATTAGCAATGTCTTTTCTTCAAACATGGGGTCTTTTAGCGTTGACTACTACTAGCACTACACGAAGGCCTTGGGACGTGTAACGAACAGAAATGAAACCAGTGAGGGAAGATTAAAATCTAGCTCGAGGTGCTGGCCAGTTGCCAGTGCAGCTTTAAAGCTTCGGCTGTCCAATACTGAAGTCAAGCACGCACTATAAATACCAGATATGAAACAATCGACCTGAGGAATGAAACCCATGTACCTCTTCCAAACTCCCCCATTAGCCTGCTCCAGAGATACATTCTCTTCGCATTCACAAAAGCCTGTTTCTCCCACCTTGCCAACTCTATTTGACCCCGCCACACCTTCGCAAGTTCCAGACAATGACTGGCAGCCTGGTCGGTAGCCATGCCCGCGTGGGGACGGTAAGTCGCCAGAGCGTCTCCTACAAGCACCACTTGGCCGCCACAGAAGCTTGCCTTGCTGCACAGGACATCACTGACCTTGGTGACAAACGGCTCCGTGGTTGCCGAAACCAACTCTGCGAACGGGGCAGCCATGCGCTCAACCAGAGGTTCACGAAACCTGTCCCAGGTACGTGGATCGACACTTCCCTGTGGGATGGTACGCTGATGACGGCGGCCGCTGGCATCCGTAAAGATCGCTGCCTCGGCCGCGGATCCTTCGATCACGTCTTGATACAGTACCCAGTTGATGAGCTGCGATCCCGGAGTAAAGTCACCCTCGTCTGTTGGGATCACGTAGCAGATCATGTAGCTGTTCTGGCCCAGGAAGTTGGATGACACCTGCCCGGAGAAGAAGTCGGATGTTGTTGAGGAAACTGAGTGTCGTGGAACTGCGCCTCTCCAGGCGACAAAGCCGGAATACGTCTCGGGTCGAGCTAAGGGGGCGTGGGAAAGGTTGCGGATAGTTGAGCGGAGCCCATCGGCACCGATAACGAGTTCCGAGGTGATGGAGCCTTCCTTGTTTGTGCCTATATCCAGATAACGAACGGTAATTATACCGTATGTGTAATGCAGGCTTATTACACGCCTCCCAGTTAAGTAATTCGCAGTCCCATCTCCAGGACTCGAAGATGGAGGATTGGGGCATGCTTTAGAAGCGTAGCCATCGAAATTGGCGCGCAATATTCGGTACAGGTAGCCCCAGTTCGTCCAGTACCTAGTAGTGCCCTTGTCCGCCTTCACGACGTTCTCGTGTTTGCGGACAGATATAAAGTTGGCGTTGCTTTCGAGGGACAACCGGAGACCAGTCCGGTCATGTTGAGACAGAAATTCATTGACGTTTTCGTCAATACGGATGCCAGCGTTGTGGCTGCTCCGTTCTGATGCAGAATCTTGCTCGAGGATTGTGACATTGATCCCTTGTCGCTTAAGAAGCACTCCATGCATCAACCCACTCAGTGAGCCGCCAACCTACAACCGCATGTGAGATAAGACAACCAACCACAAATGTAATCTGTGAATGGCATTGAGACTTACTATGATGACTGAGTCGGGCATTGGCGTCATGTTGTTGTTGTTGTTTTATTGTCGGCGTCTTGCCCACCGAGGTTCATCGATAGACCTAGCTTAGCGCGGCTTCAGTTTGCGACGAGGCGACCACGACGGAGCTCACAGGTCCTTACGTAGGGGGGAAGTGGAGAGCTGGGGGCGGGCAGAGAGTCGAGGGCACGGGGATTGTCCGGTCTGGCCCCTACTTATAACGCATTTCAGGTATCATAAGCTAGCCAGTACCGGTAATACCTAGGTATTGTTGGTCCAGCTCCAGGAAGTCGGCGAGATAGGATGGATAATATCACCTGTACAACGGATCCATGTCATCGCCGACGTTGTCCTTGGCTTGGCTCTCTGTCGAGTAGATAATGATACCCAATGATGGACTGGTTACTAGACTGTACGAAGGTTCGATATAGATGGGCCCGCAATTGCTGTGATGTTAGTGATGCTGGTGATGTTGTTAGGCAGCGGTCATGGGCATTGTCACAGGGGTCACCAGCTGCGTGAGCCCAGGGCCAACTTGAGGTGAGGTGGAGTGGGGCCGGAAAATGGTTCCAGGTTCCGGGTAGCCAACGCTGAGCCATCGCTTACACGGAAGCTCCAGTCTTTTGCATAAATATCAGCGGCTTCTTCAAGTGAATATCTGCGTACGAGTGTAGTACTAAATTTTAACTAAATGATGACCCCCGCGAACCGGTCTAGTCACCAGTACTTTTACAGCTCTGGAGGACAGCGGGTTGGTGCAGTTCACATCCTTGATGGTGCTACATTTGGATCTATCTGATCAAATTACTGAGCCCAATATTTCCCTGGGTCGATATGGCATGAAACGACAGATGCATGCCAAGATGTAACATCGTCCAGCTGTGAGGTGATATAAATGGCGAAGGAACGACTGTTGGGGGCCACATAAATAAGCCCACCAATGCAGTCGGAGCCAGTGGATGAAATGCATGGTTTTTATGTCGCTCAGGTAACGACCACACCATCATATGCGTAAGGGAGCCGCATCTCAAGTGCTGCTAGCCACACGCCTTGCCCGCCCGTCCAAAAGACCACTGCATGCAGAGAAGCCAAAAGTAGAGTATGGCTACATAGGTACGTAGTATTCAGGGTTCTCCTGCGAGTTTATCTATACTACCCTCAGAATCTAGCATCTTTGTCTTTCTTCGCTGTTTTAGCATTACAGCGCAAGGAAGTGTGTTGCTCATTGATTTCCTCAAGCACATGCAAAAATTTTCTGCCTGCCATTATTATCATTTATTCGTATTTGGCCCTCTCGGTGTTTGCCTTACTGTTCTCTTGGCATGCTGGCTGCCGATGGGCTTTCTGCACTCCTCACCAGCGGTGCCACGCCTCCGGCCTTCTCCTTCTGTCCCGCCTCGGCGGCAGCCTCAACAGTGGCCATGTTGTCCCTGCCCTGCTTGACGTTCTTCCATTCCAGGGTGGCACAGCCGATGACGGAAACGCAGCAGAGGACTAAGGCGATCTGGAACACCTTCTGCAGGGACGTGTTGTAGGCGGCGAGGACGACGTCCCTGTGCGCCGCGGGCAGGGCGTCGACCAGGGAGGTTGCGCCGCCCGAGGTGACGAGGCTGGGCTCGAAGCCCGGGACCCCGGAAAGGCGGTCTAGGAGCTGGTTGTTGAGCACATTGGCGCCGACCGAAACGAAGACGGTGGAGCTGAGCAGGTTGCAGAAGAGCATCAGCGAGAGCCCTGTTGGCTGGTCAGGCTTGGCCATGACGGCCTGTATGGCAAGGTTAGGAACCTGGAAGCAGAGGCCCATCCCAAAACCGTATATCACCTGGTATCCTATCCATTGTGCCTGCGGCGTATCGACCCAGAAAGTTGTTATTAACCCGGCCCCAACTGACATGACACACGACCCCATGATAGCGAGTGGTGTATAGTAGCCAATCTTGGTATTGCTGATTCCGCCGAAGATGGACCCAATAATCATGGATATCATTAATGGTAAAAGACGGATACCGGACTGCGCCGAGTCGATACCCTGGACGGATTGGAACCATGCGGGGAGATAATAGACTATGTTTCAAGTTATTAGCACCGGATGGCCTGTCAAATGTCGGCCGTTTGTCCCTGACAGGTAATGTGGAACCTCTTACTGTATATGTAGTTCCCTCCAATTATGCCAAAGGTTGCCAATAACGCAGACAGGACGCTCCGCTGCTCGAAAAAGCGACGGGGAAGAGTTGCAGTTGTGGGCATCCAGATCTGCACCGCAGTGAATCCCAGAAGGCACACCCCGGCAAGAACCAGCAAAAGAATGATGCGCCACGCTCCCCACTAGTTTTCATTGTCAGTTGCTGCTACGCCCGGAAAGATTCCATGGGATGTTAGACATCAAACTGACCGGATAAATCTGGCCGCCCCACTCGAGTGCGAGAAGGAGGCACACCACGCCCGGTATGAAGAGCGCCGTGCCTGGGAAGTCGAGCTTCCTGAGCTTCTCTGACAGTGGAAGCTTGGCGGTCTCCTGGTCGGGGATCTTGAGCAGGATGGCGATGACTGCGATTGCAGCACCGCCAATCGGGAGGTTGAGGTAGAAACACCATCTCCAGGTCACTTTCGTGGTGAGAGCGCCGCCAATGAGGGGACCGGAGATACTAGCAACGCCGAAGAAGCCGCCAAAGGCGCCCTGAATCTTTGGGCGTACGTGTAGTGGGATAATATACACAATGCACACGACCTGTGACGGGAGATTTCTCTTTAGTGAATGCCAGGGGGACCGGGGCGGCGGGGCGGCGGGGCGGCGGTGGCTTCCAAGGAGTGAGTGAGATGAAATTCCGGGTAGGGCGGGCTTACCGATCCGGCAAATATGCCAGAGGAGCCAACACCGCAGAATGCCCTGCCAATGATGAAGGCCGTCGAGTTCGGGGCGGCTCCGCAGAGGGCGGAAGAGGCCTCGAACAGCAGGATGCTGAGAAGAAGAACTGTCTTGACGGGGAAAAATGTGTATAGCTTTCCAAAGAGAAGCTGGAATGCGCACGAGGTCAGGAGGTAAGCACTTCCATACCAGCCATAACCGGAGAGAGAGTTGAACTCGTTGGTGATTGCGGGTATTGCCTATTGATTCAAGCCGTGTTAGCTATCGTTCTGCCTTTTTCCGACCCTCCTATTATGATGAAACACGCAGTGTTGGACTACCCTGGAGGAGTATTGAACGAGGCCACATACGGTTGAGATGATGCTCCTGTCCAAAGCGACGAGAAACATGGCCATGAGAACCGAGAACATGATGACCCAAGTCTTGGCACCAGTCGTTTCAGCTTTGGTCCCAGATGTTTCCTGGTTGATATGGTCTTTCTTGGGGTCGGAACTGATTTCTTCAGAGACAGTGTCGGCCGCGGGACCGGCAAACGTAGCACTTGTGCGGCCGCTCGGGGGGCTCCCCGGCTGTGCCTCTTTAGCCTCTGACAGGGCCATTGTGGACGATTAGAGAAGTTTGAAAGGGATGATAGTATAGACAAGACAACCCTTGTGATGTTGTCGTGGAGAGCAAAAGTGTGTTGAGGTGAGGTGTCAACGTGTGGTTTTCAAGTTGGGCGGCGCAAGAGTTGAAGACAACATCTGAAGCGAGACCTTTTATTTAACATTTGTATATTTAGGTATGCATGGCCCTCAGTTTGCTTTGAATTAAAATTAAATGATTGTCTTCCCGAGTCTAGTTTGGTGGCAACCTGTTTGGCCCCTTCGCTATGTATTTAGGCCGTCGGGTTTTGCTATCGCCCGGAGGGTATGCAGGAAGTGTGGCGTTGGTATAAGTGGGTGAGCAGCTCGGATGTTGCTAAGTCCCGAGTCTGTCTGACGACCCTCCGAAGCCGTCTACAATTCCAGGGGTTGCATTAGTGCCGGTTCTGCGCCCCGCCCCGTTCGCAACCGCTTGCCTTGCTCTACATACATTGATATCTATGGGCCGAAAACACCAGGCATCTCGCCCGACCAAAAGCCCGCTGTGTACAAGACGACTGTCAAGAGTCTGAATCTATTGGGGAAAAGCTGATCTAGCACACAGCCAATGTGCCTGAGAGAAGACAAGCAGAGAGAGACGCTCTATGTCCGGCGGCGCACCACACAGCCTCGGGCAGGCGCAGCGTGTGCTGGCCTGTCTGAACTGTCAGCAGCGAAAGGTCAAGTGTGATCGCAGGTTGCCCTGCGCAAACTGTGTGCGTCATAAGGTCGAGTGTGAGCCCGCCCTGGCCCCGCGCCAGCGCCGCCGCAGATTCCCGGAGCGCGAGCTGCTCGACCGAGTCCGACGGTACGAGGAAATCCTTCGCAAGAACAACCTCTCTTTCGAGCCACTCCATCCCGATGATGATAGCAACAACTACAGGAGCAACAACAGCGAAACCCCGGCCACATGTGCATCCTCATCTGCCCAACACGCCTCGCCTGCCTCCCTGGTCGACTTGCAGAAAGGCACTCGATCAGATACCCCGGCAGTGTAAGTGTCTCGTTGTTGAGTTACTGCGCATGGTCCACATTGCATAATATCCTGACCTTCGCCGTCTCACTGGGAGTCTTTCTGCGTGTAGTTACTTCAGATATCCGTCCTTCAAACTGACATGACGGGTTTTGCGACTATTGATTAGTGATATCTGGGATGCCATCAGACGAAAACAACGAATATTCAATGGCCAGGAACGTACCCACAATGGCGTTAGCCTCGACAGCGACGCTGGGGAGGAGGATGACGACGATGTGATAATGGCCAATGTCGCGGCTGAGCGCGTATGGGACCGCACCTACCACGACGAGAATCACGACGAGTTCCTATTTGGGGCCGGGTCGTCCAGGGTTGGCGTCGAACTGTCAACCTTGCACCCGGAGCCGATTCAGGTCGTCAGGCTCTGGCAGGTCTACCGCGACAATGTGCACCCCTTGCTGGTCGTCACGCACCCCCCGATCATGCAGACCCGCATCCTGGACGCCGCCGCCGACCTGACGGCCATCAATCCGGAACTCGAGGCGCTCATCTTCAGCATTTACTGTGTTTCCGTCCTGAGCCTTGCCCCTGATGAGTGCCTCCGCCTCTTCGGCTCGCCCAAGAACCAGCTCCTGGCAGGTTACCGCTTCGCATGCCGCCAGGCACTCCTCAAGTGCAAGGTTCTACGTTCTGAAGACCGCGACTGCCTGACGGCTCTGTTCCTCTACCTGGTAATGACGAATTGTGCCCTCTTTGCACTTCAGGACCCTCCTGTTAACTCCTGCTCTGCATAGGTTTCAGTCGCATACGACACACACCCGCGGTCCATGTCGTCAATGCTCGCAGTGGCGATACACATCGCACAGCGGATGGGCATCCACATGGAGCGCACATACGCCAGTTACAGCGCCCTCGAGGCCGAGATGTGCCGGAGGCTATGGTGGTCCCTCGTCACCTTTGACCACCGTGTCTGCGAGCTCTCCGAGTACAGGACGACAACCCTGACCCCGATCTGGGACTGCAGGATGCCACTCAACCTGCATGATTTCGAGCTGAGTCCGGAGATGAAGGCGGCACCTCCTGCCCACGAGGAACCCACAGAAGCCCTATTCGTCGTCCTGCGCTACCTGCACGCAGACTTCCTCCGCCATAGCGCCGTCCACGTGACCTTTGCCAACCCATGCCTTCAGATGATTGCTGCCCGCCCCGGCCACGGCAACAACGGTGGCGACCTCGCGGCACTAGAACGGCTCATCGAGGACAAGTACATCGCATTATGCGACCTGGCGAATCCCCTCTACTTCACGACCATCTGGACGACACGCGGGTCCTTAGCCAGGACAAGCCTGCTGGGACACTACTCCCGGCTCGCCTCGGCCGAAGCTGGGAGCCACCACCACAACCACCAACAGCAGCAGCAGCAGCGACAGGGACAAGAGGATCGGCGGGGTCAGCGGGGTCAGCAGCACAAAGAACAATCTGCTACAGGCAAGTGCCGCGAGTCAATGGACAGGGACGAGGACGAGGACGAGGCATCCTTATCCTACGCGCTCACCATGCTCGAGTGTGACGCGAAGCTCCTGGTGTCTCCCCTCTCCCGGCGATTCGCCTGGTTCGCGCGCCTCAATTTCCCCATGCTCGCTTACGTCCACGTCCTGCGGTATCTGCGCGGTCGCCGTGGTGGCGGTGGTGGTAGTGACACCACCCTGATACGCAAAGCGTGGCGCGTGCTGAGCGAGAGCTACGAGGCTCATGCGGCGGAGCCCAAGCTCGCCGATGCTATATTCTTCGTCTGCGCACGGCTCGTGCTTCAGGCCTGGGATGCGACGCGTATGGAGGGCCCGCCTTCTTTTACAGGGAAACTACGGAGCGAGGCGGATCCGGCGGGGATGGAGGTGCCACGGATCGTGGCAGATATGCGGGACAAGACGGCGCAGCTCAGCACAGCGGAGCCCGCAAGCGGAGGGGGAGGAGGAGGAGGAACAGGAGGAGCTGCCGACCACCCCGCCGTCCCGGCTTTCATGGATCACGGCTGGCAAAACGTCATGGGGCTGCAAGGATTTCCGGGCTCGCAGCCTGGCGGCTACCCTGATATGTCTCCACTGAGCACATCCGGCATCGACACGAACCACTTCTTGAGCATGTACAATTGGAGGGTCTTTGGGTCACAAGATCAATGAACAATGACGCGGATCCAGGCCCGCGTCTAGGGATGAGATTGCGGGCTCCCGGAGGCAAGAAAGCCGAGCGGCCTGGGTACTGACAGCAGGATCTCCCACTCAGTGACCACCATACGCAAGGTCACCTGGCTCATGATTCCCTTCAGAAGTTAGTTCTGGAGCATCGATTAGAAGGAGCGGCTCGTTGAGTGCTGGGTGGGGAAGGAGCGAGCAGCCAGAAGCGGGTGGCTTATGGAACCCGCTTAATCTGACAGTAATACTGGCCCTCGTCACAACACGACTTCCCAATCATTCAATCGTTGTTCCCAGATCCGGTCTCGATAAACAAACGACGGGTATTTTCGTCCAGCTGCATCTCGATCACGTCAACGAGATCTCCTCCAATGCGAAGGGCAAGCAACAAGAACGCCATATGAACGACGTTTCATATGCCTTACTGGCTATCAACAGGGGCTGGTCATCGCAAGATACCCACCAGACCATAGCGTTACGCAGAGTATCAACCACGCCGTCCGCACCAATGTCAGGACCATTGACGAGCAGAATCAACTTCGAGACCATCGAACAGGGCAAGGCTTTGTGGGTGGCACCGACGTTCCCGCAGATGACATGATCGCTAACGGGGCAGCTTCCAACAGTGCCGAGGACCCCTTCCTGAGCCACCGCCTGCTGGAGGGTCTGCGCGCCGTCACCACCCCCCATGAACCTTTCATACTACCTAAGCCTGCGTGGTTTCGCCGCTGTACTCAACAAATAAACGACAAACACGAGGCCGATTACGAGGTTTACTACATCAACCGCCAGCTCTACGCGGTCTCTCGACTGGGCGAGTTCTTCTTCTACCCCATCAACATTGGCCCAGGGGTCAGTCGTAACGTGCAGTGCATCCGGCTCAGGCACGACATCCTGCAAGCCCGCGGGCGTGTCTAGCACGCCGCCTGGTCTCGGATCCCAGGCCCCCACTATTGCCTCGAGTGTCGGCACAAGCTTCCAAAGTACATCCTTGAGTGTCGCGAGTGCGGGTGGAGAACCTGTTATCGCTGCTATTATGCATGCAATGTTCTTTGAGGTTGCTACGTTGAGGTGTCTTGACAAACGAGGATGTCTGTGGATAGCAGGGTAGCGATTTCCGATATTGGTCAGTAGAGCCCTGTTTGACTCTAATCTGAACATGACAGCGGTATATTTTTAAGCACTGGTTCGTTTTTTTAGCGGAGGATTGGAGGTTTCAACACGGACTTCTTCTAGACATGTCTTGTATTAGCAATAGAACATGACTATTAGCCAGGGCTGTTGCTGAAGCCGAGTGAGCCTTCAAGGATTAAGAAAGGTTACGTGTCGGTTAAGGTCTAAATAATGGTACATGCAGTAGTAACATTGAAAAAATTGAAATTTTATAGTAGAGGTGCTCTCAATGCTATGATTATCCACTGTATCGTCGCCGTATGTTTTGTAAGTGCTGGGTCTTGAGAATTTACCGCCGTGTGAAGGAGTCACATGTGTCCTCGGACGTATGCGGAATAGAAGCGGAAATCAGGCAGAGATAATCTATCCATATATTTAAAGAATATTTCCTTCTCGTAACCTTTATCTACAGACTGCCAGCCATCTTCCGCTTACTGCGCCAGATGGCAGACGAATTCTTCTGCATACCCGTGGTACCGACTTAAAGCATCCGTCCACGTGATTCCTCGCCAATTATGCGCCGTATATTGCGAATAGAATGCAAAATGTACGGCCACTCCCCCACCATCGACGACAACACTCCTTCCAAGTTCCCTTGGGCGAGTAACAGTCAAGTACCATTCATCATCTGACCCTGGAAAGGGGAAGACCTCGAGGATGTCCCTACCTCTAATCGCGATGAGGTTAATGTTAAGGCGAGTATAGGCGCTAAAGTCGCCCCATAGGTCGAACCGGTAGCGCGGTATTTCTTGGCGCTCGAGATGTGTGAGAAAGCTGTAATGGGCCTGCGCGGCAGCGGCCCAATTGTACATTCCTGGCCCGGATGCGCTGTATGTCAGACTCCCCGCCGGAGTCAAAGACATGTTGTATCGACCAACATTCTGGGATGCACGGACAGGTAACCAGCGATGCCCGTAAAAAGGAGCAGGAGAGCTTCCGTCTGCAGAAAAGTTTTCTGGCCCGCTATCTGGTCCTTCGTATGATGGGATTATGGATGGGCGCCAGGACTGGGAAGCTGAGTTACTGTCTGGGTGCGGTTCAAGTTCCTTGATCGGGTGTGTTTAGCAAGCAAACTTCCCAATGAAAGTGACTTACTTTAGAAATGCGACACATAACGGCGTGCTGGGAGAACTCACTGGCCAGAAAGGCTCATACAGATTCATGCTGTAGTGCCGCCACGACAGCGCTGGGCTGTTGACCACATTCGCCGAGACGAGGAAGTATTTATCTGATTCTTCCAAGCGACTCACGATCGAATTGATGGTGGTACTCTCAATGTACACCTAAATAGGTGATGCTCTTAGCTTAAGATCTCGGACGCCAGGAAGCACACTGGCTGAGAACCTACGACATCGTCATCAATTTTGACATATATCGCATCCCTTTCTGCGACGACTGCCCAAAGGTGGGAGAAATCTTGTTTAGATTGCCTCTGCGTTTGGTCAGGCACGAAGGATCGGTACTGCTTTTGGCTCGGTATCAATTTTGCGAGGTACTCTAGGTCGTCGGCCTTCTCCGTGTTGACCACAAAAATGACCTCATCCAGCAGGCCGCCATTTTCTCTTAAATTAATCTGCGGTATTCAAACGTTAACAGGTTTACGAAAACGAAATTTGGAAGATGTTTGAAAAGTCATGGTGTGTCTACTCTGTTTGTACCTGGGTACCTTTTCACGCACGCAATGCTCTCGAGGGTTTAGGAATGTGTAAGGATTCATGGGGTTGTCTTTGCCATCGTTCTACCAATACAAAGATCAAACATGAAGAGCATTAGTCAAAAAGATGCGAGACGTACCTTTAAGTAACAATCCAATACTCGAACGTAGTCGTTCCTGCCGTAGAACACGATCGCAATGACCTTGGCTCCATTATAGCCTCCCAGTAGTTGCGTTTCGACTGGTCTCCCGCCTTGATCTGGGTCAGATATCCTGCCGTGCTTGTTGGTAGAAAGCATATACTGTTGCACGGATCGTGAGGCGAACAACACCCAGGTAAATGCGAGAATAAAAAGAAGTAACAGTATGAACACCGACAAAATCGAAGAATGACCTCTTCTCCGACTCACTCCAGAACCGTTACTCAAGAAATAAGATGCCATACCCTCTGGAAACCGATAATGCGATAGTATAGGCCCTCGATTCCGAGTCTTGAAGGCGCGATAACATGAATCACAGACGGGGAAAGGAAGCGGGAAAGACAAGTCTGGTAGCACACGGGGGCTGCCCGATAACTTATACCTGCAAGCCAGCCACAAGCTGCCGTTGGCTGGCTCTCATATTTTCAGCCTATGATGATTGGCCAACAACAACAAAGATCTACCACAATTGCTTTGAATTGAAGCACATTAGAGTTTGCTTCCTGTGCCCAAAACTTATCTCTGGCATTCTTGCAAGTTGTGGAGAAAAACAACTCCGTAGCCAATTCAGAATGCAGTAGGAAATATTTTATTGCATGTGGCCCCAAGGTTCCAGCAAGTCTAATCTGAACCAAAAGCTCAGAGCACTGGAATTTTTCAATCCGCCTCCAAGTACCCTTGTGACCTAGTATTGCTTACAAGATGTCCAGGTGGCTCTCACCCATGTCGGACAGACCATCTCAGGCGTGCATTGAACACCTTCATGCAACCAGTCATTCAACAAGACCATTTCACAATGATTTGTGTGATGCCAGTCAACCAAGTAGCTATCTATGGGACGATTCTTTTCCAACAAAGCCTTGTGCATTTTCTTCCACATGTACTAAACCAAGGTTAGAGGGGGGTCCTTGATGTGGTGTTGCTACGATCACTGATGTAGGAAACTTACAGTGCAATGGATGTAGTGGTATTTCTTCTGGGTGAAGAGCTTAGGATGATCTCCCCTGAACACGACGTCGAGTGGCACCATGGAATCAGCATGAAGCTTTGGCTCCGTGTGCCATGAGTAGTCGGTCCGATTCATGAATTCTTGGACCAACTCTTTGTCGTAACACTCAGGACGAACCCATACCCATCCCATGGGATCAAACACACAACCTTTTGCACGAGCTTCCTCGATGGAGTCTTGTTTCCCGCAGTCACCGTAGTCAGCACGGGATACTTGAGGAATATTGTGCACTGCAATGGCTGTGTATAGGACAGCGCCAGCGCATATCAGAGCCGTGACTCCCGCAAGCAGCTTGAGTGCCAGCGTCGACTTCGACCGTCGGTGGGGTTTGGCCAACGCCGTCGCATGGGCACCGAGCAGGGTCCGCTCAGCGTCATCACCAGCAACAGACAAGTCTTCAAAAGAGGTTTTGTATGATTTCACCGTGTCCATAGTGAAGAAAAAGACTTGCACAATCAGGTGAGCAAACAGAGACAATGGGGGCGCCACCACAGAACAATAGGGAATGAGAATAAGAAGGGTGAATGAGGAGCGGGCATTTGATAGACACCCTGGGGCAAGCGTGAAGCTTGTTGCAAAGGAGGATCTTCGATGCTATTTGTGGATCAATACTATGCTTTCCTGCAGCCTTAACCCATCTCGTCACAGGTCTCACACCTGGGGTTGTTGGATAGCTGAACGAGTCGTCTTTCCTCGCCTGCGCCGCAATCCTTCCGTGCTTGCTCCACACGCACAGCTGATAAACCCTAGGCTACCAACATCACTCCTACGGAATTGAATCGACAGCTAGTCGGTTGCTGCGGTAATTTTGTCGAAGGTAGCGATCCGGACCGCCACGGCCCGAATAGATTGTCGGTGAATGCTGCATGAGCAACCATCCGAATCCAAAGGCACCAACAACTGCAGTTGCATCAATGCTATTACTGTGAACATTGCATGTCCGTATTCTGCTGGCTCCAGCCGCTTATCTTCCACCAATCCTCGAGTGCATTCATACCAGCAGAGGATCCGACCCGCCACCCGGAAAAACCCACAATGTTCTAAGGGGTGACCCCTTGTCCAACGTCGGGGTACTCCTGAGGTATACGATACTGTCGTTGAATAGCTCAGTGGCCGATACCGGATCCAGAGCCACCATCGGCTTCAATGTCGAAATGCTCCCCGTTCACGAGCAGTGTCACATGCCAGCCCACTCGTGTCATGATTCACAAATTTCGCCCTCTGTTCATCTGGCCACACTCCTAATTGTCCGGCATTGAATCGAAGGCTTCAATTCAGGCATTCGGAATATGTCTTCACAACTAAAACGCTTACTCGAGTCTTTCCGGCCTCGAGGCAGATCGGCCAAGTACGAGTCGCTGCAAGAGCTGCAAGGTAAGGGTGAGGATAGTTCTAACGTGGAAGAAGAGCTCTCCTCCGAAACAATCAGATGCTCTCCAATTGATGCAACTCTACGTCCGACGCTGGCGCGCCTAAGGCTTATAATTACCGTGCTGGCAAGCCTGTTACTATTCGTATGCGTTGCGTGGGCCGGGAGGGAATTCAAGACGGAAAGGATCCCGGTCACCTATTATGACATATACTGTAAGAATTCCCTGATTCCCTATTATTCGCTCTCAGCAGATCGAATCTGAGACAGGTATAGCCAATGCCGACGAAAAAGTCGATTACTCCTTCAGAGGCACACCAGAAGTGTTCTCGCCTGCAAGAGAAGCAGTTGTATGGAAACCGGTTGTCTTCCACAACAATTTTCATGAAGACCGAACTCCGTGGCAGGGACCCCCAAATGATGAAGTGGACAAGGCATGGGATAGACTCTATCGTGGTAAGTGCAATCGGACAATACTACAAAAGTGGGGATGTGAGACTTGGAGTTCAGCTGACGGCTGTAGGAATCGGAGTAATCAAAATACCGAAGGAGGACGCAGAACGGCTCCCCAATCGCACATTACCAATTCCTGGAGAAGAAAATGGTTATATCACCGGGCTCGAAGTTTATCATCAATTGCATTGCCTGGTACGTTGACTCCTTGAAGCTGCGAAATTTCGTTTGCTTATCTGTTTTCCGGCAGGACTTCGTTCGGCGGGCCTTATACCCGGGCAGATACGGCGGTGACCAAGGGATGAGCGAGAAGAAAGCCAAGGAGTATTGGATACATGTCGGCAAGTCATCCTCTCCTGGATACAATATGACTTGAGACTAGAGTCTGACGTGACCGCCGCTCTCAGATCATTGCATCGACAACCTGCGGCAGACAATCATGTGCTACTCGGACATCACTACAATCCCGTGGAAGGTCAACGACAGGGTCCATAGGGAATTCCCTGATGCACACACGACACATATATGCCGAGACTTCGACAAGTTATCTGAGTGGATGCTGCACCCCGATCGCCATTTCCCTCAGGAGAAGTATCAGCTACGCTTGGAAGCTTTCCATGCTAGTGACCCTTCCCACCACGACCGTTAAACTGTCTCTGTAATGTCTTTCGTCCGATTTGGCTCATTATCTTCATCAAAAAAGAGGGATGTTTCGGACGGATATGGAAAGCATCCCTGCCTGACCAAGCTACCTGCAGGGAGTTCGGTGAGGAGGACGTCCCCAAAATGTTACACGAAAGTCTGATCAAGTACATCTTTAGAGTACTATCGTCCGAATTCCATGATGTTATAAAATCTTATATCAGTGTGCCGATGCTTTGCCTATATCTTTTGTGTGATGCCATGCCATATGGTGCTTTTCCATATACTTCGTGCATTCCTAGGAGAAGGGGAAAATCATCGCAAGTGAATGTATCTCATATGTAATTGTCTTAGAAGCTTGGAAGACGGAGACCGTAACTGCTTACCCAAATATATCGTGCAACGTTCACCCGCAGCTACTGGTTGAAAGTGTGAGTGGTAGCCAGGAAAACCAACTACGACCATCGGGCTCTTTAATAAATAAATCCCCGTTCCAGGAGGGTAGTGGTAGATCGGTTTTGTGAAATGAATTGAACAACCCGTCGAGATCTGATTGAGCGGGGCAAGAACTTCGCGGCGAACGGGAACAGTTGATTGTTCTAAAATATAGGTTTTACAGAATCGGCACCTTCATATCTACCAACTACCCAGTTATGCAAGCTCTCAAAATTGCGACAAGTGTGCGGCACATCCGAATCAACATAATTCCTCCCAAGTGATGGGTAAAACTTGGTCGGAAGAGGTGTCATGTCTCCCGAACACATGACATACTGACGCAGCTGTTCAATACAATGGTTCTGGTGTAGCATAGTAGTTTTGGGGTCCTTGGACCGCGTTCCATGACTGTGCCCTCCATAATTCTCCGGGTCCAAGGCTTTCCGAATATTGTTCTGTGGAAGGTTGTCAGTGTTCTTACATCATACGGATGGGGCAGCACTAGTACTCACCAAGCAATGCAGCGTATGGAACATGTCCAGGCTGGGAGACGGTTAGATCTCAGTAAGTCTCCTCTTGAGGCGAACGGACAATGTCTTACCCAGCAACATAGCCACCTCTCTGCTTGTCCCAGTACATGTCGATGTTCTCCCCCCAGGAAGCGAAGGCTTCTTCGCGTGTTATCAAGATGTATCGCCCTGTCATAATGATCAGATGACACACTTTTCATCGTGGAAAGGGCAGGACCTACCCCATGTCATTCTGTCCCAATTTTCATCGATCTCGGGATGAAGCTTAGGGTCTCCAACATAAAGTAGAGGATCGGCGTTCGGTATAAAGATACTGCCATTCTCATAGAACGACGGTGAGCCCGTGAAGCGGACCTGCTCAGCTCTGATATGTTTTCTGGCAGCCACTGTGCTACGCATGAGCCTTTTCCAATACGAGAACATACGCCGGGTGGGTAACGACAGAACCTACCAAAATCAGTTGCGTAGCCCTTAGGGAACGTGCCGAGGTTGCCATTTTCGTGACCCTGGCAGCTATTGTGCCCACTGAATGCAAGTAATATTGTCAAATACCCAAGACAAATTGTTGAAACCCAAGGAATAAGGACAAGAAGGCCAGACCAGACATTACGCTTTGGTCTTCGTGCAAAGTGTGGGGATGTCGTCTCTTCGTCGCCAGTTGGGACAGGTGAATAATCCATTCTCTAGGCGTACAGTGGGATTCCAGAAACATGGAGATGAGCGATACGGACTTTGGTTTTCCATTCTATAGAACATCCATCACATAGCGAGAGAAAACCAAGTGATCGATTCTGGCTATGCCAAGAGGCGTGTTCAACGGGAAGGACTTCCGCATACACAAGGCTGACCGATGTCGGATGCGAGTCCTCGGGGGGGGTCGACTGTCCTTTGCTGCTCCGGGTCCATCGGGCAACAATCTGCTCTGACTCCATGAACAGCATTGCAACGTTGCAGCATGAGCACGACTGCGGCCCAGCAAGAGAACGACGGCTTAATGTTGGATCTTTTGTTGGTATGAAATTCTGCCCGACCACTCATGCCTCCTCATTTGCGGTCTCCACGAGGCACAAATCGGGCAGGTAGAACAGTCGAATTGTGAGTGGGCTGCAAGATAAGAGCCCTGACAGGCTATTGAAATCAAGGTCACATTGGTGGGGCCTTGCAAGCTGTTGGTACAACTAGACAACTCAGCTGCGGGGTAAATGTAATCCCTGAGGCAGACGAGGAGAGTCACAGCTTCGGAAAAGGACATCATACTCTATAATGATATTACCATATACACCTTACTTATCGTTGTATCAGAGCAAAGTTCAAATTCCAGTAAAAGAAGAGACACCTGGTAGCAGATCCAATCCCTCTCATCGGCAGGCTTCACTACGCGACGTCTCTTTTCTTCGAGTCCTGTGCCAGCTAGAATGGTTGGCTGAAAGGACACGATGGCTCAACCACAGGACATTACCTACCGCGGAAATTGTGTTTGTGGTCGGTACCGGTATGAAATATGCTTGCCTGATGTGATAGAGTCTGCCTCCTCTTGCACCTGCAGCGTCTGCCTGAAGAAGGGCTACTTGTGGCTTGTCCCGCCCAAAGGCAGTTTCAAGGTAATCAGGGACGATGGCTGCTTGCGGGAACACATGTCAAAAGTAATCAGTCACAAGGTGCGTGCGTTCAGTGATCTCAATTTCTCATACTCTTGCTGATATTTCCTTGGCTGGCAGTTCTGTGACAATTGTGGAAATGGAGTAGTGGGCCAGCATATCGCGGGACCACTAAGTGGTCTCTTCACTGTGAATGTACGGACGATTCAAGGTGTCAACCCGTTTCAAATCAGGTAGGTCCATTGGTGACCCTGTGATAACACCGTTTAAGGAAAGTATTTGACCTTTGGCATCTAGTATCACGACTGTCGAGACTGAAGATGAGAGACCAGAAATCAAACCGCCTACCACCACTGAACCAGCCACACAACATTTATTCTCTTGCCAATGCGGGGATGTGCAAGCTGGGCTTATTGTACCCATCCATGATCAGGAGATCAAGGAAGATAACTGCAGCGGTTGTGCCAGGGTACTTAAGCCCCATCGTCCGCTCGGGTATGCCTTGTCTAAACGCTGATACCTTTGGGATTAGGAAGCCTATATTGGAGTATACCCGACAAAAGATCAAGTTCAAATCTATGGCCGAGAGAAAGGATGGGAATACAGTGGATTGAGAGCTGAACTTGGATCTCTGAAGATGGGGAGTGTAACACACTGCAGGCGCTGTGGCGTGCACGTCTTTACAGATATTTGGGGTCCACCCATCACTATCTTTGACAAACTACCCCCGGAGAGAAAGGCCCACGCTCTTGAGGTGTACCACAAGAATATCAGTCTTCTTCCGCTCAACGTGAGGGCTGTTGAAGGTTTCAAGCTACTATCGGAGAGCCTTACCATCAAGAGGTCAGATGAGGGCGCCGAGGGCTATGCTGAGCTACTCGAGCCCTGGCAAACTACAAAAGAAACAGAAAAGATCAGTGGTGACCAAGCTTCAATTTAGCGAAGGACCGTATACAGTATCTATGACACTCAGAAACCTAGATTGGAAATTCATCGTCTTTCTTCCCCTCTTGACTTTCGTAATGACATCCATTTGACACACATGTGGCCTTCAGCGGAGAATCCCATGTCATATGCGCCTGAGACCGGAGACCTGCATCGATGAGTCCGATGAATTCATCGGGGTCCACGTAGACATACTCATGCGACTGCCACCCTGGATCTGACTCTGGTGCCAGCCAACCGGCCGGAAGGGAGACATTGTTCACCGTCAAATTCCACATTTCAGGCCACAGAGTTCTCCCTTCAAAGTAGGACGCACCGTTCAGCTGTGCGATGTACCCCAGTCCACCCGGAAATAACGGTGGTTTGAATTCTACCACAGCAGCTGTAGGATTCAGCCAGAGACTGTGCGTCAGACCTGCACCGTGTATACCGACAAGGATATTTGTCTCACTTGCCAGACGCACTTGGTCGCGCAGGTTGAATTCAGCAAAATCAACAACTGTGATGTTCGCTTCCGGAAAGTGAGACCTGACCCGGTCAAGAAGTGTTTCGAAGTCCCATATCTTGCGCGTTCCTTTTCTGTCAATTATAGTAATCAGTGGAACGGATGACGGCGGCATAGATGTGGCCTCAAGGCCGTAGTGTCTGAACACCCGACGCTGTAGGGCGCCGACCAAGGAGGACTCGCGGCACGACCGATGAAATTGAGAGTCAAACAGAGCCGTGTACATTGGTGAGGATGATCCGGGCAGAGGCAGGATGATGTCAAGGCACCCTGGCTCTAGCTCGCTCAGTTTTGATGTGGGTAGACCGTTTCTGAGTACCAGTTGCCACCACTCCTCAAATGGCAGCTCATCATCATCTTGAAAAACGATTCGCGCACGTGAGAGGTTGTGATCCGTGATGTAAGGCCTGCTAGCGCCACCGCCAGCGATTCGAAGGATGTCGACACTAATCATAGCCTGCCATACCTCCATAAAGCTGTCCCACAGATTCGTCGTCCCACCTCGCTTGACGAGAACGATCAGATTTCTGCCCTCTGCGCCAGCGTTGCATTCATTGGCCCAAACCGGGCCTGGGGCAGTCTGTGTCCAACTAGCCAACTGGTGAGTGACACCAGTCTTGAAAAAGTAGTCTCTTGGTGTCGCTGTGGTATCCTGCCATTGAATACCACTCGTATCTGCCTTGTTGAACACATCGTCCAATCTGCAGGGCAGGACGAAGTCTGCAAAACCGTGGGATGCTGCCGTGTTGTTCAGCGTCCCTGTTGACAAGGATACGGCTTGGGCAATGCAGAACAGATCATGAGGCCATTGATGAGGAACGGGTTCTCGCGATGCATGGAAACAGTCGAGTACCGACCCTGAAGATGAGTCGCAATGTGATGTTGCCTGCGAAGCGGCTGTAAGGAGATATTGCTGACTGAATATTTTGACGCATTTCCGAGTTTGGTCATCCAACCCGTAATCTGAGTCGACCCCGTCTGCAAACTTCTCATGCGCATCTTTTCCTGTGTGGAAGTGTGACCGAAAGCTAGGATCAATATTAAGGAGCCAAAAGACAGAGTAAAGGAGGAGAAAACTCGAGATTGTGAATGTGACAGCAATTCGCACTTTTCTGGTGGTCATTGTAAAAGACATTTTTGAGGTGGAGTTTCCGCGAGAAAGAGGATCCAAGTTGGGCTCACGCCTCTAAAAAGAAATCAATGGTGCATAATTCGTGGTCAAGAGGTTGGCTTGCTCTGGTTGGCCTTATCGATTACAGGCAAACCGTGTTAGTCCCGCTTCCGGAGTTCGGATCAGATCAAAACAAACCAGGAAAAGGGGAGACGAATGGCCACATTTCGCGTCACGCCGTCACACCCATATTGTGCATCAAACCAATCTATTCAATGTGAATCTCATCAGAGTACATGATCTTGATTTTTTGGCTTCATCTCTTCCAAACATGACCATGTGCTTGGCTACTACCCAGAACCTGTGTGCAGATCCTACACATGCACCACGGTCATGGCTGAGGATTCTACTACAGTGAGCAGCTGCTATAACTGTCTCAGCACCAATTAGAGGTTCAGAAGATTCGTAGGAAACCTTCAAAAACGGGATATCCATGATAATTCACATGGAATTTCGAAACTTTTGCATTTCTGAGGCCTTGCCTTTTCGAAGCCACCGTTACTATGGTTGTCTGTAAGTCTTGTTGCCTCCGCGCATCCTATACCATCCAAATCTGCCACTGTCTACGCGAACCCGAGGACAGCTCGCATACTTGATATAGGCACTGTTCTCCGCTAGTGGTTCGTGTAGGAGCATCATCTCGCAGTGATTCGTGTGATGCGAATCAGCAACGTAGCCATCCAAAATCATCCCACTCATGGCAGCACGCTGCGTCTTCCTCCACGTGTAGGTGCAATGAACCACGTGGTACCTGTAGTTAACAAAGACCTCGTCCCATTCGCCACTGAGGATCTCACTTATAGGCATCTCTGGACCGGTCGTGTTGGGCGTGCGGTAGAACGCCCAGTCATCACGATTCAGGAACTCCGCCGCCAGATCCGCATCGTAACACCGCCATGGAACCCAGCCCATGATGATGATGTCGAAAACACAATCTAGTTCACGGGCCTCGGACGGTGACTCTCCACACTCCTCCGGAATCTGTAATTCGTGCTCTTTGAGGGAATTCTGGTTGTCTTGTCGATGTTCCAGATATAATGCCAACCCAACCATCGTGAATGCCACCAGGCAAAGGCCGAGGAACAGGGCCTTCTTCAAAAGTGATAGCTTTTTATGCGGGGCATCATCGCATCCTTTTCTTCCAGCCAACATTATATTCTCATCTTGGTCAGATGTGTCGTCGGACTCGGCAGAGCTGCGTCTAGGTTGTTCAGCCATTTTGTCTGTGCAGTGGTCGTGTGGTCAATGCAGCCGTGTCAGGATGGATATCTGCGGGAACCTGAGTTAGGGCCCGTTGAACCGCTAACGATAGGAGTAACCTACAGTGGGATCGAAATAGGAAAATGGTTCTGAAAGGCCCTGAACAATATGAGTGTCTGACTGAGAGGAGGGTTGCCACAACATAGACGAAATCAGCGCACGGCAAAGCCGAGGGCAGCTGACACTGTTCCAAACAACTCGGTGCATGGTGAATGTTGTTCTAATCGTCATTTATGCAATTCGCCGAAGCTTCGTTAATCAGATTTACGGCCGGAGATGCCTGTGATAATCGAATCAGGCTAACCCCCCCCCCGGGCCGTGACTTCCATTAACAACGTTTAGGCCGAGGGAGCGGGAACGGAGAGGAATCCCGCCTGAATATGCACGGGAGAGGCGGCTGTGCCGCAGTGTCGCCTTCGGGGTGACGGGCTTTGCGGGGAAGTCTATCACCAGTTTGCCCCTGCAGGAGTCATCACTTCTTCGATGACGCGGTTTTTACTACTAGGGAACAACGCACATTGGCTAGTACTCAGCTAGAATCTTGTAAAGACTGCCTCGCCTGGTGCGTGACTCTCTACTTGGTGGCAACCATTGTGGATGTCGGTGTGATGTACGGTCCCTTTTCCGCAGATGGCAAGGTCGGGATAAAAGTCCGGCTGGAGATAGTGATTCAGATCTTCAGCATGACCTGTCAATCGTTTATCTCCAGAAGCGCTGATTCATGTAGTTGTGGTCCTCGAAGTGGATTGCTAGGATTCGTCTGCACTTGCTATGTCCTTTTAGGAGCCAACAGGTATTTCCCAAATGCCGATTCGCCAGCCCCATCAATGGTTGCAGGCGGTAAAGCCTCACGTCATATCACATACCTCCACTCTTCACTAACGGATTCCAACTGGGTCTAACGGAATATAACTAATTGCCGGTACTGGTGGCTGGAAACACCGAGGATGTGAAGAGACGACAGGGAAGGAATCATCGATATCTATGCAGGGCTACAGAGGGCCGGGCTGTCAATCCTACGACCCATCATGTCATATAGCCGCACACTAATGCGCGCCGATATTGCAACGTGAACTTGGCAGAAGTCGATATCACAAGCCCAAAGTCAACTCTTTGTACCTGTACATTTGGTCTGAACTTGCGAATTTTCCACGAATCTTCGAAGTGCACCTGGTTCGCTATGGAACGTTACCAGCGGCGAGACCACAAGATCATCGAAAGTGGATCAAGCCCCTTTGGCCCACAGGAGATAGTCATGCATCAGTGGACCAGCTTTGTCTTCTTTCCCAATACGCGGAAGTTGTTGAGGTAAGGCTGGCATTGATGGCCGTATTTTGGAGCCCACAAGCTTGGCCATTTCTGGGACGTGCTGATGGTACATGGCCCTCTCATCATCGAGTTCCGATTCTGTTTCTGTTTGGCGACTCCCGGCTGATTCAATCGATGTTCGTAATGAGTAACCCGGCGTCCCTTTATATATTGGCCAGGTGACCTGCCTACCGAAACACCGTGCACCGTGCAACATGCCCGTATACCTATTTGTTACTCGAGGATTCTCGTCATAGTTCGGTCTCCTCCTTCTTTTTATCAAACCCCTTCCAATACCTGTCTCACATTTCGGTATTTACAACCACAATGAAGATCGTTCAGTACCTCGCTTTGACTCTCTTCAGCTCAGTGCTGGCTGCCCCCCTATCGAGGCGCGACGGCAGCACCGAGGCTGTCGAGCCCGATGGTGTCGTCTCTTGGGCAGATGTCATCAAGCGTGATGATGCTGTCGAGCCTGACGGCGTCGTCTCTTGGGCAGATGTGATCAAGCGTGACGTTGACAACGTCGAGCCTGATGGAGTTGTATCATGGGCGGATGTTATTAAAGAGCGTCATGGATTGGAAAAGACTACTTGAAGGCGCGAAGGATGTTCCCACGTGTATCATGAAGCCGCAGATCATGGTAAGCTGAGTTAGTTGACAATTCTCTAGAGTACGGCTAACTAATTCATTGTAGTGTCTTGAAATACAGCATAAAACTCTTCACCCACAAAGGACGGGTTTCAAACACATGCACCTATCGTATTATAACTATCGTTATTAGCATCGTATTCTTTCTAAGCGCTGGGTCTTGAGTGCTTATCGCCGTATAAAGGCGCCATGTATGTCCTCGGACATATACGGAATAGAAGCGAAACCACATAAACACACTCAAAGGCATACAACGTAATGATTTATTAGTCAGAAGCTGCTTTCAGCGCCTCCACAACCTCTTGAGCACAGTTATACTCAAAATGCCACAGCTTCTGGATGATACCTCGCACCAGATTGTCCTCAGCCAAATGAGGATACTCCCATCCGAGAGCTTCTGCAGAATTTCCTCCTCCTCCACTGGGCCATATACCCAGCAAAATCGCACAACTTGATGTGAAGATCATCAAAGACAAGAATATTTCGAGCCGAGAGATCACCCCAAATGACACCGCGGTCGTGGATGTGCTGCAAGGTCTCCGCAAGGTTGATTGCCAGTTGTACGCGGCGAGCCATGGTCGGGGGTTCGTTCTTTCCGATATACTCCCGTAAGTTGCCGTGTGGTGCTCTCTCGAGACGCAAAGCCCAGGCCTCTATAAACTTAAATTTATATTTAATTAATATTATTTAAATATTATAAATTTTATAATTAAAGATATTATATAAAAAAAATTAAAATATAATATTAATAAAAGTTAATATTTATTTAATTAATAATTATATTTAATTATTTA